TTTCTCTTTCCAGATGCTTTGGAGTGGTATGATTCCTAAATAGCACTACTTGGGGAGAGGGAGGGGGAACTCCTCAAACAAACTCTGTGGAATTTACCTCATGGAGAAGACAAATCTCAGGACATAATCTAAAATCTTGCAAAAAAAAAAAAAAAAAAAGAAAAATAGATCACTCTGCCTCTGGAACAGGCTGAATTCAGGTCAGCTCTGAAACAGAGCTGCCTTTTGAAGGGTTCTTCTATGTCTTTCCCAGTTTACCAGGTGATTGTGACAAAAATAACCAACTCCAGTGTTGTAGTAAGCAAGTGAGCTGAACAAAACTGGAATTTCCCAGCTCTTTTGCAAAAGCCCCAAGAACAGGTGCTTATTTCAACTCATGCCAGTGTGGGATTCACCAAGGAACAACATTCTTACTATGCTCCTTAAAAGACTGACTGTGAACCTTTTCTGCCACTACCAGTTAAAGGAGTATTCATAGAAGGATTTCATTTGACAAACATTTCCACCTTCTTATGGAGCTTGGATCTAGGACAGCTTTGCACCTTTCCTTCAGAGGAGAAGAGGGTAGCTTTTATATATTTTATTTTTTTTTTATATATATATATTGAGTCTGAAATTGATCTGGTTTCACAACAGACTAATATTCAATGAACTCAGGGTTTGAATGCTATAAGTTAAAGACATACATTTTTGGAATTGAAAACATTCAAATCCTAAGTTCATCGAATGCATCAAAATACCTTTCTTTTGGAACTTTGAGATAAATCCAAATCTGAACCCAAGATATTTACGGTATCCATTTAAGATAAAAATATTATTTACATCAGCATCAGAGAGAGGGTCACCACAGTGTTAGTCAACCACAGGATCTCTCACCTCTGTGGAGCCCTAATGTTTATTTTATGCAGTCAAGACTCCAGAGCTCTCAAGTGCCTCAAGTATAAGTGAGCTCCCGTTGTACCCTCCTGCCACAGCCCATGGAGACCTGCAGCAGCTCCTGCTGGGTAAGATTTAGTCAGAAATGTTACTGGATACTCAGGGCTAATATTTGCTCACGTAGAAAATCATCAACAGGGCTTCAATGTGGCTCTCCTAACACAGAGGTTGTGTTTGCCATGTTGTGATTTGGTTAAATGCTTCCACCTTCAAGTCTAGGCAACTGAAGGACACTGGAGCTCACACTGTGCCCCAGAAGGAAGGCAGCTGCCCCAGGAGAGCAGGAACACGAGCACTGTGGGCAGGAATGATGAGGCACACAGCACTTTGGGGGGTTTCTGCCCTATCTTGGGTATAATTTACTGCAGGATCCCCTGTCCAGACACTGATAGAAGTCAAGCTGTGGTCGAGATGGGCAACCAAATGATGTAGGAAATCAGTAGCTGAGTACTACACACACAATTTCATTTTCAAAGACAAATGTTCAAAGTCCATTATTGACATCTGTAAGAACTGAGTCACCAGAGTGATGGGGCCAGGCAGAGTGCCAGAATCTCTCACTGTTCCCAAAGTAAATAACAGCAACTGAAATTACACATTCACGGCCCATTTCCTCCAGCTTCCTTTGAGGTGTATTCTGCCTGGAAATCAACAGCTTTCAACCCACACGTTTTCTCACCAGTAATTTGGAAGAGACGAGGAAACAGCCTTGACCAGTGGTCAGAACTCAGGTCAGAAGGTCTCCACTGCAGCCTGAAGTGGCAGCAATACCTGGCCCAGCAGCACGGCTCCTTCTAGGTCCAATATTTGCACTTTGTAGAAACAGATTAACTCAAAAGACAAGATCGTGTACAAATCACTCCCTCCCCTCCAAAACAACCGATCAGAGGCAGTGCTGAGGCCCAGGAGCTGCCGAGGTACAGAAGCCCCGGGTTCAGCCGACCGGTTATGGGGTCCTGCTGCAGAAGCCCCATGCATCCCCCCCTTTTTAAGATGCAAATCCCAAAAGGAGAGATTTTAGCGGGATCTGTCTGTGCTGGGGCCGCATGCTGCCCTCTCGTGGGAAGCCCTGCGGATGGTACCCTGCTGCCTGGGCACAGCCCGAGCCCGGGGACAGCACCGCAGCTCCCGCAGCCCACCACAGCCTCCCTATCTCAGCTCCCCAAACCCCCAAAAATCTCCTTATTTGAGCCCCTTCCCGATATCCCTGACAAGAACAGACCCTGAGAGGTGTCTGAGGGAGGGATGAGGCTCTAGCATCTTACACGAAGTTTATTCCAGAGCACCCCTAAGCCAGACTTTTCTTCATTGGATTTTACTTCTCCAGTCCTGCATGAGGAAACATACCCTGCTGGGATAGACAAGCCTTTCTTATCCACTCCAAGAGCAAATGGTCACTTTGGACTTGTGTCCTGCACAGAGCCAGGATGGGTATTTGTGCTGTGTTTATTCCAGCACTGCTGCATCCCTCTCACACCACAGGCACTGGCTGCAGGGCTTTCTGGACAGCCCTGGGGAACACAGCAATGCCTGCAGTGTTCAGCATTCAGTTCCTAGAGCTAGGCTTCCTTCTCCCACTGAATGAAGTTGCTGTTCTCAGCATGGATGAGTCTTTTCAGAGTTTTATTTTTGTAAGTTTGCTGAGAGAATTAGCACCTACGGGAGCCAGGGCACAATAGTTGTGCTATGTAAGTCAGACAGGCCCCCTGAGCACTTTTCTGTCGTCCTGTTTTTAATAACTGGTCTCAGCTTTTCCACACAGCCCCTCACACCAGCACCACACCAGTAACAGCAAACTGGGGCCACCCAAAATCCATGAGCAGTGTTGTGTCACATACAGGTTTGTCCACTGGACACAGAGATCCTGAACTCCCAGTTTTCTAGAATGCCTCCTCAATTTCCACTTTAAAAGTCACAAAAATCATGATCTCCTCCCTTGCCCTTCTCTGCTTTCTATTTGCTCTGGGCAGCATCTCCAGAAGCCAGGTGAGCTGGCATTTTGCAACAGGTGACAGCTGCCACTCTTATATTTGACTGAGACACAGAGGATGAGGCTTCCTCTGGTCAGGCATAAACTTGTCCAGGCCAGAAGCATTTCATAACAGGTAATACTTGAAGTAAGAACTACTAAACAACAAATTGCACCTCAAGTGACAACTTCAGAATACTTCAGCTTCCAAAGTAAATTTTTCTCTCCTTAAAACTACGATCCCTGGATTTCCTGATCTCCAGAATTGTCACAAAATGGAGATTTCATGGCATATGATCTGTAAGTCTACATTGCCTATTGAATAAGCTTCCCAATGAAAAAAAAAAAAAAAGAGGGCTTTGGTTGCATCAGATCAAGTTCAGCAGCTAGATATTGTGAGGGAGTTTCCTTTATGAAATCTGTATTTATTGACTCCTCCAATAAGGAAAAAAAGATTTCAAGGTCTTCTTTTCTTACTGTGTACTAAACAGGCTTTGCTTCATGGATTTCAAAAAACTTACTCTTCAGAATGTGCTTAATCAGAGAAAAAGCTGTACTAACACACATATATTTAAACAGAGAAGACTTCATGCAGCTAAAAGTTCACTGGTTTATTTCTCTTATCAAGAGTAACAGTCTGAAATATTTTACATTAATTTACAATCATCAAAAAGATCCTTATGCTTATCTCATGTAGGTGACATTGAGTCATCCAGTTAGAGCTAATTATTATTCCAAAAATTAAATCTTGTTTTATAAGGTTAAACATTTTTGAGTCATTTGTTGCCAACACACATCATCAATCTACAACCACACAGAAAGTAGAAACTGAAATTTCTACAGAGCCACTACCATCACTATGAAGATACAATGCCAAGTGTTTACAACATTCTGCAAGTTATCACTTCTCCCAGCATTCAAGGTAGCAAAAATTCCCTCTTCACTTTTTGCTTTACACACAGGAATTACAGTAGAAGGGGAAATTTTGATCCATAATGTTAGCTCAAGGGTAACAGAAGTGCTTCTGAGTCATTTGCTATTTAATTAGGAAACAAACAGGGCTGTGGAACAATGAGGATTCTCCTCTGAGAAAGCGCAGGTTTTCTCCTCAGCCTCAGACCGTGCACACCTGCTCTCCTCCCAGCGATGAAATGGCTGTGCTCATGGGGCAAGAGAAGCAAAGCTGAGATCCCTGTGGGTCCCAGGCAGCCGTGAAGAGCTGGCACGGCAGGACTCGGAGAGGAGGTGCAGCGTGATAAACCCAGAGCACATTTGGATGTTTCACAACTTTGGCTCCCCTGAACCCTGGCTGAAACCAGCCCCTGACACGTGTGTCCCTCAGCACCACGAAACAGAGCTGTTCACGTCTGCCGCCTCCCTGGCAGGGAGCACAGCAAGAACTGGTCTGTTTTCCCTTGGCACTGAGCAAGCAGCCCTCAGCAAAGCCCCTCTGCTGGGCTTGGCCCAGGAGCTGGCACACCATGGCCCTCTCCTCCCGAGCAGAGCAGGGCTGCAGCCCCTCGGCCACTGCAGAGTGCTCCAGTGCCACACGGAGGTGGCTGGGGGCTCGCTGGGGCTCGCTGGCACACCGCATCTGGCATGGGAAGTCTTCAACAGAGCAGGGCTCAGGGCTGTACAGCCAAAGGAAAACTATCTGGAAATATCTTCCTGGGCTCTCTCCACAACAGCACATTTCATCACAGGTGCAGCAAAGCCTCTCACCACCCTTCCTCCTGTTTTGGCATTCCTCAGCCATTCCCCTCCTCAGCCACACTGCTTCATCCTCTCTGCCAGACAGCCCTGTCCCTCTCCCCAGGGAGGCAGCAGGGACCCTGTTCAGGATAAAGCACAGCTGCCAGGAACACACAAGGAACTGTGCTCCTTCCCCTCTGCTCTGCCAGCTCTCCCTGTGCCTTGCTGCTCCTGCTGCAGCCCTGGCAGCCCTGCTCCTGCAGGTGCTCTGTTCCTGCTCCTGAAGCCCTGCTCCTGCTGCTGCAGGCCTGCTCCTGTTTCTGCAGCCCTGTTCCTGCTGCTGCAGCTCTGTTCGTGCTCCTGAACCCCTACTCCTGCAGGCCTGCTGGCCCTGCTTCTGCTGCTGCAGGCCTGCTCCTGTTTCTGCAGCTCTGTTCCTGCTCCTGAAACCCTGTTCCTGTAGCCCTGTTCCTGCTGTGGGCTCCCCACCCTGCCACAGCCATCCCCCAGCGCTGCTGGAGCCCCAGTGCAGCTGGGAGACACAGCTCTCTCTCCTGGCACCAGCACAAACCATTTCCCATCTCTGGCCAGGCCATGGCAGCTCCTCCCCAGCAGCAAGAGGGGCACAGCACCCCACAGCCCCATCCTGAGAGGCTCCGCTCCCCAGCTGTACCCAAAGCCTCATCCCTCCCCATCACACCATGGCCAAGATGTGTCCTTGTCCCACATGCACCGTGGCACAGCAGCTCAGCAAGGCTGAGTCAGGAGCACCCACTTGCTTCCAAAAGTGCAGGGAGGAGATTCAGAGCCCAGCTCTTGGTGAGGGTTTCCTCTGTCACACTGTGCTTGTGGTGTTATTCACATACAGCAGTTAAATACCACATGCCAATGCAATGAAACCCAGCAGGTCTGACTGCAAACCCTGGGAAAGGGAGCATTTATCCTGGCTACCCTGTGAAATGTAAGTACCATTCCTAAGATGGCACAGAGAGGGAGTTTGGTGCCCATTGCACCCCTTGGCATGGCCAGTGATCAAAAGACAGAAGTCATAACTCCATTTGCAAATGGATGGGACTGTGGCTATATCCCTTCAAGGGAGAAGGTCCTCAAGGTACATTACTCTGAGAAAATGGATTGAGTGGCCAGAGGAGATGTAGGTGTGGACAGAATAGCACTGAGACAACATTTTGATCAACACAGACTTCCCTACAGACCCTCTCAGAACAGCTTTGTCTCCAATAAGAAACACAGCCTGAGGAGAAGGATACAGAGCCTGAGAATCCTGAGGAACAATTTGCCATAGACAACTTTTGTGGCCAGTCTGGCTGAATCATTGCACCTCTCCTTCTCTCCAGCCAGACAGGGAAAGCAGCTCTTCTCTGCTCAACAAGGTCATTGCAAGGTGCTCAGAAAAGGTAGAGAATATAACACAACTGAGGTTCATACAAGAAACATAGTCAGCTTTAAACAGTGTCGTACCAAGAGTATTACCTATGCAAAGCCTGCATTTGAAGTGGGGATCTGTGTTCACCTGCAGGTGCTCAGAGGACAGAATTTTACACAACTTGGAAGATGCCTTTTGCTGTCCCAGGCCTATGTGCAGGGACAACATTGGGATTTAGGAAAGAATCTGATCTAACAGTTGCAGACCATCCAGAATGGAAATGTCCAGTGGGTCAGGGCCTGTTTTCCATTGCTGTGGTGCCCACAGTTTATTCTGGTATCACTCCATGTAAGCCAATAGGTCACTGGCATGGACACTATGTGAGACAGACTCTGAATACTCAAGCTGATACTCCACGCTTTGCTTCATGCCACATGTAGCTCAGAGAAAAGCTGCACCTTGTGCAGTTCTTGGACTCACTGGTTTGAATTAAAACTATGTCAACCTTAGCTCTGAATTTCCTGCATAGCAAATGTTAAGAGAGACATCAATCCTGTTCTCACTTTCAGCGAGACCAAACATGAACCCAGCTTTGTTGAGGTAACATGCATTAATGGCAGCCCAGGGTTCATCCCAAACCACACTACTTAGCCCATCTGTCCTCATTAGCTTTTAGAGGTGCTGATGAAACAACAGGGCAGAGCTCTGCAAACTTCTGCTTGGCACCATTCAGTTACAGAAGTCATGGGCAGTCTCCAATTCAGGGACCCGTGAAGTATCCTTTGGTAACCAAAAGGTATTATCTGGAAAAGAATCAAAATTCTGTTCACCAAAATATTTATATTAGCTGAGAAAACCAAACTGCCAAGAACGGAGCTGGCGAGCTTCCCTGGAGTGTCTCTGCCAGTGTGTAAAACACAGAGAGCAGCCCCACCTACCACAGCCCCTCTGTGCATGCCCAGGGCTGGTTTAGCTTTTAAGTACAGTGCCAACTATTTGTAAGGCCTCAAAAATCTGGAAACTTTGGAGCGCAGCAGCCGAATGAAGGATCTCGGGAACATCTCTCTTGACTCTTGGGCTGTGTACTTGAAGTAGTTCTGTGGATGCGCCAACACGTCAAACAATGCTTTTATCAGCTTCTTGTCCTGGGAAAAGGGAAGCAGGTTTTATAGTAGCTCCACAGAGTTATGGTAAGTATTACCAAAGTTTAATGCCTGTCTAACTCAACAAAGATTATGGGCATTTTACTTTTCAAGTCTTTTGGGGGCTTGGAAATGTAGCAGAGCAAGGCTGACTTTCAGGCTCCTGGGAAGTCACTGCTGTTCCACATTAGCAGCTCCAGAATTTCTTGCCTCCTCCAAGTTCCAAGAACAGCAAACAAACCACAAAACAAACACACACTTGAGCTGATATCCAGCAAAACAAAGGCATGCACTTAACTTGCCTATGGAAGTCCCCTAACCAAGGTCATAGAAATCCACAAAGAGATTTATTTCACCCAGGGAGGGAAAGCCTTTGCTAATCTACAGGCTACAAGGAGCAGCACCAAGTGTTTTCCCAATAAATTAATCTCCCTAGTAGTTCTGATCCACCTTCAGTCCCTCTGAGCAGAGGGTCCCCTATCCACTGCTCTGCACAATCAGGATCTGCTGATTCACCCCGTTTCCCTAAAGCAGCACATACCTGGTGCACCAAGGAGCAGACCTGATGCAGAGCAGGAAGCAAACTCATTCACTCCAGATAATACAATTTCCAGTCAAAACCAGCATGTTTAGTGGAAAGAATGTACCTTAAGTATTTCTTGATGATTTTCAGATGCATAAAGTCTGCCATCCCGAACAATGTCTTCTATTAGTTCTTGGTAATCCTCTGTGGGGAATGCACAAGAGAGTAATTTGCAGGTTCACTTCACTTGCATACTCAATACCTCCCATGGTTACACACGGAAGCTCTGCCCTCAGGAGAACCAGTAGTACTTGGCCCTCATATTAGCAGTCTGAAAATATTCCAAACACTTTTCTTTTTATTATGAGAACAGTGTACTCTGCTGAGTTGCTCAGCATCAATCTGTCAAAAGCAAAGGAAATAATAAAGCACCCAAGATTGGAGTGCATACTGTAACCAAGTAACCTGCTTCAAACCAAGTGAACTGCAGGAACCCATCTATACACACCCACAACCTGTTATTGACTGCTTTCTACAGGAAGAAGGAATAAAAATTATGTAAGGAAGGAATTAAGAATTATGTAAGAGGATGCTTTCTTAAAAGTAACCCCCCCGGTCAATCATAACCTAAAATTCTTCAAAGGGAGAGGTCTCCCCTGAAAAATTATTTATCCACCACTAGTGAAACTCTGCAGACCACAGCAGGGATGACTCCTTCCCAATTAATTCAGTGTGAATAGAACATACAATATCACTTCACTTATGCTGAAGTGCTAATGCTCAGCCCCAGTTTCACACCTCGTGATTCTGACAAAGGTGAGGTGAAAATCTTTCCCCTCAAGCTTCTTTTCAATATAGGTATTTTGCTTTCTGATTCTAGGTCACAAATGGTAGCAGGAACATGATAAAACACACGTACCTGGGCTATACCTAATTCCTAACAGGGGCCACCTGAAGAAAATGGAAAGGCACAGAAGTGCATAAAACTTAGATTCTATCTCTGAGGTCTGTAATTTGCAGGCCAGAGCCCAGAACCCAGAGCTTTTTGTTTGGAAGACAAGGTGGCACTTACAAGACTGCAGTGCACTGCAGAATTCCTTAAGTAAGGTTTAAATGAGGCAGCTACTGGAAGTAGCTCCTACTGTCACTGCTGTGAGTGCTGGGCTGCCCTGCTGCTTAGGGAGGGGATCTCTGCACTGCTGCAGCTGCACTAGCCCACATCAGCCCAGCTGCTCACACCCACTTACCATCATAGGTTACATAAGGAACTTGGAATCCTTTGGCACTGTTCCCTTCATTCGACTTGAACTGGATCCACAGTTTCTTAGACCTGGAAGTGAAAGCTATGGGGCGCTCGTAGGTCTGGCAGGTCTCATATGTGGTCACCGAGTTGGAGGAAGCTTTCAAAGCAAACACACAACAGGCACTTGTGTGACAATGCTTCGTATTAAAGAGCTGTTAGAATATAGGTTGAACTGCCATGAGAAAAATCCTTGCTGGTGTTAAGAAAACTCCTCAAAATGCGGCAGGCCATCATGGATGGCAGGCCATCAATGAGGGACTTCTTGGTGAGAGAATATTTTCCTTTTCCCTGAAATAATAGTACACTGTTTGAAGTACACTGTAGAAACTGAGGTTGTTTATCTACACATCAGGCACCTGTAAGGATTAGCAAGCATTTCCTCTTTCCTAACCTGGGCTAGAACTGCTTAGCATAAAGCATTGAGACTGGTTAGCTTGAACCACCTACCCCTCCTTAACAATATTTCTCTCAGCTCACTGACACATCACAACCTTGTACCCTTGTTTCACTAAAACTATGGGGCAGCATTGCTGAATAGGACTTCACCACTTGCCATTTAAAGACATTTCTGCTCTTAAGTAGAGGCCAGGCAGGCTACATTCGGTTTCTGCAAACAGCAGTGCCTGTGAGAACCCTGTGTTGCCCACTGAGATATAGCCTCAGTAGGTGTTTCAGACTCACAGCTTTTTCTCATCACCAGGTAGTCTCCACACTCGTCTTCTATGGGCAGGAATATTTCTGGAACCACGATCAGGATGCGGCGCTTGGGCGGTGGGTTGATATTCCAAGTGCACTCGGTGTTTGCAGGGTAGTCCCCAGGATAGTTAGGTGATTCAATATATCCAGTGTAATCTCCCAATTCCCCTCCACACTGCCTGTCTGGAAAAGGAACATGGCATGCAGGACAAGGCAAAGGGAGGCCACCCTACGGCTCTCCTGCAGTCACTGTCAGCTGTACAGGTGACAGACACACATTTTCCTTTTTGCATCTGCTGCAGGTACAGTTCTCTTTGCCAGCCTCTCACATTTCTGTGTAGGTGTGTTTACATGTGTCTGTGTGTATGTAGGGACTCCAGAGGTGGTTCTGAGCAGTCACCTCTCTGCCCTCCTCATTCTCCCTCTGTAATTTACCCTCAGCTTCCCACACCACAGCTACCATGAATCCAGAACAGTGGCTCCCTTTGTAACTGCCTCTTTCAAAGACTGTTATTAAGAAGAAATGGTTACTAGAGCTATTAAGTTTTGTGAGCCAGTTTCCATTTCTCTTAATAGGAGGGAGCAAATCAGGATGCTGAGGACACAAACTCTGATATACCAAGAGAAAAGATTTAATAGCAAGACCCTGAGTAACCCAGCACCAAAAGGCAAAACACAGTCATCACTTAACCTTGACAAGTATGATGGAAGGACTGTGCAGAAATGGTCTCTCTCAGACCCCAGTGAGCCATGTGGGGTGAGACACAGACAGCAAAAGAGGAGTAACCTCTGCCATCTCTCCAGCTGCCTGGAGCAAAGCTAAGTTTTGCCCTTAGGGCCAATTAATGACCCAGTCTTTTTATTTGTAAGAGAGCATCAAAACCATCTTGCTGTACTTACTTTTGCACTGTGTTATGTTTGTTGACCCATCAAAATCAGTAGTGGTGTTTCCAGGGCAGGAAATGCAGTAATTTTGTCCAAACTCAGGCTGGTATGTCCCAGTCGCACAGCGAATGCATCGGTGAGTTGTGGTGTTGTAAAAATGGCCAGGAGAACACTGAACTGGACAGTAAATAAATAATCATGGTTTAAAAAGTGGCAGTAGCTTACTAGAATGTGCTTTATACATTTGTGTAAGACCTAGTGTAATTTCAGAAACTGAAATGCCATAGTAGTAAATTGTGTGGTTAACAAAAAAAGGTAGTTAAGCAAATTTCAGTTCATCCGGTCATTTTGTTCAAAATTCCTGAATGCAACACCGTAGAGTGGTTCTGTGTGAAAGCAGCAATAAAACCATATTAATAAACTATGAGGGTAACAAAACTGTTTCAGTTTATCAGGTTATTTTGTGCAAGTTGAAAAGATCTACTATCAAATGTAGTTTTCTGTGCTGCACAGTCCCTTTTTTTTCTTTTCTTTTTCAGCCCTGCTTACTCCCAAATAATTCTTGCTGAGTTTTGGAAGTTAGCTCAGCCAGGAGTCCTTCCCTACATGCTGCCCCAATCCAAATGCTTCAGATAAGCTCCAAATAGTTATTTCATCTGTGATTCCACGTCTCATGTGGCCTCTTCCACATGCAAATTCCTGAGCTCTTCATTCCAGTTAATTGAAAGAATTTCTTTAATCTCCACTCCAATTTGAAAACTGAACCTCATTTATAGACTTGGTTTTGTTTATGTTAAATAAAGCTGAAATCAGCTCCTCTTATCTTGATCCAGAGTTTTAATGACGTTTTTTAGTACTTCAATTTCTCAAAATTAAGTATGAATAAACAGTATTTGTGGGTTCAGTGATTCTACACTGAAGGAAACTATTAGATATCACACTAGTACCAGTAATATTAATTCTTCAATGATACTGCTAAATTCTTATAATATGTTGTAATTCTCAATAAACATATCTTAACTGAAACAAGAGAGATCTCTTAATCCAAACCATTACCAAATGTTTGCATTAAGACCTTATTTCTATCCCTTATTTCTCCTCTGCAGCAGTGGATTTTCTGTTAGAGACTTTGTCCTCCAGTGATTTATAAAAGTAATTTTCTTTTACCCATGCTTTTGGGTAATCAATTTTAGAAAGAACTGAGGCTTTACTGAATGTCTTTGCAGCCGGGCCAGAACAACCAGCTATGAGACTCCCGGAAGGATTGACCATCAGAAGGAGAAAGAACCTTCTCTGAATGCCCCATTTGAGCAGCAACATTTCCTTTTGCCTTTTGGATCAACGCAGTTCATAAGATAAATCTTGGCCTCACCTTTGGTCTCGCAGTCCTGGAACAAGGATGCTCCGCTGTGCCTTGTTGTTAGACCTCCTCCACAGGGAAAGCAGGACACTCTCCCAGCCTCAGGCTGGTATGTTCCAAGGGGACACGGCAGGCAGGGCTTGAAGCCATCAGGAGAATATTCACCAGGGGAGCACTGATCTAGGAGAGGAAGAGCACACACATTACAGATGATGGTGTGTTAGTGAGCCTGTGCAGGACCCACAGCCCCACGGTGAAACTGCTCTCCTTTCCTGGGGCAGCTGGAACCAGGCTTCCAGAAATGAATGCTGGCAACAGCTACAGCTTAATACCTCCCATGTGCACTGTAAAGCAAACATTGATAGCCTTCGGTGCCAGTGAGCTCTTCTGGGAGCTGGAATGGATTTCACGCCTTGTTGTAAGGCCACACTGGACACTCAGCCTGTCCAGTGCTCTCTGCTCATCTATACATTGCAATTATGTAGTGATTATCTCCTCATTCTAGCTAGAGAGCTCTTGAACTCCTCCCAAATGAAATCATTTAGTATTGAACCTAAGATGCCAAAAACATGCTTCCAGATTTCTGTAAGTACTTTAATTTTAATATTATTGAATAGTCATATTTCATGACCATTAGCATTACTGGACTGTGTGAAAACGTCAAGTGCAACAAGTAATTGTGCAAATTCAGTGGACTAAACATTATGCCTCAAAGACTTTTAAAGCAGAAATATTCTTGCCATTCCTCTGATACTGGCCTTTAGGTAATGATTGTGTGTGCACCAGACTGCTGTGTTCTGTATGGTACACAGACAGCACTAACCTGGTCTGACTGATTTTACTTACACACCTCAGTATTATCTAGCAAACCCAGCAATACTCATGAGTATCTTTGAAAAGTTCTGGTTTTCAAACTTTTCACAAAAGAACTGGCTTCAGTGGCAGCATTTAATAATTACCCTGCTCTGGAAAGGCACAAAACACTGTTGCAGTTGTTCATCTGCGCTGAAAAATTCTGTCCTTTTAAGATCTGTTACGATAATAAACTGTTAGTTTTAGTTTATAGCTCCAATAAATCACTCAGTGAATAGCTGTTTTGTTAGGAAGTTAAATTGGCCTTGGCTTCATTTCAGGATATATGACTAACAACAAGCAGGGCATTAACTACCGGTCATGATCAATGATGAAGAGTTTTGTTTATGGCTGATACAGCTAGAGGAATAGTTGAGAGTGTTCCTCCTCAGCTTAAAAATAAAATGCAGCAGGTTAAGCAATGCTCTGTAGCTTATCAATGAAAGCTTGTGAGGAAGTCTTAGCTCCTGCTTCTAACTTTTTCCACTACACATCACTTCTGCCCTCATAAGGACACACATTCATTCGCTCCCACGCTTTTCAAGCCTTTCTCTATTTTATAAACATTCCTAGGGAACACTCATCTCTGTACAATTTGTGCACTTCCACAAACATGAATGAATTCAAGCTTTCATTGCAGCAGTCCTAATAAGGTAAGGAAAGAGCACTATTTACAATTCCATGACAAGGAAAGACAATTCAGGGTTAGGAAAGGTGATTCTGAGAAGTGCCTACTGACTTCAGAAACCTAGAAGAAATGGAAAGATCTGAGCAAATCTCCTTCCCTCATACAACTCCATGGCTCTGGGGGAAATCAATGCTCTGAGTGGCCTTGCTAGAAAATATCTGCTCCCTGCTCTCTCCCCTTAGCTTGTCTTTTTCCATTTATTTAATCACATGTCAAGTTTGGGGCTTGTTTTTTTTTTTTTATTTGGAGGAAGGGGTGTCTTCTGTGTTTTGCACAGAAACACTGAGGCTACAAATTCAGTCTTAAAACTGTACTTCAGGTTTCCTAAACTTGCTCAGAGTCCAGCAGAACAGTAGGACATCGATCAGAGCTCAAAGGAAGCCTGCTCCAGGCAGGAATAAACCCCACAACTTATGTGGAAATGTTGCATTTGAGAACTCATCCCATCAGATCTCTCTTGACAGCTTTACCATCTGCATCTTACTTGGCTTGAAACCACATGTGAAGATTGTGGAGCTCCCTGTGGAATACATCTGAGTTAATCCAAATCTTCCTGGGTTATTTAGCAAAGCGCCTAATTCTTGAAAATTTGCATTCAAGAAGTAAACTTAAAAAAACCTCCTCGGACATCACTAAGATCCTCAATCCGGGCCAAAGGAAAACTTTTCCATTAAATCTGAACCATTTGAGTCAAGTATTTCCTTCTGATTTTCCTAAGAGGTGGCAACAACAGAAAGAAAAAAGGCTATCTAGCTACCACCACTGCAACAGGGTGCTCAAAACCAGCTGAAAAAAAAAAGCTCTGACTTCTGAGATACACCAAACACTTCAGGCTTTGATTGATCCTATGTGCATTTGAGAAAAGAGGTCAGTACACCCACATACAGATTTTGCCATTTACAGTCTAACAAATAATGCAAATATTAAAATTACAACATGCCATGTCCAAGTTTTAATGCCTCAAACTCACAAATATATCAATTTCTTTACATGACTACATCAAATCAAGATTTTCACAGTGGTACAAGTGTCCAGACAGTTCAATCCATAAACACATTCCCTGTAAACTGCTCCCAGTTCCCCCTCATCTTCCACCTAGAAATGTTTCAAACAGGCCACTCATACAGCCCCACTGGAGCACAGAGCTGGGGTAGTGAGGAAAGCCTGTTAAGAAGCTCACAGCATTCACAGGGGCCCAATTTAGCATAACAAATAGACTCAGTATTAGATTTAATTATAGTAACATTAATAATAGGGGCATTATTTCAACACAGAAATCATCCCACAGAACCGTGCAGAAAATTAGGATGAACCTTCTCTTAAAAAAAAGCCCAACAAAATTAACAAAAAAACAAAATCCCACAAGAAACACCTCCACAAAGTTAAACTTTTCCAGATATGTGCTTAAAGAAAACAAGTACAGAAGTTTATGAGCTTTGTTTTTCAAAACTAGAAACTGCATGCTCCCACCTGACATGTGGGAAATACCCAGATATCTGAAGATTTGCAAATAATGACATTAAATCACAATTCCACTGGCTGGCTTTGCTCTTTTTTTTCAGAAACTTGATTGTTTTTCTCCAAATGAACAAAAGAACCAATTGCCTCTAGCAGACTTCATTTCTGCAGCCACTGTCTTTGTTTATCTTCAATACCCATTAAAAACCTGGTCTTGAGTCTCATGCAGCTGTTTTAAAGGGGAAAAAAAAGTGAAAGCTTTTCTGATGCAAAAACAAGAAGAAAAGGGGGGTGGCGGGAAGAGAGGGGCCCATGGGGAACCAGGATTAACAGTTACAAAGACATTTAAAGGCTCTTCCCCTCTTTTCAACACATTAGCCTTTGAGCATTTGCTCCTATAGACAAACGCTGTAGTATCTCAGGGGCTGAGAAGGTGAACCTCATAAAGGAGGTCATGATCCACCAATTCACCATTTTCTTAAGAATGATGCCTTGACTTTATAAGGAAAATCACCAACAAGTGATGCAAATTGATTCTGAAGCGGCATCCTTTAAGTTATTGTGCTTTAGCGGGTCACACATTTAGGTCACATGAGATGGTTACGCTTTCTAAGGATTTATGTCTTGAATCTATGATTTTCAGGGCAAGCAGGTTAGCAGGAAAAATAGCACCCTTTCCCCCCATTTGATAATTCATTTATTCTTCTTGGATTTTCACAAAATTGAAAAAAAAACAAAAGAAAAACAACAGTTGTGCAACACAACTATTAATTATAACAACTGCAAAGGCAGGCAGCATTTTGCTTTTCCTTTTAGATACTTCTCTCATACTTTTACGATGCCATCATCATACCACATACAAACCTTTGAGACATGGTTCATCATTTGGGATGAAATATTATTATCTTACTTGCATCCTCTCAGCTGAGGGGACAAAGCTGCTGAATGCTGAGCAACAAAATGCAGTGACACCTCCCACACAAGATGAAGCTGCTCATCACGTCAGAGCAGCGCCTGTGCCAGCGTGGCTCATGCCTGCTGCTCTCTGAAGTGACAGCTCTTTGGGGGAACCCACTTACAACCACTGTGGAACAGGGACATGCTGTCATATCCTTTTTTGCAGTCATTTCAGGAAATGGTAATTCTCAGTGCCTCCTTCCACCTCTGAAAGTATTGGAATGTCCAACACAAAAAAAACCCCAAAACCTCAAAACAACAATAACAAAATAACCCAAAAACCAACAACAAATGGAAAAGGCAAGGTGTACTTTCAATGCCATAGGTTGTGATCAAGGTATGACAGAGTTTTAAGCAGCGAAAGAGCAGCTAAATGGCTTGTTGTTTGAACTTATTTTCTTTCAATACAGAGGTTTCTGGTAAATCACTTTCTGAAAAGGAATTGGTAGTATTTAAGCAGTTGGTCTTTGGCTGTTTAATCTCTCTGAAGTCAAGCCCATACTGGAGAAGGAACACTTGTAGCCAGGCTAGTGAGTGAAACTGCATTCTCCCCAAGACAAATCTCCTCTCAAGGAAGCATGCAGCATTTCCAGCATCCTCAGAGGGTTCACACACAGTCTTGATGCACCGACATTCCAAAATGGATGTTTGTTACCTTAAGAGCTACTTCAATGCAGAAGAATCATACTTCTGCTAAGAGAATCCAGTTCTCTGGGAAGGCTGATGAAAGTTCCATTTTTCTATGTGCATTTCATGTGATATCCATGATTCTGGACCTATCACTGGTTGCTCCTTGGAAGCCAAAATCAGGACTTTGTGGGATTAACCAACATGAGCCAGTGCTGAAAGGGCTCATCATAGCTACAGAACTCACACTTAACAAGGTAGAAAAATGCAACATTTGAGCCTCTAAAGCATCAGAAAATCCCAAACAGAACTGTACAATAAACAGTAAAGTTGAAATAAACCACACTATCCCTTGGAATCAGCAGTGAATTCCCTTTTACCACCAACAGCTGTTTTAAAGAACAGCAGGCACACAAGTGCCTTCCAACATATTAATAATGATAGAATACCCTGGAAACCACATGTAATTTGTTCCTGGTGCCTTTCTAAAGCTTCTCTTCTGCACTGTGCCCCACTCAAGACCGTAGGAGTTAAGACAGGAAAATCAGGGATGGAACTATCTCACCAGAAGTGTGAAACCAAATGAAATTTATCTTACTGCTGCAATTGCAGGCCAGTTACCCAGCACAAGAGCTGTCAGAGCAGGAGTTGGATTTTCCCTCTGACACTGCTTAAATATAAATAATGTTTCAGACAGTGCTGTACCAGGAGAATTCTACCACAGGAAGAGGACCAGCACAAGACACTCTGAATAAACAAAACTGTATCTAACCTAGCCATATCCCAAGTATTTGAAAGCAATGAACTAAAACCTGCATTTCACTCAGTAACTGCATCAAAGAAGACTTGTAAGTCCCTTTGACTTGTCTTGTTCCCTCACTGCTTCCTACTCCTCTGGCCAGACTGAGCAAAATCTCTTCGCTGTTCAAAGGCCACATCCACCACCTGAATCCATCTGCTGACCAGTATCTCTTGCTGTGGCGCCGCTTTCTCCCCAGAACCACTAGCATGTCTAGGTAAGCAGACCCCAATCCCATCCAGAAGTTCCCAAGCAGCTCTGCAAAACAATCACATCAAAACAAAGGAACAAAAACCAAAACACCCTCTCCCACACAGATCCCTGAACTGGCTTCTTGCCTTTCTTCACACTATTCCCACTCTATTCTCCTCTCCCCAGCCTGTTTCTTAGCTCCTTCTGATTGTCAGTCCAAGCAGCAGCACCAGCCCCCAGTCTTACCTTAACCATTCACCCTGGGACAATCAGCTTTTTCTAAGGAAATGAGGCGTTCGTAACAACACTGCCTCTGTGTGTACTTTTATGTCCTCTCAGCAATAGTGAGCTGTCTGCCCAGCTCCCAGCAGCCTGACAAGTGATGTAGGGAGGTTTCAAAGATATTAATTCTCTGCACATTTAATGAAAATAAGCGAGGAACAAGTGCAAGGAGAGAGACCTTAACATCCGTGTAAGTGCAAGAGTGTGGTGCGAGTTCCACCTCCTGTTTGATCACAGCAAATCTACATAAGGATATGTATAATCTGCATAATTCAGCTGAAGAAAGGAAGGTTCTTTTAGTGATTGCACCTTGTTAGGCACGAGCAAATCAAACCATAAGCCATGAAACACACAGGGTTATTCCACTGCTCACAGTTAACCGTCATCTCCTAGGATGTCCGGAACAAACTGTGGCACAAATCCAGCAACAGAAGAGGCCTGACTTCCACAAATTTTTCTTTAACACCTTTGTCTTCCTATGCTCAGTGACTCTGTTTTAATCATGGACAGGCTGTTTGTGCTCACCACACCAAAGAGCTTTCCGGGCAGGCATTGCCCAAAACACCCCTTCCTCTCTGAACTAGGGCAGAAGTGCCAGGTATGCTTCTCGTTTGTGCTGCAACATTAAACTGGTTCTGCAACCACCTAAAAAAAAATTGTGTTTCTCTGCTGCTTCAATTTCTAATTGTAATTCACATTGCCTTCTCCACCTGCAACATTTTTAGCTTACTCATAGCTATTTTTTCGAGATGAAATCACAAATATCTTCAGAGACATACTGTGCTCTGTACAATTGGACTGACATATTTTTTTCAAAGCCTTCTTTAGCATCCAACAAAATAGCTTGAAAAATCCTTGTAAACTCATCTTGGTGAACTTTCCAAAATTTTTCATATTTATTGCAATCTTCCAAGAAAAAAAAAAAAAAGAACTCTTACAGCTTTTTCTGAGATTTCCTGTGTAATTCCCTGCTTGCTTGCACAGATGTTTTAAACGATTTATCCGTTCTACAAATCCAAGTTTTTCTAGAGTTGGCAAAACTGAATTGGAAAATCTATCCTTAGGCCAAATGCTGCTGCTGGAAGACATACTAATTCAATGTGACAAGCATTTTAAAGGCTTGCTGATTCACAATCCACCTACATGCTGCCTACCCCATGCAGCCTGAATTAGCCGTCATGGTTGTTAGGCCTCTGTTAAGATGTAACATCTGACCCCTCTCCTTAACTTTTGTGCTTTGGAAGCATTTACTATGGACTGCCCTCCAATGCCATGATAATTAAGACTTTTCTCAGTGATGGCCTATAAACTCTCCATGAATTTATAACTATGTCATGAAGGTTCTCTGGAACTCTGAGCTTAGTCAGCAAAGTGGATGTGACTATGAAATTCTGAGCAGCCTTTTCCTTGGGAGAGGTGAGATGTGCATAAACTCAGGAGCACGGCATTACCCTGAATATTAAATATAATCTTAAAAGTAAGGCTGGTGATGTCAAGACCATTGGTGCCTGATGTTATTTCCAGGATTTCCACCTTCCAGCGTATTGCAGGCTGTACATCCACTGCAGTGCAGTGAGCCCTCGTTCTACTCTGTAACACACCAGCTGCCAACAACAAATTCACAGAGGGAATTTCAGCAGCACTAACAGCCCCCCCCAGTTCTGCACACACAGCCCTCCTCTCTCCTGGGCAAGCGAGCCATGAGCCCTCCGAGCTCAGCAGGCCTGAGCAAAGCACACGAGGCACCTCCTTCCCTGACTCACCACATCTGTTACCCGGCTGCTGCTGTCCCACACCACAGGACTGCTGTGGCTCCGGTGGCTTGAGAGCCTTTCTGGCCACCTCGTGGTCCGTGCCAGAGACGCGGATGCGGAACTGGTCCCTGCTGACCGTCTTCCGTAAGGTTCGGATGGTTTTACGGAACCGCTTTTCCGTCTTCTTCCGGGCACAGCGCACGTCACACGTGTCTGGAAAGCATCGGGGTGAAAGCTGCTGTAAGTGACCGAGCACAAAATCCCACCCAATTCAAAACACCAACCAATGCAAATCACCGAGGAAAACTTCAGGGAACAAGTCTGAAATCCTTAAGGACAAATACACTGATCTTTGATCTTTGAAGCTATCCCCATCTCTCACTCTTTCTGAAGCAGTAATTTTCAAAACAGGAGATACTTTTTATCATCATTTTGCATACAGACAGAAGTGAAAAATACAGAAATTAAGGAGCAAACAGCAAGAAGCTTCAAACCGCACCTGGAATTATTTTCCAACCAACCTGTCACCTCCTTCCGGCTCGTTTCAAGCTCAAAGTCCGCAGTGATAAAAATCTCTCTAGTCGCTGTCAGTCTACTGAGGGCTCCATGAACTTTCTTGCCAGAGCTGCATGTTAGGTTTACATAGTGGAAGCTCTCCATTACTGAATTTTGTCTCTCTGTATGAACAAAATCAAAGGAAGCAAAAGCTTGGCCAGCTCTGTTATTGAACAATGACCAGTGCTCAGCACGCGTGTCATCATGGAGAGTTAAAGAGGAGCAAACCTTCACCTCCACCTGCCAGTGAAAAACAGTTTGGGCAGTCTCTCACCTGGTACACCCTCACTCAGAATCGTGACCATTCTCATGGCCTCAATGAGGAAATAAGGTTTAGATCAAGGAAACACCCAGAACAAGCTCTGGTTCTGGAGTACAGAACTTGTCACTGAGCATTCAGAGCAGTTTCTTGCTGTTACTCTCCTAAGGACAAACAATCCGACACACTGATTCATCATATTGTTTAATGACTCCTTTCCCCATTTTTTTCTTTTTTTTTAAAGTACTCCTCCTCATTTTCTGCTGACTTTGTAAATTCCCAGGCTATTCTTTCTGCTTTGGAACAGATGGAAGAGCTGACCTCACTGCATTCATCTGGGGCTGCTGAAGTATGAAAGGAAGACAAGAGAAGAGAGGAATAACCCTTTGACAATAGAGTCAGCATTAAAGGTCAGGAGATTCTTCAATGAGGCATCAGACAGTAAGGAGCAGGTGAGAAAGGAAAGAAGAGAAAGATAAAAAGAGGAAGAGAAGGAAAAATCAAATTAACAAAAAGAATGGTTGATCTTACTGAGAATTTATTAGCAATATTGCAAACAAAAAAAAAAGGTGGGGGGGGCTTTCCTAGCAAGGCTGTGAGGATGCCACAAGGAAATCCTGGGATCTGAAATAACTGTTGCAAGAGTCATGGTCAAGCAGGAAGAAGTGTAGAACAGAAAGTGAAGAACAGAAAGCCTTCAGTCCTCTATGCTTTGCTTGTGCTGTACTTCATATCTGGAAAGCACTTAACCCCTGAACTATGGCTCTAACCTGCTTACCTGCCTTTTTATATTCATACCTGGTATCATCTGTTCCAGACCTTCTTGAAACATCTCAGTCTTTTTCAAACTACATTTTCCTTCATTTAATTTAAAGGTTATGCTTATCTTGATGGCTGGAGCATCTTCGGGAAGAAACAAGGAAACACATTATTTTTTTAAAAGGAGTAGAAAATTGAGATAACCCTAATGTGGCACTGTAATGATGACAACAAAAAATATGTTGATATGAAGTGATCACAGAAAAGGTAATGAGATGTCAAAACCCTCCTGCTGTGAAGCTGGTTCACAACTGGAACTAGAATGAAATGTAGTATATTTTATTAGGAAAAAAAAAAAAAAGAAAGAGAGAGAGGGAGGAAAAGGAGATCAAGACCAGATCTACTATTGGGTGAATCAAATAAGGGAAAGCTGAAATCAAAGGAGATACTCCAAATCATTTCAGAAAGGAGTTTATGCCTATGGCAGTAAATGCTTTCTAAACTTTGCTGTCCAACAGCACAACATAAACACATTGTTGCCAGCACTGTCCAGGTTTGGATGACTAAAAGGAGATGTAACTCCTGGTTTAAGTGTTTATTTCACTACTGATCTTTTCCTTGATTTTTAAGTCTCAGTTTGAATGATGTTGATGAAGCAGCATAAGGGGAGTTTTCTGCAGCAATCTACAATCACTAAGAAGAGGAAGAAAAAAAAGAGATAGATTATAAGAGGGGGAAAAAAGTCAACAGAAATACCTTTGTTTCACAGTTATCACTGAAAATATATCAGTCAAACTATGTAACAGTAAATGTGGTGATTACCCAGCCAGCTGGAAGCGTTTGCATTTTGCTGCTTTTTCTTAAGCTGAGAGGACCTGCCACAGGTGAGGGTGTAGGCATCTTGTGTTCCTAACAGACAGACAGACAGTAAAGACAGGCACAGTGCACACACTGAGGGCTCCTGTAGCATAAAACACATTTTAAATTTGTCGATTGGCATCGACACACAATGTTGTTCATAAAAGACTCCACACTAGAGCTTGTCTCTTCCTAAGCCATTGAAAGGATTGAGGAAGAGAAGGAGCATCAGTCCCACCCGCAGCAGGCGAGCCCACACGCCGTGTCCTGCGGGATGGAGGAGCTGTGGGGGCAGAATCTGGGACCCCACGCAGGGCTGGAATGCCTTTGCCCCATTCACCAGTGCCTCTCAGGGCCAATTAAGGAATGGCCCAAGGAGCACGGAGAATTCTTCCCCGTCCTCCCCAGCTTCAAAAAGAGACTTCTTGTGAGAAGGGAATCCGAGGGTAGAGTGGTTATAAAAGACAAGGAAAGAGGGGCTTTCCTGGACATTGTCAGGGATACAGCCCTTTATTATCTGCAGTGAAAGAGGACAGATCCCTGTTTATTGACTGCTTCTTGGGGTTTTCTTGATGCTTTCTTGAGAGTTAGGAGGTTGGTCACCCTTACTCTCTGAACAGAATCCCGTGCTCAGTTTTGTTAGGTCTGACTTACCAGAGAATACCTGGACATCCGGAGAGCAGCTCAGAAAGCATCTATCACTCCCACCACTCTTAATGCAGTGCAGCAATACCTTGGGTGACACATTATCAGACAAGGGATCTTTTGTCTCTAAATAGGATAAAACAAACACTCACAGAATTAAAACATCTACCTTCACCCTACCAATAAATCAGCATGCAGCTGCTTTTGTAGCCAGTACCTGAGAGCAGCCATGCAATTAATATGCTGTTTAGACAGAAAATTAAAGCCAAATAAAATTACTGGAAGATCACACCACAAAAGTAATTTCCTTTATCATGAGCAAACCTTTTCATGCAGAGGAACAAAAGGAAATAGAAGAATGAGCTAGATAAAAGCACAGGAGAGAAAGCATCAAAATCCCTCAAAGTATCTCCTGTTTTTGGGGTTGGTTTTCTGTTTGTTTTTATGAGTTTCGACATCACTACCATCATGCCTTGCTAAAAATTAAAGCAGAATACTGGGAACAATGACTCACACCACTTAACTGGACAGACCATCAAATTTGACTGTAACCATATGGCCTGTCAGACACATCAGGAGTGGAAATGTACTTATTAGACACCTTACCAACACAGTCCTTTTTATTCCAGTGTAGCTTGTAGTTAGAGTGACACAGGCACTCATAATCTCCCGGTGTGTTCACACACAGCTGCTGGCAACCACCGTTGTTGATGCTACATTCATTAATATCTACAGAGGAAAGGTAAAGATACTTTTAAAAGTTATGCACTCTAACTTCCACTAGGTAAATGTGGACACAAATACTGCTCTTGAGGGTTTTGAAAAGACATCAGGAGTGCTACCTGGACACCCACCTTGAAACAGTTTGTCTTCATGGAAATCCTTTGATAAATGTCAAAGCAGACCAAACACTGGTGGCTCATAATTAAACTACATCCAGCCTCAGCAATATGATAACAAATTAACTCTAAGAAAAGCAGATCAAGTGAAATCTGTATTGCACTGTGTCTGGTTAATTAATATTTCTAATTTTAAATAAAGACAGAGAATGTGAGCAGGATTCGTACTGAGCAATCCTCCAGTTTTTTGGATAATGTTGTTCATAAGCAAACCATGGCAGTGCATGAACTATTAACCTTAATCCATTTGACATTCTCCCTTCCATGTTTTAATTATATTTACAGCTTTCAAGGAGGTTCTTGGCTTTTCTCTTTTTATCCTGGGCTTTTCTCAGTGGACTGAAGCTTTACTTCACCTTCTCCTGTATGCACTTAGTAACATGTGCAATGTACCTTTCTTGTAGCCACAAGGTTTGGCTTGTATGAAGGGAAATATAGGAACATAAGCATATTTCTGTATTCTTATTTTCAGAGCATTTATTTACTAGAGATTTTCTGAACCCTTTACATGAAATCACAGTAAGTCAGGTAAAAAAAGGGAAAATAGTCTAACTGATGCTGAAATGCTCTGAGAGATGCAGCTGTGGAACACATCTGCATCTGTGGAACATTCTGGCTCTGGGGGCAAACACCACCACTGCATCCCCCTTGTCTCTTTTGGCCAGTTATCCAATTTTGGAGCCTTGTCCCACCCAATAAATGCCAACAGGAGGAGAAATTACTGACAGCACAACACACGCTGCCTCTGGTGCAAAGTTGCATGCTGATGCAGAATGTACCACTCAGCAGTGCTGTATCCCAGGGGTCAACACTGGGGCCAATACTATTTATCCTCTTCATTAAACCTGGATGGTGGGACAAGAGTTCACCCACAGCAAGGTCACAGATGAGACAAAACTGGGAGGAGTGACTGATGCACCAGATGGTTGTGCCACTATTCAGTGGGACCTTGACTGCCTGGAGAAATGGGTCAATAAGAATCTCATGAATTTCAACAAAGGGAAATGCAAAGGTCTCTGTCTTTGCTGCTCAGATCCACCCTGAGGAGGCTTCACTTCTCTCCCATAGCTTTATGGCAATTGTACATAACCCAGAAAGCTGCCATCAAGAAACCTGTTGAAAGTCCCATCAAAGTTTGTGCATCTCAGGGTACCTACTTCCACACACTTATCTCAGTGCTAGTAAGTTCTTGTCACTGCTGTCCCCAGACTAGATACCCTCTAAGTAACAATTTGTTAAAAAACAGTGTGAAACTCATTACCAAACCTGTCTGATTTGGGGGGAAAATATGCTCTTAAGAGAACCGAGACAGCAGGGGTAGGAATGAGCAGCAGAGGAATAATGGAGAAAGAAGGCAACACCTTAAACTGGTACTGCTGCCTAAAATACCACAAAACTAGCCCAAATCTTTGGTTTTTACTGACCTCTTCTTAGGATTCCAACCTCTTATCTCAAACACTTACTGACTTCTTCCACAGAGGTCAGAAGGTGTATTCTCAGTATTCTATCAGCTCTGACCAGCCTGTGATTGCCAGTCAATGAGGAACTTACTGTGGCATGAGAATTAACATCTTCTGCATGGGGGTATGACAAGAAAAGGCCAATTAGCAGCCAACATCAAAATTACAGTTCCTTTTCCTCACTGGTAGCCAAAAGAAATCGAATTAATGCAGAGGAATTAACCAGAAGTCATATTTTACTAAGTAGAGCATATGACAGTGTTGTTCCTTATCCAGATAAGTTGCCATGTTCATCAGGATAAAACACAGTGATGTTTTAGCCCTGTAATCTTATTTGCAGAATTTCTAGAGGCAGAGGGTAGAATAGACAGGCACACAGAGATTTCTGAATTGTTCTCTCCAACCGTGCTCATTCTGCCTCAGAAATAAACAGGTCTTACTCAGAATTAAGTAAACTTTGGAGTCAGTAAGGTCTTGCCTAAAGCTTATATAAAACAAGTTTGATTCCATTTAGTGTCCCAGTTATTCATGTTTCCTCACGTTAATTCTGGGAATTTGTCACACGTTGAGCTTCTATGAACAATTTTCTATTTCCTTGAACTGTTCTTGTAGGAAAGACATAAAAATTTAAGAGTATTAATCTTGGCCAGTGCAAAGTGGTACTACAGCAGCTAAATTCCAACCTACACCATATGAGGATCTGACATGTACACAACAGCAACCTGCAGAACTGTAATTTTCAGAGTCATTCAGAGCTTCCTGCTCTTCAAGCCCTACTCCACTGACTTCTCCTTCAAGTCAATGACTCTTCTGCATGTGAAAATTGGTTTGAATTATGGACTTCAGATGCAAGCACAAAACCCATCAGTTTGTCCTAATAATTACAGGTCCCTTTTGCTTGCAAGGTGTAAAGGCAAAATCACTTGAGCAAAGACAGAAATAAGCAGGATCCGTTTCTACTTTTTCTGTGTCTCCTTATCACAGCAAGGAGTAAAATTTTCTCCGTGGGCCTCGCCTGCATCAGTTTGTGTCTTGCAGGGACTCAGAGCAGGCCTGTGGGAACATCCCAGTGTCCCATGGGCTGTGGTGTGTCTGTAACTCACCTCCACAGTGTGTGAAGCCATACAGGGCATATCCCTTGTTACATGTGCACTCGAAGGTGCCGGGGTGGTTGATGCACGTGTGGTCGCACGCCCGCTCGAAGGAGCACTCATCAATGTCTGCAAGGTTTAAAGAGAGGCATCAGAACCCCTCAGGCTGGCCAGGGAGCCCTGAGGAGCCAACAGAGTTCAGCAGCTGCAGGGGTGTGCAGATTCTTTCAAAGCACATAATGTAACATAATGAAATGACAGTTTTTAAAAGAATGCTCGGTTTGCCAAACAAGCTTTTCCTTGGCAAGTGCAAAAACTGCTGTTATGTTTTTACAATTATGTTTAAATCAAATTATTTCTCTTCTATGAGAGAAGAAAACTGCTGACAAAACTCTTATATTGCTAGGATTACTCTACATAGAAATGCAGTATATGAGGGAAAATACTACCTTTGTTTTTTTCCTCCCTAAATGAAGCTCTATATGAATATACAGTGCCTGATATAAGTCTGCTGAAAATCACAGTGTTCTCTGAGAAAGAACATTCATTTTGCCATCAAAAATACTTAAAATTGCTATGCTAGTACATTTTGTATGCCAGGTAAGAATGTTGCAAGACACAAAAAAAGCTCACATCAACTTCACTAGCACTTTTCATCAGTCTTTTTCCTTGGGCTTTGGCACACAGAGTGATATCACTTTTGAAACAGTCCAGGGAAAGCAACAGAAGTGACAGGGCAAAAGGGAGATGCAAGTCTTTAGGATACATTCATAAACAGATTTCATTAAAACAAAACCCCAAACAATCCTGAAAATCAAATGTTTATGCAGTAAGTTTTTGACATATAAATACTTGTCCTTCTTTGCCTATTTATAAAGGATAAGAATGCACAAAAATAACCCAGGTGAAAATTATTTCCTCTTGGTCAGTTCTGATTTCTGAAATTCACCTTTAATGTCAGCTGGTTTCCCAGGAAATCACATAATTCACAATTTGGCTGACTGAATTGACATTGTTTCATCCTGTTGCTTTTCCACAACCACAAACCATTTTTATCACCACATTTTTTGTGCACTCAAGCAGCTTAAATAGGATTGCTAAATTTATATGTACAAACCATTATACAGCAAAGCAAATATGCTCTGTAGGTCTCACAGGAGAAATCCATGTCATCCTCAAAAGCAAAGGATCTGTGATATTTTAGGGAACAGAGTTTCCAGTCTGTCTACAGACCTATAATTTCATAGATCACATTATATATTTTTCCTTTAATAATGAGCTCATGGCAGCTAAATATCCTATTAAGAAAAAATAGTTTCACTGTAATGGTGAATCAGAAAGATGGAGGGAGAGACATTACCTAATTTTCCTGTAAATTACTTTAAAATCATTAAGGCAGGGAGAAGCATTAACCTCATAGAGAGCTTTTTAACATGATGTCTCTGTCCCTTCCAGATAATAGCTCACTGTGCCATTAAAGTTATCTCCTACAATAGCATCAAGCCAACTGTATTAACTCAACATCTGTTTCAGAAGAAAAAAATCCAAACTGAGGAATGGAAATTATTCTGGAGTCCATTATCACTTCATCATTGCAGTAGATGTCCAAGGCACGCTGATTTGTCCTACTTTTGTTGTACCATTGTCTCTCGAGTGCACATACCTTGACAGGACTTCTCATCTGTTAATAATTTAAATCCTTTTCTGCAGCTGCAATCAAAACTGCCAACAGTGTTTTTACAGAAATGATCACAGCCTCCATTATTGGCCTGGCATTCATCAATATCTGTAGTGAAAAGAAGAAAAAAGGCTTCAGCAAATAAACACAGAGCTTTGGCACTCAATCTACTCCCACTGCCAGATTCAGAAAATAGTCACGTCCAGTCGGTTGGAGGAGCCCAGAAACAAAATCTAGTGAGACTACCACAAATTGTAAGGAAGATCAGATCCAACTCTTAAGAATGATGCAGCCCATTCAGCCCCAGGACAGTGTTATTTGCTCTCATTTAATATCTGGCTGTCAGTTGCATTTGGGTAATGCATTCATAAAAGACTATTCCCTGAGTTCTGTTTGGAAACACTTTGACTCCAAGGCTCTCTAAGTGGTTTTGGTATTTTAAACCTTTAAACCTTTTTGTAAGCCCTGCAGAAATCTCAGACAGAGACTTCCTGAACTACCCTGTCCCTTTCATGGCAATATTAGAATGAGGCCTTTATCTAATATTAATTGACTCAAGCATGGAGATTTCATCATTTTCACTTAGCAGAACAGACTTAACATCTAATTACTGGAAAAGCAATATAATACACAACCTAACTGTGCCTTTGCTCCTCACCAGAGCTCTCATTAGAGCTGCTGGGAGCAGTGCATTTTTACAAAACACATCCCTGTTTACACACTGGTATGTACACATTTTCTTACCAACTGCTCTAATGCCCAGCTGGGACTGGATGCCTGGGAGCACCCCCACACCTGCTGGCCTCTGCCCCTAGGGACCTCTGCTTGGCCACAGAGCTCTTTTAGCCCTCCCAGACCTGACCTCTGAAAAAGGAGGCACAGGAGGTGGAAGTGGAGAGCAGGAGGGCAGAGAAGAAGAGATTCTCTGCACGTGATACCCCTGACACCACAGCCTCTGCCCGTGGTGCAGCCCTTCCTCCAGTCAGATTGCACACACCGCCTTTCCTCTGCGCCCTGGGCTGCCTCTGCTTGGAGATTAATATCTTACAGGACCTGGTAACACCTAACAGGTGTTGGCACACGTGCCCAGGAGTATAAACCCCACCTTTGCATGTCTTGCCATCAAACTGGAGCGTGAATCCAACGGGGCAGCTGCAGTGGACTCCGGTGGATGTGTCCTTACAGGTGCGGTCGCAGCCACCATTATTCACCGCGCACGTTTCTGACCAACGAGACAGAGCTCAGGTTTCCTCAGGGAAATTACAATGGTACCAAGAAACACCATGGGATACAAGGCACAGTCCCAAGCACACTGCTATTCAAACATTTAGACTAGAACACATGAGCAACTGCTAAATACATGTGTCGGCAAAATCCCTGCCTCAGCCCTTTCCGGGTTTTTTGTGGAAACATTACAAACCACAATACTGTCTTCTGGGTATTCCATTTGTGTCTTAAACACAAATCCCCACTCCTTGATGATGAATCTGTTATCGACAGACAGTTTCCTTATGCCCACACTGAATCCTGGCTGAGCCTCTGATGCTTCCCACCAATGAGACCTGGCTACAGCCAGCACTACTAAATGAGTTTTCTGAAATCCCTCCCAACCCATCTTCCCATGCTCCCTGTGCTCCCAGTCATGGTGGATAACACCCTCACTGAGCATTCCTTCAGCCTGGTAACCCTGGTGCCATTTCAACCAAAGTTTGCTCCTCTAACTCCCCTCTATGCAAACTATGCCTAAATCTCACCAAACCTTCCTAGAAAACACTCCTGAAACACAGCTCTTCACATCCAGCCAAACAGAAATAACTCACTCTTTGGTTTTCATCCTCTTGTCATCAGCCTAACAGCCTTTTCACTGGCTGGACAAATACAATTTTATACAGCATGTATTGATTGAGAGAGCTGCAAAGAGCATTTTTTAATGTTTGCTTTTTGAAATCTGCTTTCTAGCTCTGTATCATTTTCTGCAGCATCAAGCATATGCTACTCATTGTCAGGTTTTGAGAGCTCTGCTGGTTTATTCCCTCCCAGTCTCTCATCTCACATGCAGTATTGGTAGGCTGTGTCCAGCCTCCAAGGGAAGACAGAGTGCATCTTCTTTCTTCCTCTGTCATTCTTTTGAAAACAAGGCTATTCATTTAGATGTCTGAACATTAGGGAATAGTATTGTTTCCTTAAGAGAGATCATCTCAGGCAGAATTCAGCACAGAATAGACAGTTACCATAAAAAAACCAAGAAAGCCCACACTAATTCTTCGATCTAAAAGGCTTCAACAAGCAGCAGAATTATTTTGGATCAGCACTTTTACCCATAAGCAGCCGTCGCTTCACTCTCTTGTCCACATCAGCTGCTGCTGTGGTGTTTCCCTCAGAAACTTCAACAGCAGCTTCTTCCCTCTCTGTAAGGAGCATGAAAAAAGCAAGTGAGTAAAGGTGCCCTGACCAGAACCCTCATCTGATATCCAACACACACAAACAGCTGCATCACACACTGAACCAGAGACAGGCGGAACAGACCAGGCAGAAATAAATTGCTTTTAAAAAGCAAGAAGGTAATAAAAATCATTAAGACCCTTCAGTCAAAACTGTGAAAATATTTTGCTTTTTTGGCTTCCTTGCAAGTCATGTTTGCTTCAGTATCCTTAACAAAACAAAAGATGTGCTACAGATGTAGTAAACAGCAGCAAGATGAAAGAAATAACTGAACTGTTCTGTTAGGAGTGCACTGTCATCATCTATCGTGGGCTAATTACAACAACCAGCCACTAATGCCTGAGCATTTGACTTCAATCAATAGACAACAAACTATTTCAGAGACTGGAAGAGTTTATAAACCTTAAGTGCTTTCTTTACTGGATAACTGCCTTGCCAAAATGATACATTAATTGATTTCAGAGTCCCAGTTATTACAGACATACTCCTTTGCTTGTACTCTCTGGCTCACACTACTGAACAAACTGAACCTAAAATATCCTAGAGGGAAGGAAGCTTTCTTTGGTAAGTGATATGCCTTGTGTTTCAGGGGGACCAGTGATAATTACAGGTTGCAATATTATTAGGTAGCTACTTAAATAAGGAAGCAAAACTTGCCTGGACCAAACCAACTCACCCATGCACTATCAGGTTCCTTAATTTTGAACTCCTTGACATTTTCTAGCCATACTGTTATGAGGGGCATTAATCATGCACACACAGCACCACCACACCACCCTCGAGGTGGCCATCCACAGAAAACTGCTTCCCTCCTCTGCATACTGACCCAGGCAGGTTTTGCCATCCACGTGCATGATGTACTTGGGGTGACATCCACAAACAGGCCCATTGTCAGCATCGTCACACGAGTGCTGGCAGCCCCCGTTCCCGTGGTTACAGGTCACTGGCAAGAAAACACATGGCACTCTCACATGTACTTCCAGCACCTTTGGAGGACAGTCTGCAATTCCACTGCCACCTGAGCATCCAATACACCTTCCTCACGTGGCCCTGTGCTGAAGGGCTCTGTGAGACTGAAACACAGCTCTCCCATGGAGCTGAACTTCCCCTCATGATGGCACAGCTCCCAAACCACAGACACTGCAGCAATTAATAGACCTGTGTGACAGTGTCCAGAAAAGACATCAATTCTGGTTTAACTCAAATGCACACAGTTCAGACGTGACATCCCATGTTAGCTAAAACATGCCAAGTCCCATTTCAGTGCAAACAGAGCACTGTTGGTGTTCACTTGGGGGAACCATAAGCATATGCAGAATGTTGCCTACAAATGCAGCTCCTCTGGTTCTTGGACAGCTCAAATCCTGGTCGGCATTCACAGGCAACTCCTCCTTTGGGTGTTTCTCTGCAGATGTGGGCACAGCCATGATCTTTGTTCATGCAGCTCATGCCTTCTGTAAAACAGGAAAGGTACACAAGCATCAGCATCCTCAGAAGCTCTGTGAGCAGGCGACAAAGTCAGTTCAATAAACACACAGACTAAGCCTCTAACTCTGGGAAGACTCTGCAGGGCTGGGACAAGAGGTTTCAGCTTACAGAGAGGAAAGGCAGCAAGTCCAGTCCTGCAAAGTCTCTGGCCCCAAGGTTTCTCCTTCTGTGATCTTTTCTGTGCCCGTGTTCTTTGACTGCAAGGTCAAAGAGAACATCCACAGATTTGTACAGCACCTGCATTCTCATCCAATTCTCTCACTTTCTACCTTCAGGTGTTCATAAAACCTCCTCATTTCTTTTATAAAAGTGGTAGTGTCCTGGCAAGGTCCAAGTCTAAAGGGAAGTTCTTAATTCTCTGCTTGAAAGAGCAGCCAGCAGTCCCAGGAAGGTTTAGAGCAGCAGTCAAAGGGTCATCCCAATTTCAATTCCTGGATACAGAGCAGACTCCCAGAGTCATAACCTATCTCAGCAGTGACCAACTAGAGACCAGGCCAACATGCAGATTGCACACACACTGTATGCCAATTCTCTTTGTTGTTAACCACTTTGTTTTCAGGTTTTTTTCTGATTTCAGTACCTACCACCCAAGATGACCTCAGTGGGTATTATCACAGTGTTCTGTGTTTCTACACACTTTCCCAGCTAGACAGAACTTAGTGCCAGTGCCTGCTTTAACCAAATGAAGAACCAGTGTGACACTAATGACTGGATTTCTTTTGCTGTACCTCCTAAAACATTCTGTCATTTTATCTCTGCCAGTTCATGAACAGCACTCAATTGCCAGAGTGTCTTTCCTGGCCTTTACAAAAATATGAAGTCAATTAAACTGGGAGGAATAGTTCCTAAAATTATTGCAAAAGCCTCTTTCCTCTTGCTCCATGGTTCAGTGTAATCAGTCTTTGCCATTGGCAAGAAGGTGGTAGAACACAAAAACACCCAGCAGCTGGCTGAGTTACCCATTGGGATCATTAGACCAAATTAAGGAAATAGGTTTTCTTTTAATAGAATACCACAGATTTTTGACAGTCCTCTACAGTGCTGCAAAACCAGGAAAGAGAAGACATCTGAATGTTCTCCTTGGGTGTACAGAGAGCACACCTTTACCATCAAATTCTCTGCCTTGGCTCACTTGGCTTTGAAAGGACAAGTTACACCAAAATGCCCTTTCTTCTCAGTGAGAACACTCCATTTATGAAGACCAAGTGGAGCATGCTTTGGCTGCAAGAGCTCATTCCACACCACCCCTGTGAGCTTCTCTGGAGCCAAGTAGAGGCACAATCAGGAGCAGAAGAGAAAGGGTGACCATGCCACAAAGGGATTGTGTGATCAGTTCCACACCCTATATATTTTTTAACTTATACAGCCCCTTTTTCAGCCTTATTACTAAGTGAAACAAACCCGTGGCATTGTGAGGCAGAGGTCAGCTCGTCACCATTATTCCACTCCACTTCAATTAGGTCCTTGTTCCACACTGCTATTCTCACCCCCTGGAGCACCAGCTACAGGACCCTTTCTCTATTAAGACAGCTTTAAGCAACAAAAGACTGGACATTGCAGAGCCCAGATTATTCTGCTCTACTGGCTTTTTGATTCCTTTCCCACAGTGAGGGCTCTCCAGAAGTCCAACAAGACAATGAGACTTCAAACCCTGCAGCACACAGACACAGCCTGAGGAGCCCACAGGAAAGCTGTGTCACCCATTATTGTGTCAGTCAGGGAAGGAGACAGCCTATGAAGCCACAAATTAGCCTCATTAGCACTGGTTTTGTGAAAGTTCTGGTCTTAAGCATGCAGTATGGCTTGGTCTGTTAGCTCAGAGGGGTTAGGGAGCATTAAGGGAATTAGCAGCTTAGTTTCTGCTAACAAAGTTATTCTTTTGTCTCTGTTGAGCTACCGAAGGGGAAACTGTTCAAGCAGGTACTCTGGTAAAGTTCACTGACACCAAACAATTGGTTTATATGCTCCATTTGGGATTGCTCCATTCTGAGTGAGCAGGATTCGATCAGGTCTCCATAGAAAGCTAAAATTGCACTTTCCAGACCAGGATGCATTTTAATTACAAAGTATCCATTGTGGAACAAGGTACTCCACCAAACCCACCCAAATCTGGCCGACCCAAAAGGCAGTTTCATAGAAGATACCCACATCCACACATTCCAATTTGGGACTGCTGCTTGTTTCCAAAGCTGGTAGATCTCTCTCAGCCCCATTTTATGAGTTTGTATTAAAGAGATGTCTATAAAGCCATAAATGCTGTGTGGCTGCAAACCCCTTGGTGGACACAAAGTCTCCCAGGTCACATTGTTCCAGTGCTGTTGGAATGGCAGGCTGGGACCCAGAAACAAACCCCAAGCAAATTTTGGTCACATCTCCCCCCACACCTCCCAGACACACAATTTCTCTTGTAGGACACCCTGCCCTGCTGACTCACAAATGTCTTGGGATGGATGGCTCTGGATTGTCCCGCTCAGCCAAGAGAGGTGAATCCAGCCTACTTGGTTGAGCAGATCCTGAGCCAGGTGAGACCTTTCTGATGACTGGACCTTCTCAAAGACACCCAGCAAACCTGAGGTCTGAGCACTCCTGCCACTGGCAAAACACAGGCAAAAAACCGCCAGCACACTAAACTGATTGATCTCCTAAATTGTATGATCTGGGTTTAAATATTTAAAATTTTTTTGCACAGAAGGCATCAGGACAGCATTCCCAAACTGCTGGGAGCTTTAAGGCTGCATTTAGGGCATGTTCAAGCAGGCATTCTGTAGGACAGACAGGGAGGATGCAATGGTACAAAGAGCTAGCAGACACTCTGAGAGAATAGAAAAACGGTGAGGAGCACCAGCACAGCCAGCAGAACAGGACATCCCAGGAGCATTTTTGTCTTCCATCACACTTTCTACATCCCTGTGCTAAGGCAACTTTTCCCCAGGAGTTCTCCAGTTATCCCTGTTCTCTGCAGTCAAGGCCCCAAGAGTGACAGCTGAGGTGGTGCCCTGTGTCTGAGTCCACACAGCGATTCAAAACTCGGCTTCCATCCTACAGATCCCGCTCATTCGCATCAATTCAGCCCAACAAGCAGAGAGCTATGACTGTGAAATACCACAAGGGAGAGCAGCAAGATTTGCCATCCAGAGCAATAGCAGCCACAAAGATGCACTACATATTTACTCACAAAAAAACCTCAGTTTTCCTTTGAGTTTTTCTATTCCCGAATATGGAATTATTAGGGAATACAAACCCAGAAACAAGGTGCACATGCATGGCTGCCCTGCCAGATACTTTAACAGCCTCCCAAGGTAATTCATTCTCCCACACAGATGAAGAGCAGCTCATTCCAGCAGGCAAACAAGGAAAAAAAATAGGATTGTGCACAACTTCCCAGGAAAATTTCAGTTCCTGTGCTTTAAACTCCAGTTCACTCTGCTTCTGTGTATTTAAAGACCAACATTGCAGACCACAGGGAAGGTCTCTCAGGCATTAATATATGAAGAATCTTAACAGGACTGGGAGACAGGGAAGGAAATATTCCCTGTTTTTACAGATAAGAAGCAAAACTGAAGAGATGGTCTAGTAGGAGCCAAAATCTGCTTTGATCAAAGCTGTGAGGTCTCAGAACCAATAAAGTACAAACACTGAGCAGTGCAAACACAAGGCAGAGAACAGAAGTCCCAGAAATGAGCAGAAAAGCAGAGAACAAAGTGAAGGGAAAGATAAAGAAGTGAGATTTGGCTTACAACAGACATGCCCACCCAAGGGAAAAAAAAAAAAACAAACCAAAAAGTTTAAAAAAAAAGGTGGGGAATCCCGAACAGCACTTTACAGTAATGAAGGGGGGGGGAGGGGGGAGAATAGAGGGGGCTGAAGGGAAACAGTCACAGCATGAAAACCTGAAAAAATGGCTTTTAAAGAAAGAAAAACAAACACTTCAGTGTTTTACTAAGGAAAAAAAACAAATCATGCAAAGCAGTGTGCTGAGGTTTTTTCTTAAGACTGGTTTTGATAAAGATGTATTATATTAGATAGTTTTAATGGATGAAACATCCATCTTTTTTGTCCTCTTTGTTTTCCTTTTCAAAGAAAAATACCCATGTTTAGTAGATGCTTGGTATTATGAAAAAAGGACCTTTTTCAGGAAAAAGAAAAAGAGAAATTAAATGCATCTTTAAGAGAAGAGACAGAATTCCAAAGGTACAAATAAGGGAGCAAATATGAATGACAGGGAATGCTGCTGCTGTCAGCTCAAAAGAGTAGAAGGCACTCAAGTAGCAGTAAGTATGAAAAGGGGGTTGGAAGTTTTTAGTCTCTCGGCATCAGACAAGACAAGGAGTTCAAGCAACCAATTTCTGTCCTCAGAGACCTCCTCCACGGATGCACACAAACTCACATCCCTGCTGTGCCTTGTCCCCACCCCTGGATCAGCCCCTGCAGTGGGAACCTGAGCCATGGCCAGAGGGAGCACCCAAGCCCTGTGAGACCAAGCCCAGGGCCAGAGGAGCTGAGAACACAAATTCTCCATCCAAACAAAGGATCGGTTCAGCTCTGTCAGATGATGGCCACCTCATCACCCTCCTCTGTGGATGGCCATATATGTCTATAAATGTTGATCTCTTCACTTTGGGGATTTTTAAAGTGAGATTTGTTTATTCATGCTCAGATTCCTCTTATAGTTATGCCAACAACAAGCCATAGATTAAAGAAAACCTTGCAGCTTTAAGTGCTTCTTACTAAGATTTTCGCTGTACAGTTCAATGGACAACTCCCTGATCTGAGCAACCACTTTAAAGCACTCCCTAAGGGCATCCAAAATAATTTTGTTCCATCTGATGTACAATTAGATATCCAAGACTCTGATCTCTCAAAGGTCGCTTCACAAAGGTTTCACTCAAAACAAAGCAGGAGATTTGAATACCTTTGGGGCTGACAAACAATAAATCTCCTAGATGAAACCTAAACATTGTACAGGGAACCTAAGAGGTGTCTGAAGGTACTGCAGGTATTGCTCTGTAACTAAAGCCAGTGAAAATGGCCAAAACTTCCATTTGTTGCCATTCCTTGGATTAGGACACGGCTGAGCCAAGACAGAGCATCAAGGGCGCTGGGAGCACAGCAGCACAGCCTTGAACAAGCACAGCACCGCAGACACGCAGCTGGGATCAAAGAGGAGGAAGGGATGCAGCATCTTCAAAGCCACTTAGAAGACCGTGACGCACTGCTCCTTTTAAAAGCAGCGAGGACTTCAAGACCCTTCGCAGCTTTGAAAACATCAACCCAAGAACACTTCTGAGGATGCTTTAGAGCTTTTGCCTCGGTCAGACGCTGCTGCTCGGCGCCCGGGGGCGAGGCGGTACCTTCGGAGCGGTGGATGCAGGTGTGCTGGTTGTCGCTGAGGAAGAACCCTTCCCTGCAGCGGCACTCGTAGCTCCCCACGGTGTTGACACAAACGTGCTGGCAGCCACCGTTGTTGAACGTGCACTCGTCCGTGTCTGAGAGAGAGAGGGGGGAAAGACAGAGATCAGCTTTGTGCTCACGCCAGCCCACGGCACAGACAGACATCAGCTCGGGTTGGAACCATCCCAGCAGCTGAGACACCCCAGGCTAGCCTGTGCTTGCTGTTGTGCTGTCACCCTTGGGAAAGTGCATTTCTGCTGCTGCTCCAACCATGTTTGCAGTCTGCCCCAGCAGCCACACGGCTCCCAAGAAGTGCTGGCCAGCCCAACCCATCGGAGCTGATGGTCACAGCTAAGGCAGGGCCAGAGCAGGACCCCCACCACCCACGGGAACATTCCCTGCCCTTCAGCACAGCTCCGCTCCACAGCTCTGGCACATCCAGCTCAGCAATCACCTGTGGCTCTGGCTGCCTCAGTGCTTCCAAACCCATCCAAACTATAAAAGGTGTTTTCCCAGCTCCACATCTTGAAGCGAAGGTGGAACAAGAAAAATACCAGCCTCAAAATAAATTCAGCTAAAAACCTATCCCCTGCACCTTACTTTCACCCTAGCTGGAATTCACACCCCACATCTGTTCTGGTGCTTGGTTTGATTTATCATCCTCCTCCCTCGAGTCTGGGACATCATCACTCATCATCAGAGCTGCTTCTGTGCTGACTGACTGCGGTCAAGGACAAGAGCAGAAGTTCTGGAAGCAGTTTTAATCTTGAATTTGCAACATTCAGAACACAGGAGGGCTCCACTTACAAGATCACCAAGAGAACCAAAGAGTAGAAAAACTTTAGCTAAGCCTCTGAACAACAGGATGCCCATCCCAATCTCCAGTTCTTTGGAATTCTACCCCTTAATAAGCACAGGGTTTTTGTAACTATGACTTCCAAATACTTTTCCTAGCCTAATTTTCAGAAATTTTAGTGGGAAATAAAAAGCACTCAGTCCCTTAAAAAGAGGACAAAACCTTGCTGAGGCAAAGCACTGGTCTCATTTGCAAATTCATCTGTAACATCATGTTTGCTCCCTGTTTTGTTCATTGTTCCTGGCTAATAGTACAATGTTTTTAATTTAACATTGTAGCATTTCTGGCAGAAAACAGCTGTCTTTTTTGAAACAAAAAAGGAGAAAGAGAGGCTTTTAGTAAGAGGCATAACATAGTATTACAACAGATTTAATGTCCACTGAAGGCAGTGAGTAAGCCAATTGGATGCAAAAGAATGTGACCTGCTGGAGAAAAAGAGCGGCTGACATATCTCCATCACAAAGAAGCTGAGTATTTTAGAGTTCTACAGTGATGTGAATGCAAACAATCATGAATAAACAGCCACCATGAGTCTTTAGTGCTACAGATTTGAACTCCAGCAGATGTTTCTGTCTTACAGACCTTGGAAAGCTTTCAAAAAAATCATCTCCTTCCAACAAGTAATTGTCTATTTGGCTTAGACCCAGGCACACAGCAGAGATCTTCAAAAATAAGGGTGAGAGGAGGGCAACCCTGGCGTGAACAAAGTAAATAAACAGATTAAGAGAAGATGTGATCCAATTTGCTGCACGCCAAAATATTTATTTAATGTTTACATCACAACTCAAAATTGGCACATCAGTGGTAAAAACCTCATTGTATGTCGATGACAATTTGTTTTATTTTATTTTATAGGTCTGCCATGCAATACTGAGCAGCTTCCCAGTGACAGAGCAGGTGGTAGATTTTGGTCTAAGTTATGTCACTGGTCACAAACAACTCAGCTGAAGTATGCCCTGGGTACAAAGAGAATACACACATGCCTTTTGGTGCCATTGTCAGAGGCAGTGTGCTCCTTCACACCCAGCCCTTCATAGTAACCTCAACTGAACTCCACTCTGTGTTTACAAAAACACAAAAATAAGATGGATTTCCTGTTATCTTAAAGTATCCTCAGATATTTTGTTTCCCTCTCTATTTAAATGTTTGGAACCTGGTGAGTTCACCCTCTCCTCCACTGACACTGCAGAAAGCTGGGTACACAACAGGATCCCAGCAGGTAAAACCCAACACAATCCCACTGAACACTCCAGAGGTTTCTGATTTGTCTCTCAGCAGAAGATATAGCCTGGGCATGGTCTGACCCCCCACCTGATGTGCCACACACGACTGGGAAGCACCCAGCCAAGTAACTTCGATTATGCAGTGAAAGCAAGGCTCCTTCTGACTGCCATGGCTACAGAGGTGTGTCTAGGCACCTCCACATGGACAGCAGTAGAGAAAAACAGATCCAAGCCTGAAAAAGATAATGGCACAGCTAACACAGGGCTGAGCCACACAGGGTGCCCAGCTGGGGCTCAGGAAGCAGGACAGCTTCACCAGCTCAAGGCTTCGTCCCTCTGCTCTTCAATGGCCTCCAGCTACTGCACACTCCAAATCATCCTCTCCTTTTAGGAATACTCAGAGTGAGAAGCCCCCACATTACAGATATATTTGAGAGAGAAGATCCCTAAGCCTGGAAACACACCTGACAACTGATCCTAAACTAACTGCAGAACAGAGGGGACAATGATAGCACATGTTCCTTTATATAAACTCATTTAGCATAATAATAGATGACATTTGGCACACTTTAACCCAAAGCACTCCACAGAAATATAGCACAGTTATCCTCATTCATAGAGGGGGGAATGAGCCACACTGGGATGGTACCTCAGTACCTGAAAATCCACACTCTCACAAGCAGCATTCTCTCTCTGAAAGGACTGAGGCCAAGAGATTGCCATGTGTTCCCCAGGGATGCAGCTACAGGGTTGTGCTGCCATCACCACTCACGCTGCTCACGAGCACACACTCCTTACCCAGGCAGTTGTGGCCATCGTGAGCCAGCATAAAGCCATCGTAGCAAGTGCAGCGGTAATTTCCTGGAATGTTGAAACACTCGTGGACACAGCCCCCATTGAAGTCGTTGTCACATTCATCAATGTCTAAGGAATAAAGCAAAAGTCAATATGATGGATGCTTGCCTGAGTGTTACAGACAGGGATGTGACTGCCTAAATGTGAGCAGCAACTGCTGTCCAAAATCGTCATTGTCTTGCAAATACACTACTATATTTAAAGCATTTTCTGCTGAATGTTTCTGATGACTGAGAAAACACCCTGAAACACTCTTGCAGCTTTACCTTATATTTTTAAAGGCTGCTGGTTAAACAACAAACTCATTATCAGGCTGAGTGAAATGAGCAGGTGAATATCCATGCAAGGTTTGCCTTTGAATTCTGCAAACAAGAAGTAAATCGGGTGACGAAGCAATCACAGTTTTGATTTAAAAATCATCCTTGGTTATTTTTAGTGGCTCTGTTTTCTTAGCAATGCTCCATGCTGGCACAGACAGAAGGCAGTGCTCTGGGATCTTTACCTTCACATTTCCTCCCTTCACCGGTGTAACCCACTTTGCACATGCACTTGTACAGCTTCGGGGTGTTTTGACAAATAGCATCTGGGTGGCAGTCGTCCAGCCCCAGGGCACACTCGTCCACATCTGTGAAAAGACAGCAGGCTCAGGAGGGATGTCAGCAGGAGGAGAACAGGGAATGTCCCCTGAACACATCCCTGAGGAAATGACAAGGCTGAACACCTCTCTGAGGTGCCCACAAGAATATTGTGTGTTTCCATGTGTCAGGACAGAAACACGCAGAGACAACCCCTGCACTTCCATTTGTGTCATATTCTATCTGCATACAGATATAATTGTGTGCAATTCAGATAAGCCCACTGTAAGCTTTTGTGCACATTTATAAATGTATCCAAAAAATGTCCTAAGCACTAGATGCTCCATGAAATTCAGCTGACAGTTTCACAGAGATCCATCAGAGATTGTTAATCTTTCTGATTAACAAAAAACAGTCATCAAAAGAGTTCTTGATCACATCCATGCATCACCTGCAGGAAGCCAAATGGTTTTTTTAAATTAACAAGGGGAGTTGATTGAAATGAACTTTCAAGTCACCACCAGCAAGTTAAAAGACTGACTTACCATTAAACAGACGTATAATCTTAGAATATTTTTTTTTAATACAAGAATAGTATCTGGGGAGCAGCACTGCCAAATCACCTGGCCAGCCATCTCAAAGCACAGCAAACTGAGGCAAAATATCCAGGTGGAAACTTCAGAGAAGAGGAAATGAAGAGAAAGGGAAACACCAACAGGAAGAAGTCCTGGAGATGAAGTGTAGACAGAAGAGGAAGAAAAGTTACAGGCAGCAGAAGACATCAGCACAAGCTTTTCACACAGCAGGAGAAAACTGAAGTATGGAAACAGGAAGATTTCCAGCAACTGGCTGAAAGGAAGAATTGTAGAAGCAACACCCCACACAGGTACAAAAAGTGCCTCCTAAAACAAGAAGCAATGCATGAATATCAGCAGAAAGCAACTACTTCAATAGTCAGCCACTTTTTACGGTGGGGATCACTCCAAATGGAAATTTCAGCCAGCACTTCTGCCATTTACAATTATAGCATTCATCCTGCTCTTTTTTTTTTTTTCCTTTCCCCCAATCACAAAATATGCCTGTAGGTACTGCAGCAGCTGCCAACTGCAGAAAGTGTTCACTTGGTTTTAACTCCTAATGGGGTTTGGCAGTGGGAAAGAAGGCAAAGAGCCGGTGTGAGAGCAGCCGTGCCTTCCTGGCTCTCAGGTGCACACGGCGGCCGTGGGGTCCCCAGCCACTGCCACCAGAAAGGAAAGTGAAGGTGGCAAACAGCCGGGAAGAGCAGCAGAATCCACTTCCTCTCAAAGCAGAGAGGTCAAGCTTCAAAAACACGGGAGGCAGTGAATTGAAGGAGAGAGTCGTGCAGGGAAGGGTGCAGGCAATAGCTGAGGGGTCTCCAGCTAGCTGGGCTCAGGTAGGTGGGGCAGAAAGGAAGAATGGGCAGGGAAGAACAGAGAGAGGCCATAAAGGAGCATCGGCCACACGTGCCCTCGGCACCGTCAGCTCTCCCCTGCCCGAGCCAGGGGCACACACCTGCCCCGGCAACAGGGGTCCCAGAAAACACACACAGCAAGGAGGGGGCTTCCCTCTAAGCCAGGACACAGAGATATCAATCAGATCTCGTGCCAGCGGCAGGACAGCAGCTCAGCTGGGTTATTTTTAGACCGCCCCTCTGCGATCTGCAGCGTGCGGCGAAGAACCGCAACAAGAAGCCGCATCGCTAATGCGTGCAAAGGCGTGGAAAAGAGGGCTAGGAAGAATCCGTAGGCACAGAGAGCGAGATTTCCCCTTGCAGTGACAGTATCCCGAGCAGAAGGGAGACCCTGGAGGAACGAGGCTGTGAGCAAACATCGCAGCCTTCAACTTGGCAGGAGGCGGCGGGAGAATCCCTGGGCTTGCTCCGCGGGGACCGAAAGCAGCTCCACCCGCAGCACCCGCCGCACGCACCCCGCTCCCCAGGTGCCCCGTCCCGGGGCTCTCCCCTCTCCCAGGGCAGCGGGAACCGCCGGGAAAGCGGCATTGGCAGCACCCGCGGAGCCCGAGAGCCCTGAGAGCGTCGCGGGCACGGCCCCTTCCCTTCGCCGCCGGCCCGGAGGGGAGAGCGGGAGCGCCCGGTGCCCCGCGGGGGGAGCCGCTGTCCGGGGCTGGGGCGAGCGGGGGGCGCTGAACGGGCAGGGACCGGGGGCGCTGAACGAGCAGGAGAAGGGGCGAGGGGCACTCACCGGGCAGGGAGCGGGGGCAGTCCCCGGGCAGGGACCGGGCCTGGAGGCACTCACCGGGCAGGGACAGCGCGGCGGGGCCGCCCGGCGCGGGCAGCAGCAGGAGCAGCAGCGGCAGCGCCCGCGCTCCCGTCGCGCCGCGGCGGCCGCCGGACCCCATCGATGGCGCTGCTGCCGCTGCCGCCGCCGGGCGGGAGGAGGCGGCGGCCGAGGGAGTGTCTGGGGCGCCCGGCCCGCCTCGCACTGACAGCGGGCGCGGGGCGGCGAGGGCTGGGCGGGCCTCCCCCTCCCCTGCCCGGCCCTGCCCCGCCGCCACGGGCGCTCCCGGCAGGCGAACCGCCCCATCCACGCCCGGGGGAGCCCCGGCAGCCGCCCCGGCGCTCGCACACCTGCGGCAACCCAAACATAGGTGGCCCACGGAGCCGCTGCCGCCCGCAGGAGAGGGAACAGCTCACACGGAGGAGAGGGAACAGCTCACACGGAGGAGAGGGAACAGCTCACACGCAGGAGAGGGAACAGCTCACACGGAGGAGAGGGAACAGCTCACACGGAGGAGAGGGAACAGCTCACACGCAGGGACGGGAACAGCTCCCCGCGGGCCGGGAACCGGCGCAGGGACAAGCCCGAGCACACGCGACGCGTTCCAGCCTCATCTGCCTCTGTTCAAGAATATAACATTGACATTTTTACCGTGTAATTACACCCCGCTGCAGAGCGTGAAGGCCGTGCCAAAACCCCCGCATCACCCCCATCCCCAACCCAGCCCCACCCCACCTCCATTCCCAGCCAGGGATTTCTCACAGCTGTCAATCCTTTGGCAGGTAAAATTTGCTCATACATTATTCACTGAAATTATAATTTCCTAAATAATGTCTGACCTTTCAGGCTGCGAGCAAAAGCAGGCTGTACTCTTTTCCACCCCTCCCTCCCATCCCCATTTCACTGCCCTTTCTCTTTTGTTTTGTTCTGTGAGAAATACTGAGCTGTTCCTAGTTGCAAGGGCGGTTTATACACATTAGTAAATCTTCAGAATGAAACTTTCCCTCAGTCTTTGTCTTTGTTTCCTTAACGGCAGCTATAAATTACCTCTCTCCTTTCTCACTGGAGCATCAGGCTTCATTGCTTTTGAAATGATCAAAGTTATTCTCTTTTTCAATCCAATGAGAAGCAATCTTTTGTGTCTCCTGGACGGTTTCAGTCTTAGTCAATCTCATCTATAAATACATAAAGCTGCTCATTTAACACTCCAAGGATTCTCCAGCCCTGCACCACGCCACAATCCTCCCCTCACCAACAGAAAGCAATAAATGAATGAAGGGTTTCTTGGCACTTTCTATGATCTCGTGAATAAACCATCATACTTGGGCTGGGAATTGGCACACCTGCACATCTCTCATCCAGGGATTTCACTCGAGGTGTCTCCCAAACAACTCTCCCAAATGGACGGAGAAGCCATCTCCCAGCCTGGCACATGACTTCAAGACACCTTACAGAAAAGCTGGTACACATTTCAGGCACTGTCAAGTTCCCTCAATTAAATTGACCAGTATTAATTTAATTAACATTCATCACAAGATTTGCAAAAGACAAAGTAAGAAAACATATGAAGAGTGTAGCAGAAAAACCAGGAAGAGAGAAGGAAGAGTCATGTAGCCAAAATATCTAAAGCTGAGGCACTGTTAAAGCAATACATCTTTGTTACTTCTGTAAGCTAAAACATAAAGTGAGACATAAATATTTGGGAATGCCTGAGTTAGATCAAAAGATCTCACTGCAGCTTGGAAAACAAACAGAACAATATCAAATTTATCTTAGCTAATGAAGCCATTCCTTATACATAAATCTCTTAAGTGTTTTGTGAAGGATCCTGGCTATTATTTCACATATAACACACATTTGTTTATGATGAAGAACTGCCATTAAAACATCTCTTTAAAGATACAAACCAGACAAGCTCAGACCTCAACTTTCTGCAGCCTTTTTAACTATTTGTATTCAGCTACAGAGCTACAGTGACAGATGACTGCTCTGAGCATGAAGACTTTTACTGGCAGAGAGAAGATAGAAAAATTCTTAAGATTCAACTTCAGTGCTAAGTATGAGGAAAGAAAAACAACCATACCAGGGAAGACACCCCAAATAGGACTGTTTGGGGTTTTTTTCAGCAATTTAAAATAATCAAATAACAAAGTTAAACGAGGAAAATAGCTACTGGAAAATAGCTACTTCCATAGAGATAAAAACCCCAACTCCCCTCTGCTCTCCATTCTCACTGTCATGTGCAGTTGCCTCACAGGGAGAGACAGAGAGAGCAGCTGAATGTAAAATCTGCTTCAGAAATTGTACACCTGATGTCCTGAGTAGAGATGAGTACTTTTGACTTAAAATTTGGATTAAAAACTGATTTATGCTTCATAATCCTTGTTAAATTTCATAATTTAATGGTGACCAAACATTATTGGAAGACATATAAATTGCCATTTCATCTGCACTTTAATGAGAAGGTGCAACTCTTCTGGCCTGAGCAGCACTTTATCATGTTGACCCAAAATTTAGCATGACTGAGTGAGCATAGTGAGTGCTTGTGCCAGCAGCTGAAAACAACAGGGAGGGCTGGGAGATGCCAGAACAGTAAAAGGAAAATAGGATGTTCACAAGTGAGAAAATACTTTCAAATATTTAATTGTTCCAAAGCACACACAAAATGTCTCAGTGCTGTAGTTTCAAGCCTTATCTCCAGATGTACACTGAGTTTTGAGTAATTGTTTTTCTTTGAAATGTATAGCTCCATTTTTTTGCACTCCCATTTTAGTGTCCAAGCTATCAAATAGGTTATTGAATTTTGTGTAAAAATAACTCATCTTCAGTAATCAGCAGGACCTGCACAGGACTCATCTGAGACAGAGGAAATTTGTGGATTCTCTGGTCACAAGGGACATTAAAAACCCTCTCATTTAATTTATATGCCTTGTCTAAGTCTTTTTATTCCACTTGTAGAAAAATTTTCCCAAAACAAACATCAGATCCACCACTGATATTATAAATGTTGTAGGATCTGCATCTTAACATGCCACTGTCACTGAAATGTGAATACAGTATGGCTTATTAATACACATTTCTGAGTTAATAGGGAGAAAAAGGAGACACTTTGTCATGTGAAATAACTTTCAGACATTCAGATTTCCTTGTAAGAACTTTCCAAGTCCTTGCTACAACAAATGGTACAATTTCTAGACTGGAGCAGCCAGTGAACAGTCCCTGCCTGTGCACCCAGCAGCTGCACAGCACACTTTGCCCACCAAGGCCCTGCTCTTCCTGCTCAGCTTCCTTTGAGGAAATCTGAAAAACCTGAGGCCATCTGTGCTGAGGTGAACATGCTTCTGAAGCTGCTCACCCCAGCTCCATCCCAGTGCCCTGCAGGGGAATCAGGAGCAGCAGGGAGCAGAGATGTCCCAGCTCCTGAGGCAGGGTTGGTGTCTCTCGGGGGTACCAACCCCACTACTGCACCCCCAAACCTGCCCAAAGCTGAGGCCAGAGCACCACCTCACCAGAGCATGGCTCAGGCCAAGTTCACCCTCTGGCATCTCCCCAGGGTGACACCATCACTTGTTGGCAGTGCAGGATCACCCCCAGCTCAGGAAGATGGATGTGCTTCCCCCAAGAGGGATATTAACACTTGTTATTTTGCCAGCACAGACCGGGGAGGGGGTGTGAGAGGTGAAGCAACAGAGACAGCTCCAAACTAATGATCCAACTCCTTCCCTTCTGCCTTCCCTGGTGGATAGAACATTCAGTGATGACCTGACACAGTTTGCAACAGAGGGAATGGCAGCACAGCTGAGTGTGTGTGCTCACAGGGACACCTTCCAAGGTCTGCCTTTGCCTTCCCCTTCTCCCCATCCCCTGATCCCTGAGGAGGCACCTCTTCCTCTGGAGGCAGTCAGACTGACAAGGATGGCCAAGGGGAACCTCAGAGCTGGGAGGGAGGAGCTGTAGTTGAACAGATCAGATACAAAACTGTGCAACAAAGGTCTCCTGAAACGAGCCACTAAAATATCCCACAGACCTGCAGCCAGGCAAAGAGGCAGAGAAGCAGCCAAATTATAACAGGCGTTATGAAAATAGCACATTAATGCTATTTTTTCATGTTAGAAGACAAATTTTATTGCAATTCAGCAAATGAGCTACACCTGTAAAACTGCTTTGTATATCCAATTCACATTTAATGTCCAATGGATTGAAATGTCACAGGAAAAATAAAAAAAGGAAAACAGTACCTGGTTTTGTCATTATAATGTAAACTTCAACACGGCCCTTAAGAAAAACAAGCCAGTGATTTCCCCATGTAGTAAAATATATAGTTTATAAGGTATTGATGCTTTATCTTAGTTTAACAGCCAATCTCTAGGTATAAAATAAAGAGCTACAAAGATGTGAAGTACGTGTACAATTTCTTCAAGTATTTTCAAGTATCCTATAGTCTCTTCACTACTGACAAAATTCATTTGACAATATACAGAAAAAGGTTAACTCTGAATAGTTTCACTGCAGAAATCTTAACATATTCATGAATTTAAAACACATAAAAAGTATGGATCATCCAGTAGTAAGTCCCATTTGAACAGTTTGAAAAATACTCTTTGTAATGGAAAAAGTTGTGGAATAGTCTCCAGTTCATGAATATATTTTCAGCTACAGAATATCAGGTGGTTAAAGTTTATGGCAGGTAAAAGCTTTTTTTTTTTTTTGTATAAACTTATCATCGTAGTATTTAATTACATTTAAACCAAGTCTTTATTAATTTGCATTTTCATTTTGTATAAAGTATCATTATAGCATTAACCAAAGAAGCCTAAATAATTGATAGTTGATAGCCTATTTTTTCCTCCCAAATCAGGTATGACCCTGTAAACATGTCTGGCCAGTTTAGCACTATGCATTTACTGCATGATGAACCCCTTATTTTTTTTATCACTGCATTTGTCTCTCCAGAATGAATGTGTGCTGTTAAAAAGATTATCTTTTCTCATTAACTGTTACCAAAAAATCCCCACTAAACAACAGAACAGCACAGCCACACTAACTGTACCTACCAAACCTGCCGCCTTATTTTGGAAAAGTAACAAGGAACCAAAGTTAAAACTGCATTACTCTGAACAAAGGGAGAAGGATTTTACAAAGCTCTGGATTAAAAGGTGCTGACTACATTGTTTGTTCCTATAAATTTCAGCAGAATGGCATGGCAAGAGCAAATGCTGGACCCTAAGCTGTGGGACTGCTGCCAGGAACAGCCATGAGAGAAGTGGGTGGGCTTGTGGTGAACCCTGCAGTGGTGAGGGATTGTGCCTGCTCCTACAGACTGGACTGTTCTTACCCACACCAGCCAAATCTCCTCCCAGAATCCTGGCACAGGCTGTATTTAATGTCTTGCTCTTCCCTGGCTGCCTATGAAGCTACAAAACCAGCTTTTTTCTTCTTCTGCATCTCAGAACCCTCTACTGCTCTGTCAGTGGAGCAAAGCCCTCCACACTTGCAAGTCCATAGCAGAAATTGCTTTCAACCCTAACAGGATTAAGCATAGGTCCCCTGAGAGGAGGAAGAAGGTCTATCTCAAACTGTTTTTTCCTGTGAGAATAAAGTAACCTAGGAGCTGGAAAGATGATCTCTGTGTCTTCCTTTTGCACTGGGCAGCCAGCACTCAGGGTGTTCTCACAGCATCATCCCATGAGCCAGCCAAGGAAACACCAAATCCCAGCCTCTGCCCATCCCAGGTATCTCTGTCCTAAAAGGCAAAACAATCTGCAACAGAGCACTCATTAAGCCAATGGTATCATGTTTTCCTAGGTAAACTTGTGTAAGGAAAGGAAAAAAAACTAAAAATAAAAAAGAACCTTAGTTCAGGGTAATTACCTCATGCAAGATAAAATTAATCCATCCTTAATACTATGAGATAGATGATTTTAACAGGATCAACTCTTCTGCTAAGGTCAAAATATGGAACCTTCCTTTCTTAGTTAATATCCCTGTGAAATATACAGGTCTAGTAAGTAATTTTCAAGATAGATGAAGCAACACCAAAAAAATATTTTTTTTGTATTATTAATGCATAAACAATTTAGAGCAGGTGTAAAAATACTATCCCAACATATCAAGTTGAATACATGAAATACTTAGAATGCAGTATAACTGTTCTTTATTTTTGCCCTTCCAAGGCGGGAAGAAAAATTTAAAAACCACCAAAAAACCAAACCTGCACACACAGAGAATACTTCTGTGAAATGCTCCTGTAAGCTGTGAAAGAATTCACACCCACCCCATGTGAGGAGTGGCTCAGACATCCCCCTCACATCTTCCTAATGCTACTGTGAAATCAAAGAAGAATCTTGCTCTGATAAGTAGTGACAAAGGAACTTCTCCATTTAATAATGAAATAAATAGGACAAAAGTAAAAATAGTCAAAAATTTAATACATGTGCTATACTCATAAATTATGGAAATAAAACTATCACAAGATGGGACTAAGCTGTAGGTAAGGTAAAAGTGCTACAACACTGCATGAACCAAAAAACTTGGACTCTGCTTTTCCAAGAGAAACAATACTGAGATAAGTTTATACAGTGGAGACCTCTTAAATACACAGCCCTGAACTTCTGTACAGTAATTTGTGATGCTGATAAATCAGCCTGTTCTTAAGTCACATATTCATTTCAAAGAGATTTTTATCAGAGGATTCAAATGAACAGAGATGCCTTTAGGCATTTGCCAAGTTCCAGATATCCAATAAATTAAGCTTTCAAAATGTTTGTGTTTCATAGCAGAAATGGACTAAACTTTCTTTGCTAAAAACAAAAGCATCCCAAACTAAGCAGACTGTGACAATGGGATCCAAGACATATGCACTCAAAAGGAAAACTGTCTTTTCAGAAACATTAAGAAATCCTTATACTTGTTAGTAAGGTATACTGTTATTATTTTAGATGGGGCATAAAGATCTTTATTTAGTCATCTGGCACCTGGGGAACTCATGTCCCTCTTTATTAGCAGTTAAGAGAATTACCAGCAGCAACCATATACCAAGCTTCAAAAGGCTTGCTTTAGTGGAAAGGTTCTTGTGTTATGAACAATTATTCCAGGTTTTTCATTTAAGTGGGCTACACTGTAAATTCTGAATTGCAACATAATATAGCCAGTTGTATCATAGATTTTTTTAAAAGACAAACTTACAAAACACAATGATAGGTTAAATAAATAAAAAACATCAGTTAAAAAACAGACTTAATTTCTTCTTCTGTGCAATTACGTACCAATATGAAAAATATTACTTTGATCTCTGGACATTTCACGGTTCAGTCTCCTGGATTTCACTAAAAATAATACTGACAACAAAAATAAAGGAAAAAAATAATTGTTGACAAATCAGTGCTTTGGAGCTATTAAAAAAAAGCACAGATCAGATCTGTAGTTCCCTTGCAGTAGAACATGACCCAACACCTTAAAAATCAAACATTGGTAATAATGTTAATATATAAAATATTAGTTTAAAAACTATAGAATGACCTTCTCAGCAGAAATGGAGTGTATACACTGGGGTCTATGACATACAGCATATCTGAAGGCAAGTTCACAGAATGCTGAAAGGCCCACTGCACATTTTCTATGGCAAGGAAATACTGCAGCTTTAAAATAAGCTGCACAATACTCATCTCTATCTCTTTCACATGAAAGTGTGTAAAAAGCAAATCAGCAAATAAACTCTAAAATAGATTTATACCAAAATCCTCTTTTTTACATTGAGTTTACAGCTTCTATCCATTTGCCTGTACTATTTCTGGAGTTTCCTTCAAGAAAAGTCTAAGTTGCATTTCTGGGCCATGAACAAGTTCACGATACAATGTACTGGCAAGACAGAACTTTTGCATACTAACGAGATTCACTCCTTGTTGCTTTTTTTTTGTGTTTATAAAGACAGTTTTTCCTGTGGGACAGGAGGTCAGATGTCGATTCCTTTGACAAGAGATGCCTCCAGGGTGATGTTGAACTCCTGCAAGGTCTGCAGCACCCGAATCAAAGAATTCACCAGCGTGTGATCCTTAATCAGAGCTATGTCCTCATACATCTGGGCTGTAATGGGGCAGTCTGCAAGCAGGGCGATCCAGTGGTGCAAAAGGTGGTCTCTGACAAGGTGCCAGTGGGCAGTTTGGGAATAAAAATAAAGCCAAGTTAATTTCACATCTGCACAAACATGATTTTTCTTCTTTGCTTTTAAGCAAACCTACCATGTTCTCCACTTATTTTTATGAGACAGGGAATGAGGAGTAACTGTCTCATGGGCAACATCTTTTTCATTCCATTAAAACATCAATAACAACAACAACAATAATAAAGAAGTTTCTTTATACCTGGCTCCAAGACACACCAGCATCTGAAACTTGCCATCCTTCCCAATGTTTCTAGGGGTGTTGTTGATAGCAGTGATAAAGCGACAGAAATTCCTGGCCCTTGTCTGCCAGTTCTCTTCTGGGACCATCTCGTTCTGCTCAAGGGTCTCATAGTATGTTTGTGCTTTTTCTTAAAAGAATGATGGGAGATAAAGAAGTTTCATCAGTGCATTTAGGAGAGAATTAAAATTGAAAGGCCTGGGATCAAAGCTTATCCATGAAGTTCCTGAATCATTACTTTTAAGCACTGTTTTTTTCTCTGTTTGATTCAGTCCTGTGTCCCCCTGTATAAAACTGGGATTCCACTTCCTTCCCTCTGCACAAAGTTAAAGAGGTTCACTTATCTACTGAATTTGATTGCACTCAAATGATCATACAAGGGGAACAGCGATGCTGAAGTACCTACTCAAAATACAGAAGCATTATGAAAATTAATTCCTTTTTTAAAATGTGTTTGTGAACTCACTTGATTTATTTAGCTTTGTGTCAAGGGATCTAGACCATCGTGTGCAAGAATCATGCTTATAAACCCCTTTTTTTACAATGTCCAGTTTGTTTTTTACTAGTACAGCAACTAGATCCATCTGCTGTGCTCTGAAAGACAGCTCAACCTCTTACAAGTGTGATTTCTTGCTTTCACTGTGCTCAATTAAGAACAAGGTTACCCTATGTCAATTCACCGCCCTATTTATGTACCTCCTCCTCAGTAAGAAAGTTTCTTTTACACTATTACTGCTAGAAGGAAAAGTTACTGCTTTAAGTACAGAGTCAGCTTTGGCAGAAGACAGAGGCTCTCTCTCATAAGAGTACAAACAGGTAGGAGCTCTCATGGCAATTCAGCTGCTGAGATGCCTCCAAGAAGTCTGCTCTTCACAGCAGCCAAGACACAACAGCAGTGATAAAGAACACAGTTGGGTGTATTTCAAAGATACAGACAGGCTCTGGGATGTCATCCTCCCACTTACCTAAAAAATCCCAAATGAAGACGTTCTTGAAGAGTCTCGGTGATTTAAATCCGTGCTGGAACACTTGTTCGAGAGCTGAAACAAGTCCACTTTCTCCACACAGCAGCAGGGTCAGGCTGCCTCTCTGCCAGCACACACAGAAAGCACAGACACTCATCACCTCACCTTGGGACTCTGGGACATAGGTGTCCCATCAAGTTTTTAAATAAACAGATGCCTGAAGTTTAAAACTGCTATCAAACAGTGACCCCAGAGAAGATGGCTCAGTTCTCACAAGTCCTGAGCATTCAAAAGTGGATTGACTTCTCAAAGAATGAGGCTGAGGAAAGCATTGTCAGGGCCCCGCCATCATCATCATCAAATGATGCCTCAAACAGGCCAAGACAATGAGCAGGTTTTACCTGTAACAATGGTCACTACAGAAAATTAGGAAAATATTTTCTTCTTTTTAAGTAATAGAGACCACAGGTGCAGTGTAGCAGGTGCCTCTGATTGCTTATCAACAACAACATTTAATGTTCAGTAACAAACAAAGTTCTTCAGCACGTGATGGTAAATTCTATTTTGCAAAACCAGTGCATGACCACTTGAGATTATTATCAGTGTGATCACTGACTAGAATTACACTGGATATTGTCATGCCACAATGAATTTAGAAGTCAAGTGTTACAGGAATGGGAGGACCTATCTAAAAAATTCACGAGAGCCATCCATACAGATCCAGCATTGCTCCACACCTCTCTGGCTCACAAGGGCTGGACTCTGACGATTTGACAGGGGCATGCTACTTAATGTTAGCTTCAGAAAATCACTGCTGTGTCAGTTGATTACATGTGTAATGCAAAAGAGTGTTGTAAGAGCACTTCTGCTTCACTTGCTTGGGGGATGTAGGTGTTTTCAGGGTGGCCTTTGTTTCTTTCCCTTTTTTTCCAGTGGCTCATGGGTTTTCATGTTTTAAGCAGCAAGGATAATGCAAAACAGACACCAAAAAACCTACTTAGAACTCAATGCAGATGTAAAATGTCAGTTAATTCAGAACAAACGAAACAGGAGGCAGTGTTCTTGACAGTGTATGAGTAGAATTCTTTGCAGAATTTGACCAATAGCACAATTTCCAATACCAGAATGTTAACATTTAACAGAATGCTCCAGTTAGCAGCAAAAAAAGAGGTATTTGAGGCTGTACCATCTTAGTGGTACAGTCTCAGTATCTCATTTTTGCTACAGTTAAGGAATTTTCAAGCACATGGCTGTTCATTCAGTTTAGTTACTTCTGCTATATATTCTGTCATGTTTACTAATGAGAGTTTTGGGACAGGAGTGCCATTACACAGACAACAACCCCTCACCTCCTTCTCTGGCTTGTGGAAATGCTTGACAATACCATTAACTGCTTCACCAATAGCTTCTTGTATCTGACCAGTATTTAACTCTGCAAAACACAAAAATATATCCAGGTACAGCTTCAGAAGTTGTACCTCTGTGTGAGGGTTATGACACAGCACAAAGTACAGTAGAGGAGCACAAACCAGTATAACTCATTCTGTTAGGGAAACAGTGCTGGGCTTTGACTAATGGAAACCCAACTCTACTTTTATTTATTGTTGAGGAGGAATGGAGATGGTATGGTTTTATACTGAAGTTAACACTGTGCTGTTTCAAAATACCAACAGTGGAAAGGGTTTTTATATATTATGTGAATTTTCAGACCAGGACCCAAAGCTAAGAAAAGTAGCTTTGCATTGTTTAGGACTCACAAATCTGGGCATCCTGGAAATACTTACTGTGGTAGTTTCCCTGCAAACCCAAGTATGGTTGGGAACAAAGTAATCACCTGATTTATCAGGAATAAGACAAAAACAGAACACTGACCTCAACAGCAACCAGAGAAGTCTGTGAATAGGAGCCACTAGCAAGATTCTTCATCCATGAAGGACAGACAGTAAAAAGGCAGCAAATTTCTACCTTCTTCCATAGCATTCATTCCACAGGTGAAGGACAATACAAAAAACATCACTAGACCAGGAGCACAGACACATTTGCCATCCTTTCAGATTTCAAAACTTAAGTAGACGGAACAGGATGCCCAGGATTGTAATTTGGAAGTTAGCTGGAGCTCAAGCAAGACACTGGGCTGAGTTTCACAGGTCCTCTCCAAACTCCAGTTGTGCTTGCAAACCCTCAGGTGATGACACAGAACAGGACAAGACAAGACAAGACAACCCCCAGCACTCACTTGGCTTATTGTTTGGTGAGATAGTGACAAATCTCCTGATCATGCTTGGAGACTGCTGCAGGGGAGGAGTTCGGCACTGCCGCTCATCAGCCTCAGTGTGGGAAGTCAGCAGCTCTCCCACCAGGATCCTCTCTAAGCTGCCATCATCCATTCCCTTCCCAAGCCACCTTCCACAAGGAAACCTAAGAATATTGAGGAGATAAATACATGGATCAGTGTAGATTCAGTTCCACACCAAAGACTTCCAACTGCAGTTGCCTAAAGCCCAAATCCTGCTAGCACGGAAAGACTTCATTCATCCAGCAAAAAATAACAAAGTCTTGGCTTTGGCTTTTACCAGCACAGGCAGCAAAAGTGAAACAGCTTTTCTGTTCCAAGTTTGTGCTGAGTGTTGCAGTAGATGATCCATCCACAAATCAGATTTTGCTTGAGTCCCATATGTAGCATACGATTTGAGGAAAAATGGATAAAAGGGAAAATCCTACTACACCCTCTAGGTGGGTGAAGAAATACACTGAATATGCTACATAGCAGGCCAGCTGCAGAAAAACCCCACAACCCAAACATACATAAATGCCAGCACACCAGTACTTCTACTGAATTGGGGTATTAAACCAGACACTAGAAAGCACACATGCTCATTTGCTCATTATCACTTTCTCTGAACCAATGTTGATGGCAGTTTAATCAGCTTAATTGGAAAACTGAACAGCATCCAAAAATAGAATCTTTCCTCTTCATTTAATTACAAATGAACTGGCATGGAGAGCTGAGGAGACTTACCCACCAATTTGACATCAGTGTGAGCATGACAGTTCCTCTAAACAAAGGACAGGGCACCAAACTATGCTGTATCTAACACAAATTTAATTCTCACTGTAAATTTGATTCCTTTACTTTCCCCATGCAAACACAGGTTTCTAACACTCACAAGGCTTTGTGTTCCAGCTTGTGTCCAAAGGTGTCTCTATAGTACCTGGAATACCCAGTCCTAATATAAAATACCACCTATATTTGGTAAGCAGCAAGCTCTGACTTGCTGTTTCTTCCTTGGGCTCAAGGTGGATTATTTCTAAGCTGCACAGCAGTGAACTCATCCTCTCCACCAACACACTGATATGAGACATGAACATCTGCAAACTACAAACCCTGTTTGAACTCATAAGAACCACGATTTGTTTAATGCCAGCAGCCAAACAATCTTTCTGTGCCTTCAGGTCGAGGCAACTGTAGACACAGAGTCCCAGGAGATCAGACCTTTCTAATCAAACAAGCCCTACTGTGCCAGCTCCCTGCAGAAATTCTACTTACCCTACATGAAATGTCAGGATGATACTTACTTGTAAGTATGCCCTGTTATTTCATTTCTGACCATAACGTATTCCACAAGCCACTTGGCATACAGTCCTGAATTATCATGTCCTATTTGCACTGTGGTCAGTTTTCCCAGGTTCTGGCACTGCAAATTAAACAAAGAGTTTGTCGGAGGAAACTGAGAAAAAGTTACCATGTTGGGGGAGTAAATCATTAGGGAAAGTGCACAGATAGAAACTCAGAAATGTGGTTTCTGTTTCTGACTGCATGGTTGGTTCTGGGCTTTTTAGTGGTAGCCTGCTTTACTTGTTTTTGTTTGTTTGCTTGCTTTGTTAAATACTATTTTGATCTGCACAGAGCATATCAGCTGAACTAGATTTTTCAATTCCATTTTACCCAATGCACACAATACACATGCAAAAATCAGAGCAGAATCACGTCTTTGTTTTCCAACAGAAGAGGATATGACACCTCCCACAGTTGTAACATAAAAGACAGTCTTGTCTATCCCTTGCAATAAGGAATTGTCAGTCATTTTGCTCTGCATGTTATTAAATATAAGTTAAATGTGCTATACACAGGCACAAACTATCTGTGACTAACCACAAAGATAGGAAATGTATGGCAAGGTGGTACAGCAAGGGGAGAATTTAAAACTGAACAAACAGAACATCCAAATTGGGTTTTGTATCAAGTAACACAAACCTCAAAAGTCATTTCTAATATATTCCTGGGAATCTGCAGGACTCCTGTTTCACCCAGTTCCCCAGAAATACAGATCCAAGGATTGGCTGTGAACATTGAGCCACCAAGTTTCTTGCTGGGAACAATCAATATATGGTATGGTATCACTGCAAACACAAAAGAAAGAACACTTTAAAAATGCAGAAGAATAATTATGTAACCTCTTTAGTAAAGAGAGGGATAAAGTTGTAAAACAGCACTGCAGTACCACGAAATGTTAGAAGAACATCAGAGATCCTATTTAATCATGCTGACACTTGCACACTGAGCACTGACTGACAATGGGCAAGCATACACATACACAGCAGCCACTAAGAAGCAGAGCTGACAGCAGAACAGTGTCAAGTGAAGAAAGAAATTTGGATGGAATAATGCCTCCCTATGAGTGTAATCCCTTTTTATTTACCAACCTCACAACATGGCACAAAGATGGTTACTTATCCTCAGCTTAGTGACAAGGAAGTAAAGACATGACATTCCTGTATTCAGGACTGCACTGTAGCTCAGCACACTGCACAACTACCCCCAGGTCCCACTCAGGTACTAACTGCAGCCTTTTTTTACAGGCATGGATGGCAGCAGCATGCACTACCATGGCTGAACAAATCCAGTGAAAATACAGCATAATGCTGCAAATTTCTCTCTGCCATGCCACTCTAAGTTATGCTAACTTTAGCACTTAGCAATTTCTTAGAAGAACCAGCAAATTTTTACCCTTCTGAATAGCACCATACATATGCACAAAGGCTTTCTGGTCCCCTGGTCTACCTGTGAGTAATTCCATGCAGTATCACCTGAGCTGCAGTCCTTCCTCTGCCTCTTGAGGCATATGCTCTTCCACCACCCAGCATCTCCTGCACAGCACTCTGTTAACCAACCTTTTATAATAAAATCCAATTCTCTGAATGGTCACTGTGTTTCTTGGCTTTCTGCCCTTCTTTCATAGTGCATAAGCAGATTACAGTCAGGGCTTTTCAGCTGAGGCGTTTAATGCATTTCTCCCTCAGCATCTCCTCAGCTGTCAGTGCCCTCGAGAAAGCATTTGGTGGTTGGATTTTCTTAAAAGCCCAATGCTAATAGCATTTAAGAATGAATTAAAATGTTTCCCTTTTTATTTTCTGTGCTGATAGTCCTAAAGTAAGTGACAATTTAACTGCATCCAGCAGACCAGATTTTCATGTTATCCAGAACTTGCCTGCAAGACCAAAAGTTATTTTCCTTGGCTGTCTGTTTGCTTTGTCTTTCATACACATAAGCATGAATCACAAAACACTGCCAAAGGTAGTCCTTTCACATATCCCACCCCCAATTTTATCAGCCTTGCTAAAGTCTTTCCTTATTTTTCCCTCCCAGTGAGGTCCTGTGGCAGCAGGTACACAGATCTTTGAGAACTCTGTAACACACTTAAGCATCAACAATAGCTTAAAAGTTTCTCTAGGGTATCTTTTTACCAACTAGAAGAAAAAAAATAAAAAAATACATTGAGGAGCTTTGATGCAGCCCTCAACAGGCATTTCATTGTTACCCCAAACCCAGTGACATGCATCCAGCAAAGTAGCCTGAGCACAAAATAGGAAAGCTTTTAATTCCCAGCATGCATTAATATTCTTACCTTGATAGTGAACAACCCAAACTGTGCTTATTCAGTATCATGCAAACAAGCCCATCACAAAAAATTCAGCTGAGAACTCACCCCCAGCTAGAATTATTAGAGCTGTGTATTTTACTAAGTTAGAAACAAAAGTGACAGAGAAAGAAACTCCTGCCCACCAGAGAAGATCACGGAAACAGCAATACAGCACACACAGATGGATCCCAGGGAAGAAAAGCAGAACAATTATATTAGGGCATGTTGCTCAGAGCTGTTTAGAATTTTGGACAAGGACTCAACCAAATCTGGAAATCAGAGTTGCAGGGAAAGCAAATACTTACAGATTGTTGTGAAAACATTGGTAAAGCAAAAGTAATCAACAGCATTGAATGACAGGAGATGATACAAGAATTGTTCTTTTTCATCATCGCAGCGGAGGAATGCATAACGCTTGTAGAGTTTTCTGACAAAGCAAAACACAACACATAATCTGTCACAGTAACAAGATGCTTTCAGTGAAATGTTTTCTACTCTGCAAATTTATTAGGTACACTGTGAATAATGGGCAAGAGATTACAAATGAGAAGTGATACTGGGAGAGTCAAGAGTTTTCAGTGTGCCAAGATACACTGACTCTCTCTGCAAGGCTGACATCTCCAAAGTGAATCAGTCCAGTTCTCATTATCTTCCACCCCTCAAATGTAACATTTGGTCTAAGGGTCCTCTCCCACCCAAAAACACCCCAAGATGGAAAAAGGAATTTTGCACTTTCTCAAAAAACATTCTGACTTCTTTTGACCATGTAAAATGACAGAACTGAAGTAAAGAGAACTCTCCTAAGTTACTTCTGAGCAGAGGGTGCCATGGGAGAGTTTTCCAGCACATGATGTATGACAGAAGACTGTTCCCAAAGGACATAAGGCAAAAACTGGGGCTATCTGCTTGTATTTGGCTATAGGTGATCACCCAGGGCCTACAACAACCTGCACATTAATCCAGGGAATAGTTTCAGTGTTGATAGTATACAGCTCCTGATATAACCAAAATGCTAGGTATGTAAAAGTGGCAACCAATACATAATAAAAGTGTTGGGAATAATCTTAAAAGAAGAGCATGCCAAAATATATCAAAACCCAGCTGATTCTGCAGGAATATCTAAACCCTCAAGAATGCAGGAATTAGGTATTAGAAATGTTGACACAGCCATGGATAGGACATTCCTGCCAGGAGGGCATCCTGACAACTCCTCTCAATTTCAGGTATCAATTTACGAAAAAGTCAGCAAGTCACAAGACAGAAACTTGCAAAACAAATCAATGATAATCAACATAAAGGCATGTTCTCACATAACACTAGAGACTGACAGGAAATGTTCAATGAAAATAAAGAGACCGAGCCTTAAATTAACCTAACCTGCCTGTAGCCACTAGAGTGGTAAAGCCACAAAAATCTCACAGGTGCCCATGTGTGAGTTTCATTTGCACAATCTGAATCACATGTTTGACAGCCTGTCACGGTATGTGCTGTCCTGTCTCTTCAAAGGGTAAGGTTTTTCTGTTCCCCTGAGCACATAAAGGTCTCAGGAGAGTGAAGCCATGTGATTTCTCTCCGTTCCTTTCGCAGACTAGAAAGAAACCAAGCATGTTACATTTTCCTTACATTTGTTAACAAGTGTCAAGTAAAGAGAATGGGATAATTAAAACATAACAGCTGCTTCAGAAAAGAACAACACACCATCTTGTTAACTGTAAAATTGCAGAAGTAGCACCATTACTTTTAGTACCCCACTGAACTTGGCACTGCTTCCTCTAAAAACAAGTGGGGCACACTTTCAAACCATACTGCCTAGAACAGCTCTCTAAGTAGGATACCTAAATACCCAGCACATAGCACAGGAGATTACAGAGAATTTATGTAATCCAGTAGAAGTTATTCCTTTGTCATTTTCATTTTAAACATACTTTTGCTGCAGAATCTGCCTGACAGATGAAGAGTACACTGGCTAGTGTTTAAAGAGGTTTTTTTTCATTTTCTTTTGTGGGGGTACATGGAATGTGGTGGTGTGTGGAAAGCCCTCTCACAGCACTTGCTCTGCATGGGACAACCACTGCTAAATTTAACCTGATCTGAACTGTTGACTTCACTGGAGAGGCTTAACCTTAATTTGGAGATACAGGTGTCCTTGCTCCATCCTTCAGCTTTTCCTTATTCACTGAAGGCCACAGCTTCGTCAGAAAGTCCAAGATAATACAAGACAAGGCAAATCTCAAATAACTAGCTGTTGGGCTTCAGGGGGATTGGGGAAGAAATTCCTTGGAAGCTGGTGAGTGGAAGGAGAGGAAAGGAAGAACAGACAGCATAGGTTAAGCTGTCTCCAGAAAGAAATCTTCAATTAAAGTTAATGACAATTACTATGGCTTTCATTTCCACACAGTAAACACTGTATGTGACTATTAGGAAAGCAATTCACCTTATGCTGTTAAGCAGGCTATAAATGTAAAAACACATGTGAAGAACCTCAGCATTGAATCCTAATTCCCAAACAGTTCACACACTTGGAAGGCCAGTTTGTTCCGTGCCTTCTGCACACTGCTAAGCAGATCCAAAAATAGGCACACCTGGATTTTTGAAACCAAACTATTATACAGATTTTAATTTTTTTCAAAAGCTTTGCCCAAGATAAACCATCTTACTTTGTGAGTTCATGATCTGAAAGCAACTGTTTCAGATGCCTAGAAAGCAACTTCTTTTCCATAGAGAGGCGAACCCAGGCTCTGGCCTTGCCAACATCTGTTTTGATCTCACTTATGTTCTGGATATGCCTGTAAAAAAAAGAAAAAGAAAAAGACATGCTTGGTATTGTCAAAGCATGACAGTTCTTTTGAACCAAGCTAGGCTGAAGTTTCCCAAAGAACACAAAATATCAGGTAAATTTTAGGAAAAAGAAACAATCACCTTAATATTCAACATAATAAAAAAAAAATCCCTGCAATCTAGCTCAAAGAGAATAAGATCCTGAAAAGGAAATATCTGCAATGCAGTGCCCTATTTACAAAATTTTATGTCAGGCCCATTGTCTCACATGATTTAGGACTCATTCTGGACCTTATCACTGCAATATTTATGGCTGGATGCTTTGGAAAATTAAATATTGTCTTTGCATGCTCAAGAGAAGATTTTCTTGCACACAAGACACAAATGGTATATTTTAATAAGACAATCAAATCCTCAATTAATTCCTCCCTACTGAAAAAAATGGATGCTGAAAGAAAAAAGAGTGAGTAGAATAAAGAAGGAACAGAAAATTTTTGTCAAGGTTGTTGCAGAAGTTCTGCATATTGCATTTTTCAGTGTACTGAAAAGAAGGCATTGGGCAGAATCTGTAGTTTTGTTCACGCTACAGTACTGAATGTTAGGTAAACCCATTCTTTAGATCAAACAAGTTCTTTAAACTGCATTCTTCCCTAGGAAGCAAAAGTGGTCTCAGAACTATGCAACCAACTCAGCAATGACTGGGAAAACACAAACACTACTCCCTCACCTCTGTGGAAATAAACCAATACACAAAATGTTAGAAATATGAAATCTCTGTCGTGTTATTTCCGTAAGTTAATACCTCTGACAATATAAAACCTCCTCAGTATGAAACCTATTTCTGTAAAGGTCAATGAAAACACTGAACTATCTACTTCTAAATGGTTCAACAGGTTCCTTCCCCACAGCCCCCTCCTGCTGCAGGAAACACAGGCTTTTCTGGATGGTGCACAGTAGACATAGAAACAAGTATGCAAATCTCAGGGGGTTACTGGGTTGTTTAACAGTTCAAACTCACCTCATATCCTGGATGAGAGAGATTCTGAGAGGTGACATGGCTGGACTTGTATCAGATTTTCGTCTTTCTGAATCAAGAAGTATTCCTAGATTCAGAAGAAAACAATTTCTTGTTAGCAGAAATCCATCTAAAGATTCTAAAATCAATATAAAAAAAGAAGGTAAATTAACACCAATTTGCACTCTTGTATTACTGGTGACTCTGTGAAGGTACTGTGGTGTATTTCCACTCCAAATGACATGAAAATCTAATATGCTACACAGATGGTTCTACAGATTAGCACACACTGAGCACCAACACTGTACTGAGCTTAGATTCAGCTGAAATTGGTATGACATCAAACAGCCTAAGACCTATAGTAATCAAATTAGTAATTAAAAAATAAATTCAGTAAATTAGTCTTTCTAAAGACTACTCTGTTTTCTTGCCGTGTAAGTAACCCTGGCTGGCACTGCAGACACCTGAGAACAATGTTAAATATGTTTATATTATAAACATATACATATAAACATATGGAGTACCCAGTACTCCACACCTCCTGTGCTCACTGAGCTATTATCCTGCACACGCCTGTAGCACCACTGTTTTTTAAATACAGCATTTTGGAGTTTTCAAGCAAGATAATTACTCTTATCTTTCAAATTCCACTCCAGAATGAAGTTCTATGTTGAATACAATCAACATGCCCCAAATCCCATGTTAGAAAGCATAGAACTGATTGTGACTTATTCTAATATACAAAACCACTAAGAACTAAGGGACATTCAGGAGACCATAAGATTTCCAAACCTATGGTTTTGATTGCTTACAGGATCTTGTGCATGTTACTAATGTTCAAATCTTTGCTTACAGCAGCTTTAAATAAAAAAGGTACCCACTGCCTCCCCCAAACCTATTGTTCTCTCCAAATTTATACCCTATGCCCCTGACACAAGAAGTAATGTTTAAGGATTACAGTAATAATCCTAGAAACGTATTATCAGTGGATCTTATATTGCTTCTACTGCAACACTTGATACAACAAAAATATGTTTCTTCAGTTTATGTTTTAAAAAATAAGCCTCCTGTTCCGTTGTTTTTCAAGCCATAATGTAAAACTTCAGGCTGTACAGCACAATTTTATGTGCTTATACTCGTTTTCCACCCCCACCCATAAGATCATTTGCTCTGCCAGTCATGCAGAGCCTGTGTGTCACATGGAGGATGATGTACCAGAGCAACCCATTTTAAAGCCTATCTCTGAAGCATCAGCTATTTCTGGTTTCTGACCACCATGGTAGCCAAATCCCAGACCCAAACAAGTGGGCTCAATACAAACCACTTTATTTTTCATAAAATATATTGAGATAATACACCAGGCCCATATTAAACCTATAGCAGGTGTAACACTTAATTCAGTTATATTGAGTGAAGGTATTTCCAAGGGAAGAAAACCCTGTATGGTGTAAATCTGCAGGCAGCTCTTACAGCTTTTAATCATCTTCTTCCAGCAGATGCCAATCTTACCTGAGGTACTGAAGCTGCCTGATGTGGTTCTTCTTTGTCTGTTTTCTAGGTAATGTAACAGATGAGACCACAAAGCAGACTTTCCCTAAAATTAAAAAATATTAGTTAAAGAAATCACTACCAGCTGAATTAAAAAAAAAAAAAGAAGTTTGAAACATCATTGAAAATATCAGCCATGACAAAAACTTGTTTTAAAGATGTTTCTCCCTATAAAACTCAGTGGTAAAAGCCAAAAACAAGACACAGTTGGAGGCGCTTGGGAACTGTAAAGAGGCTGAGAAGGAAAAGCAAGAGTCAGACTACGGGGATCAAATGGTTCTGGTAACAGGAAAAAGTCAAAGGAACTCCTTCCCTCTTAGTTCATTACCATGACAAGAAAACATTCAAAGACTTGTAAAATGCTGTGTGAATGTGGAGTTTTAAATCTGAGGCTGTGACCTGTCCTGTGGGTCTCTCCCTGCCTGCTTCTCCAGCAGGGAAATGACAAGAGACAGAGCCAGCCTGAGCAAGACACACCCAGGCCAAGCCCTGCTCCCTTCAGGGTAATTCAGAGCTATGGATAAATGCTGTCCATTTTTAGACTCTCAAAAGAGTCCCCTCAATTTCATCACACAAAGCACCTGGATAATCAAAAACACAGCAAGATATCCCAAAATATAAGCAGGACAGTGAAAGCTTATCAGCAAAAACACCCCAACTTAAAAGTTAGAATTTGGGATGCTGTATTTATGCCAAGTTGAATCCATCAAATGATGTAAAAAGGTGCACCTTGCTCATTATGTTGCTTTCTTAAACCCTTGCTTAAAACAGAGAGTGAGGAAATCTTTTACTTGGAAACGCTAAAGATTCTTGGATTCGTCATAAAATATTTCACATAATAAACCAAAAGCTTCCAAACCTGCAGAAAGGCAGCAGTAAGCAATCAGAGGCTTTCCAGCACATCAATTGGACTTACTTACAGATAATTAGTATTACTTATCTTACTAAATTACTGTATTAACCTGAAATCCCAGTAAAGATCTAGCAATTCTGTGTTTCAGAAAAGCTGTCATATTATAAGGCCGTATTTTTATTTACAGCTTTGTGCAGAAAGAAACCATGACTGTAAAGCAATAGTTGTCAATTCTGCACTATCAATTTAACCTAAAATTATCTAAGTGCCTTCCCAGAAGTGCAGCAATGATGGTTCATCTTTAAAAGTTTTTTAAACTATATTTAAAAATCTCTAACCATTGCCATCCTATAGCTCCCAACAGTTGACATAAAGAACTATTGATCATGAGGGTTTATTCCAGAAGTGGCATGCCTCCAGAATAAATCCTAGAGTGTCTGTAACATCTGTGCTGACAGAAATCTATTAAAAATATGCATTCAGTGGTGAGGATATAAAAAAATCCATTGTGTCTTGTGCGTACCTGACAGATCCAACACAGAAAGCCAAAACTACAAGTCTTATTATAAACAGATAAAAAAAAGAACATGAAAATATCACCCAGCAAAGAGTTACATCCAAAACTGTGTTTTCTCCCAATAAACACACACATGCACACACAGTCTAGTGTTCAGCAACCAGCTGCCATGGCAAGGAGAGCTGCAACAGATCACAGAAAGCAGCAACAAAGGATCCTGCAGCAAATCAATGTCAACAACCATGATGAATGTGAGAACTCATGCAGTGTCTGCCCGCTCCTTCAGCACCGTGGACCTCTCCTTTAACTTCACCAAATAGCAATGATGATGCAAGCTGGATCTAAAAGGGGAAGGAAGACAGCCTAAGGAAAGCAGAGGGACAGAGAATGGGCAAGGGAATAACCAAGGCCTTCTGAAAGTCCAGACTACTTCAGTCATTAGATCCTACATCACAACTCCCCTGCATTGCTCGGGAGAACGGAAGGCATGGATTCCCTTTGCACGTGGAAAAATCAGTAGGTAGCTAATGTAGGACTACTGGGGTTCATCAGCAGGGAAGAGGTAAAAGCAGGGATTGGTGGAAGGAAAGCCATCCTCATTACTATGGTCAGTTGAGAAAGAAGAGTCTTCCTTGGCTCATTATTGAAAAATAAAATAAAATCAATGTATGAAACAGCAGGCTTTTGCATATTTCATAAAGGCCAGAGCACACAGAGAACTGGTGGTGTTTTTTTTACTTTTTATTTTTTTAAACTCTGGATCATACTATGAGATACACTGCACTTCCTCCATCAGGCCTCTATTCTATTCCACCACTCTATTTATTCCACCATTCAGCACTGTTTGCCAACATCTGCAATCAATCCAAAGCATTAACCTTATGAAGGGTTGGCCGTCTGGTGGTCTGAAAGGCCCAAATCTGGGTTGAAGCAGAGTATACTGATGCTCTGTCTTCTAAGACGAAAGCAGTACAGCTTCTATCCTAAGTGATATACAAGAGGGAAGGGAGAGAATCACATGATAAATCTTCACATAGAAAACTGTTGTATAATTTGAAGGAGAGCAGAGTTAAACACTGGTGTTTGGGTGCTGGGAACAGAGATACTGGATTACAGTTGTCTGGACTATGAACATATATTCCTTCAAAAAAAAGTCAATCTTTTCCACCCTTGCTACTCCTTTGTACAAGGGAGAAGTTGGTAAAGGCCCTCCAAACTCCATGTTGTCCCACAAGGGACTCCAAACAGAAGAGCAAAACAGTTATTAATTTCATACAAAACCCCAACATCTCTAGCTAGTGATCTTGTAACCATAATTTAAGTACCCCTACATCACTCAGAAAGAACCAAAATAGCAAGACTGCTACTTTGAAGCACTAAATTATCCTTCAGGAAAACAATTCCCCCATCCCACTGAGAGCACCTTTAGGATATGCTGCCCGGTAACCTATGCAACTTCATTTACAAAAATATTAAGAACACAGCAATAGGTTTTTTTCACCACCCATTTAAAAAAAACCTACCCAAACCCACCAAACGAAACAAAAAACCCCAGGTTAAATGGAGATTCTTCCAAGAAGTCATCTGTGGAACACATCTACAGGTACACTTGCACATACCCCACAACATGGAGACAGACAAGAGGGTAGGAACTGACATAAAAAGGTCTGGGGGGACACACAAGTATTTTAACACATCTACATATACACTAAAGGTGTCCTCTGAAAGCAGAGAGAGGGAAAGCTTTACAGAACTTCAGGAAAGCGTGCTCTGCAATGTACAGGAATATTTATTCCTCACCTGTTTGACTTGCAGACCATGGCTCCATATTCTTTCTAAGAGGTCACACAGACTGGCTATCAGGGTGTTCTCTTCCACTCCTGTGATATTCACTTCACCATGACCAAGCTCCACAGCTTCTCGACCCATTTTCTCAACCAGCATCCTCTTAGTCTCAAAAAGGACAAGGCAAAAGAGAGGTAAATCTCTCCCAGGAATTTCCAAGGTCACTTTTTAAATGACCAATAAAGCACATGACAACAAAGTTTTGGCAGAAAAACTGGCTGTATATATATATTTCTGGCATTAGTGCAGAACTGTACTTCTTTTATCCCTGGTTTTCAAGGCAGGACAGCACCAATGCTGATCTGTTTTTCTAAGAAAGGGTTTGCAAATGGGTACATCATCCTCCACAGAGTAACCCCAACAAAGGGGAGAGCAGGTCACACATTAACAAGCTGGATGCTCAGCAGCAAGGCCACAAAACACAGATCTTGGGTAGTTTTGAAGCCTGGTGAGTACTGGATGCAGGACACTTTGTCCACCTCCTCCCAGGGGAGGTGAATGCATACAAGTGTTCCCAAGTAGCACGGGTATTGTCACTCCTGGGAGATGCTGTTCTGCCAGAAGGGCATTTGGATTAAACCAAACCCATTCTGGGGTGCACCTCTTGAGCTTCCCCACGAGCTATATTCTCCTAAACTGTACCCAATTTCATACTGGCCAACAAAACTTTCACCAGCTCTGGAGGTAGAGTCTTCCAGTCACAATATATTCATCATACAACCAACTGGAGGAAAAAAATGGTGAGGGAATCAGTTCCACTCATCTCTTAAACATTTTTTTCATTTTTGTTCCTATTCTAGACTCACTTTCAAATGTGGAATACTCCCTTAAGCACTCTGCACAGTCCTGGTGGAGATTAAGAAGTCCAAGTTAGTCCCTAGCTGCTTCTCCCCCTCACTCCCTCTGGCAATTTCTCACTGTCACAGAGACAAGTCTACCTTCAAAACTTTCCACCATCTATTGTGCCTCTATTAAGGGATGGGGAGTATTTGGACAGTTCCATAAAATGAAATCAGAATTAGATGCACATATTAAATATTTTTTATGAAAAGTTAGTTTTATGAAAAGTTGTATATATTAAAAAAAAGTTGTATATAACTACTCATATAGTAGTATAAGTATCATATAACTACTCATGCAGTACCTCCACTGACTTTAGGCAAGAATGTGTCTATTTCATAATTATTCTTTGCTGTATTTTTATAAACATTAACATTTACTTCAGATTAACATGTTGTCAAATATATACTGGTGAAGCATGTCTACAAACTAATGCCAGATTTCTTTGTTAAGTGCTTAAAAAATTACACCTCAGAAATGTAATTATGAGAAAAGCTGGTGTATTTTCACCACAAGCCTCTCTTTTGGACTATTCACTCTTGTTGAAATAGTACTGTCTCATTAGTTGTAACTGAAATGTGCTATAATAGTCTTGGGCAGCGGGATGGTAAAGACCCTTCAGAATGTTCAATCTCTATCATAAATCTGCTTGATAAAGTCTCTGCTCCTTGCAGAATTTCTGAACATATTATCTCTTCGTTAATTTCTCACCACCATGCAAAAATCCTTCTAAGGATAAAGCAGAAACAGCTGGCAGAAAAGTGAGGGGGTTCGAACATACTGGATACAAAATGGTCCAGAAAGGATGGATATGAGGGGCAGGAGAGCAGAATTATTCCATCTTACCTTATTTCGGCATTCCTTCAACAAGCCCTCCACAAACTTCCAGTTTGTTTGTGCAATTACTGATGGAGAGAGGTTAGAGAGTTTGGGCTGCCGAATGGTGCTGCCCAGATTCCTGGCTTCTTGGATGTATTTCTGGATTGGGGGAGGAAATGCACAAACACAGACAAAAGTGCAAGTGAGACTACTTGGCTGAGAGAAGAAGGTGAAATTATCTTTATAACCCACACCTCTGGAGTGAGGAGGAAAGGATCACATCCTCTTTAAGAACAGGCCCCTTTTTATATCCAATATTATTTAGGCTGAGAGACTTAGACTCCTATTTCACCAGAGGTCAAATCCCCATTTATATTGTCTATACAGTATCAGAACACAGGCTGATGAATTACAAGAACACAATACAAACTGCCAAGGATATTCAGATGCATAGAGATTCAGTTACTCCCTGCACCACTACTAATTGTCTCCTTATATTTTTCATTCAAATGAAAATTTGCAAAAACTACCCAGACCAAGACTATTCAAGTGCCAGACTGGTCTACATGGGGGCTGCAAGGAAACTTTGCTCTTTCAGGAAGCAGCTGCAAAATGCAAATGATAGCAACATCTCTCAGCTGTGAACCAGCTGCATTTTTGAGGAAAATTATTTCCTGAACCCACTCTACTCGAAAGAGCTCTTCTGCTCCTATTACTGCCATCAAGGAGCTGCCATTGTTTTCACCCCAGAGACAAAAGTGATATGACAGATATTTTGGAAGCCAGGCGACTACAGGTTGGTTGGGGCACAGCTAACTGAGAATTAGTGATAGAAAGAAAGTCCTTTACAGGAACTGATGGAATATTCAGGATTATATGAAATGAACAGGAAACCTCTCTAGCTTACATTGAAATAATGACTAACTGAAATGTCAGTGAAGAAATCTGTCTAACACAACAGAGGGAAAACCCCACCTTCTCCACTAGCCTTGCACTAAAGAGCTATGATATATACATTTAATTATGCATCTTTATCCAGAACTATGATTACAGTCATATTGTGCATTGGACATACCAGATAATGCTCTGACACAGATTTTATAGAGGGCATGAAGGGCCAATCATGCTGGTCCCAGTCTAAACATAACTGCAACTGAAGCTCTGACATGGAAAAGTCCAGGTGCTGGCAGGATGAGTTGGTAGCAAAAAGCCAAGCAGATGTAAAGTGAAAGAGGTAAGCACATATGAAGTAATAAAAGCGAGCATGCAAAACAGAAAAGGAAAAGAGTGAAGACATAATACAATGCAGAACTTCAAAGCATTCAACATAAAAATAAATTAATAAGTAATGAATCTGAAAGGAAAAAAGAAAAGATGGTGTTAAATCAGTGGATTGGTGTAAAGTCTGCCCTCCACTGGGCACAAATGTTTGCAAGTAAAAAGTCTCAATTACACAGATTTTTGTTGGCTGCCGCGAAGTTTCTATTTGTTTAAAACTCCCAACGCTGCAGTTTGACACCTCCTGCTCAGCCTGACCCCCAGTGTTCATCTCAGAAGAACTCCCTCCCCGCCACTCTCAAATTTACTGTGGAAGTTTGAGGTTCTCCCAGAGAAGGGGTCAGTGTCCAATGACCACTATGTCATCAAGAAGGTACAGCATAAGCCCCTAAAAAACAGCACCATTCCCACTGGCACTTGGTACCCCCAGATGAGCATTTATTTTTATTTAATATTTATTTCTCAGATATTATTTGCCTTTTGAGACAGAATAACTCCTATAGGAAATGAACTTGTGAGGAATCAGTTAAAAACCAAAACAGACACCCCAGAGACCAGAGGTAGATTTTTGCCTTTGTAATTAGCTCAGAAGTTTACATGCTTTAACAGTTGTGTTGTTTAGCACAGTAATGAGGTTAGAAATCATCTACTATTCATTTCTGTTACACCTAAGTAAAAAGCACTTTTGAGTTATCTGAGCATATGGAACATGTCAGAGCCAGAAGCTACTCAAAGAGGTTTTTTATTATGCAGATATTTTTCTGTTACATGGTTATGGATGACAGAGATGACACTATAATTCAACAAAATTTTAACAAACCAGTAAGTAAATTCTGGAAATGAGTGCACTAGGAAGGCAATTAAATCCATCACTACCATAAAAGGACAAACTGAACAAACACACTTGAGTTTTACAATACTATCCTAACAGACACAAGACTACTACTCTTTTAAAATTCAAAATTTAGCTTTTTCTAAGGATATTTAACAAGGCAAGAGAATATTGTGTTTAATGAACAACACACAAACAAAAGCAAAACTCTGGGGTTAGTAAACAAACAAAAACCTCTAATATTTTGACTATTCTTGGAATCACCCATAAATCAACACCTGGTGGTAACAGTTTGAATCAGAAACTATACTGCAATTGGTTCACTCAGAGCTGTCAAAACCACCACAAAGAAAAACTGTGTCAGCTGTAGGAGCAGTGGTGAGAGATGTTTATCAGGTCCGAAGGTGGGTAAATCAGCATCAGACTGTGCTGTATAGAAACAGGCAGACACAAACATGACAGTATGGGTGGGCTTCACATTCTCACCTTAGCAACGAAGTTGTCTTTCACTTTGTCACCTTAAGACATTTATTATGGTCTACAGAAGACACTTAACCACCTCTAGAGAGGGATTAATTTCATTCATCCTAAAATCAGGAGCATTGCCCTTTGGAGTTGGCTATCTTTCCTCCATCAAATACACAAAAGAAGCACAGGGTGACTAAGTTATTAAGAGATGGGAAATAGATGGCTAAAAACTATTAATTCCCCTCTTCCCACTCATCCCCTTTAAAAAAAAAAAAACAGAACAACCTGAAATCATGTGATTATATTTTCACAGAACTCTCCTATATGTGAGGTATCATTTTGTCCTGAGAGGGGGCAAAAATTACATAACTTTCATAATAAGAAAATTAAGTATTTTTGGTCTGCTACTTCATTTGTATTAAATATACTTAAGGGAGAGTAGACATCAACTGCAAGTAACTGTCTAGACATTTCATAAAGGTTGCTGAGCATTTTTCAGGCCATTAGGAAAGAAAAAAATCAGATCTCTAGAGCTGAGCAATTTTCACCTCTCTCTGGTCATTGTCCAGTCGCAGGTGCTCCGTGTGTTGCTTCTGTCTGTCCTTGCGCCTCCACTGAGCAGGAGCGTTCCTCTTTGTCCACCTACACGTGGGGGAATAACATCAGCCAAATGTCAGGAGTCAGGGGAAGGGCAGAGGCAATCAGAGGTTTCCAGCTTATTCTATACTGAACATGCTGACATCAGTTACATCAGCCAAAGCACAGCTGCAAACACACACAAAGAATCCCTGGCATATTGGGCAACCAAAATATTTTAGAATATTAGATCACATACATTTGCTTTGTATTTTTCCTTTTTTTTTTTTTATCCACAATTCCAGGGATAACTTAAGCCTTGCCCCTTAAAAACCCACTTCGAGGTTTTTATAAGAAAATATCCTAAAATATTTGCTACCTCCTACATGAGATTAAATAAGGGGATCTGCTTTTATATTGACAATAATTGTAAGTAACTCAAAGTACACAAACTATCATCTCAAACATAAGAGGAGTTTCTTCAGTAAATTTGCTTCAAGAAGACCAGATTTAAAAAAGGAAAAAAAAACCCCAGACATAGCAAAAGCCCCACCCCACATGATCTGATCTGTTCTCACTTGAAATAACAAACCCCAAATCGATTTTGCTTTCTAAGATCTTGCCAAGATTCAGCACCTGTTGCCTTAGCTTACTCACTTGTTGCTTGCTGGGCCAGTGGATAAAACGTCAGACTGGAGCTTAGGAAAAAATCCAAGCTCGTACTTCCCTTGTCCAATTTTCATGTCCAGCAAGTGTGGGTGAACTGCAGTGTGATCTATTTTTGCCAGCCTTAATTCAATAGATTTCTCTGAAATGGTAAGAAAGTTAATTTTTTTAAGGTGTTTTTATCAGACACGTATCTATAATCACCTATCTTCAATTAAAATCAGATGTCAAATTAAAGAAAGAGATGGGAGTTGCTTACTGATTTCAATAGGGTACAAGAGCATTTCTGACATCAAAGAATGCCACCAAAAGGAGAAAAATATTTATCTTCTTAAGCTCAGACATCTTTCACACACAAAGCATGCAGGAAGACATCCGAGTTCTACTTTACATTAATTTCATCTCACATCTCAACATCACAGAAAACATTTAGTCCCCTGTTTAAGCTTTACATCTTTGCTATTTTGGTCCACTTTTTTTGAGGTTTCAAACCATGAATCATTACCTAATCTAATGTCTACAACAAACAGAACTGACCAATACACTAATTGTCAAGCAGGTGCCTAATGGCCCTTACCAGCCTCATCAATGGTTGTGCACTTTTGATACATAGATGTGCGCAGAGTCGGTGTCCTGACGTTCAGCAGCCTGATTTTATCCACCCTAGAATCAAAAACTCTCAAAACAGGGTCTTTGTCGTCTTCATCGTGGCACATAATCTTATTGTCAATAAAGGATGCAAACATTTGGGTCTCCAGGAATCTTGAGAGGAAAGGCAAGTAAGGTTCAGGCTGGTCGGACAAGAAAGAAGCCTAAGAGACAAGAAGAGATAAAAGTGTTTAGGAGTCTGCAAAGAGAGAGAGACATCCACCAGATGCACAGTTTTTCCGACCAAGGATGTATGAGAGTGCTTTGGTACCACCTAAAGCCTGATTTTATTACACACATCAATTCTATCCTCAAAATGGGATAAAATTTCCTTGATTTAAAAAAAACAAAAATTCAAAATTTTCAAAAAAATTTCCTTAATTTTCTAAAAATTTCAACAGGATCCCAGCAAACAACACCATCAGTACCACAGGTGTGCATATTTGGGACTTCTGGCTTTGCTCACAGCTTTTGAAATCAATGGGAATCTCTTCATACAACTTGGTGGGAATCAGAGGAGTGTCTTAGCAGACAGTGCTGCAACAATCTTCACCCACATGAACTCTCCTGCTGACAAACATCTCTAGCTAAGAAGACAGTCCAAAAACTTGAAGAATTCTGTCTTATGATTCTCTACAAAAGAGTTATGAATCCATTTGGTATATAAGCGTTATTTGGGTTCATGACTTAATTCACTAACATATTTGGAATTCCCCTGGTTAAAAATCACCAGTAATATTTAACCTTAATGTGGGGGGTTAGCCCTAAAGTGAGGCTAAGCTATTTTCTAGAGCAGGCTGCATTTTTCTACAGTATCCTTAAAAGACTATCTTTAGCTCTTGAAGTTTATATTTGTATATATTTTTCCACATATCTGACATATGACTTTTTTTTTGGGAACACTGAAATTTACAGAATTACCATTTAGACAGTACAATTTTCCATTTGATGGCCCAATACACAAAGCCTTAGGTTTGAATACCATTTTACCTCTTACATTGATGCACCTTTTTATTACAACTTACTTTATCAAAGTTTTGCATCTGTTCTCTGTTTGTAAACCAGGATTCCTTGTCCTGACTGGGCTGAATGACAAACACTTCATAATCTGCAAACATTTGTGTGAAGCGGTTGGCAAAAACTTCCCGAATCTGAATGTTCAGCTGGTAGATCTTGAATTCTTCTTCATCACACTGAATTTTAAGATCTTTTTTGCTACTGGTCTCCTCTCGCACCTCCAGCTGAAAAAGTAAGGGAAAACACAAATATGTCAGGTATTCCAGGCATAAATGATTTTAATCTGTCATTCAGCTGCTACTCCTCAAGTCAACATTTCAATAAAGAAAAATACTGTTTCAACCACTGCAATAAAAGACTAAAATCAAAAAAAACTAGACAGAAACCTTAGAAAATTTTTCATAATAAACCAAAACTTACTTCAGTACTGTTTGCACTGGATATGTTTTAAATCTAAAAAGGGTAAATAACAACATACATGCCCATGTATGCCACAGACTTAATTTACTTTTTTTTACCCTTCAATCACCTGCATAGGCTTTTTAGAGGTTTTTACTACCCTTAAAACTTTGCATATTAGGCAAATCTATACCTAGTGTCAAACAACTCCAGGTTTAGAACTGTTAAACACATGCCAGCCTTCAAATGAAGACAGTGAAAAAGCTGTGCATGTCTAGTAGCCAATTCCCTGTAGCCTAAGCCCTTAGTGTAAATCACAATTCCCCACTACACAGCTCAGAGTAATCTTCAATAAAAGAAAATGCATTTTCAGTTAAGATGTGAGTAAAAATTTATGAAAAAAGCACTAGATTTGAGATATTCAGTTCATAGGGGGAAAAGAATCACCAACAGTGATAGTCTTCATTCCACAAAAGCTAAAACAACTCCCAGTGGTCTTTCAGGTAGTATATTTTATGCACAAAGGGCAACAATTTATTTTTTGTTTCACAATTCTAATCACTCAAAAACTCCAATCAGGATCGTCACAAGCTGTACGTGTCCACTTGCTGGGAATCAGATACTCCTGAACTCTACAACATTAACCAGAAGAGAGCATCACAGTAACCTTATGGCAAATATATTACAGAGAAGCAAAATTATAGATATATTCTACATAAAATGAAAAAGATATCTATAGAAACCAAGACTGGATGCAAACTTCAGGATTATCTAGATGTCAATTTTAGCCACTTGGCTCATTAAAAAGTGGTGCCAATTTAGAATAAATCTTAAAATCAAGAATAAACAAGGCAAAGGGCCATTTTTAAACACATTATCTTGGTAAAAAAAACACTTGGTGGATAGCAAAGTTTTTCCCAGATGCTGCAGGGTTAAATCCCATTCCCTCTCTCCCTTAAGCTTGTCCTTGTCTCTACAGGTGTTCACAGGGTTTGAGAACATGCTGACAGAAAGTTCCTTCTAGTGAAGACAGACATACAGCATCTCTGGACCATGACTTCAGACCATCTGCCACTGCAGGACCAAAGAGAGTGCAGCTCATTTCATATCTTACCTTTTCTAGACTCACACCTGTTCTTTTAACAAGTGCTTGGAGTCTTGCAATAGTCTCATTTTCCTTTAGCAGCTCATAGGAATTCAGAGGTGATCCTGCTATGTTCCCATTTCTTTTATCAGAAACCAGGTCACATGCTCTGAGGCTTTTCATCTTGGAGGCACTTTCACTGCAGTGCAGGTTTCCCTCAGGTGGAATTCCAAAAGCCATCAGTATCTCTGAAATTTCCTGAATGAACTCAAGTTTATTTGGAAACTGGGGTAGGTCTTCTGGCAGCTCGATGAAATGGTTGTCTACATCCACAAAGCACAGGTTAGCCTGGGATTTAATTTAGAACAGGACACCATTACAACATCACTAAGCAAATTATTAATCTTTGGGATTTGTGCTTATTTAAAGATTCAAATACATTTGCTTTTGTTTGGTTATTTTATAAAACGGTTGCCCCAACCATTACTGAACTGATTGGTTGGCTCTGAAGAATGTAACACAAGACATATTTCCAGATCTTTTAAGAAGGTAACTGAGAGAGAAGCCTAATTTTACAGACATTTATGTACAAAATAGATTATAACATAAATTTGGATTTGTGATTTTTTTCATACATGTACAGCTAAATTTTAACTACAGGATACATACAATTCCATTTTATACGTGTTTATATGTAAGCAGGTAACTGCCTGTTGTTCAGATTATCAGTGCATTTCTCTAAAGGATTTAGCAAATCTCTGTCTAAAAGGTGTGCTGATACTGCAGAAGTGCAATGAAATTATCTTCTCTTTTTTTGTAAGCAACAAAAGGCAATTGCCTGACAACTAAGGCAATTCTTTGAATGAGCAAGTTTATTTCCAAATAAATGAAAATGAAATGAACTAGTTCCCATTGTGTTTTTCTGTTCCAATCTCCAACTCATTTACCACCAAAAAAGACCAAAGAGGGTGAGGAAGAAAAGAAACACCACCTATGCGGCTTCCACAGCAAGATCAAAAGAAGTTCTGCATCTTTCAAGGTTTACCTCACTCTTTATTTGGCAAGGAGGAAGGTCCCCCTTTTGGCTTCTGCATTGCAAAATCAAATGGTTTCAAGACATTATATAACTACACACATCACAGCAAGAACCCCAGTCATGTGTGAAATCTGCCTGGGAAGTTAAGAACAGAGAAGTAACTTTGCTCTTCTGTAGAAGCATTTTAGTTTCTCTTCACTGCAGAACTAACATGGACTGTCACTATTCTGTTTAACCTTCACTATACAAAATCCTTTCACTCAGATTATGGGGTACTTCCAACCTAACTGCTCTGCATTATTCTAGGAGCCACACCCAAATTCAGGCCTCACTACAACTTGGCAGCAAAAACACTTTTCAGGTCTCTGAGAATTGACATATCTCCAGTTATTTCCTATGATTCAGTAAGTGCAGAAGGATGGAAGCACCACCACAACTGAATTGGAAAGAAATAGTTAGAAGATATCAACCTCACATGGAATGAATGTTGAATGATCCCAGAAATCAGATCCACAAGTTGTGGTAGGAATTTGCTGTGGGACTGACCATAGTAGACTAAAATAAGCTGGGCCTGATAAGAGCTGATCCTTTAAGTAAACTGTTATGAAAATATACATTTAGTATTTGTGACAGTTTTCTGTAGAACAGAGCTGGGTGTCAACTCTCCTATAAACACAAATATCTTACTGAGTTTCAACATTTAAACTGAAAAAAGAATTCTTAAAGCACAACTCCACTGGACATACTTCACTAGCTTGCACAGAACTAGTCCAATTCATGTCCTGCTACAATATTACCCATAGTTAAAAAGGTAAACATAATTCCAGTTCTCTATTTCCTAATGTTCTAATATTTTAATATGGAGATTGATTTATTATGCTCAAAGGAATGCATATAAAACAGTTTAATATCTCTTGTATAGATTCTTTACTGGAAATTAAATCACAAATTGAATTAGGTGTTGCAAAAGAATCCAAGGTCAATAAAGACAATTAACACATTGATTCTCAAACAGCTTATAGAGCACTTTAGAAAAAGTTCTTTTTATGCAGGGCAGGTGTGATTGCTGAAATTTCCCTAGTATCAGCACTGCTCCAAGGCAGCATCTGAAGCACCTGAATTCAGGAGCTTCAAGGCCCCCATATGCCCATGGTTCCTTGAGGATCAGAAGTCAAGTCAGCTGGTATTTGTCAGAAACACTGTAAGCACTTCAAGACAGAAGAGAAACAAAGCTTTGAAACCAAGCACAATGCCTACCAATCAGTGCTGAGGGAGAAACAAAAAGCATTGAATTTGCCTCAAGCAGTCTGCAAAATGGCGAGACAGCCTCAATAAGAAACTCTTCAAACAGTTGAATTGTATTACTTCCTTTTACAACTTTCTTTAATTGATGTCATTTAACTTTGCTTCCTTTTTGGATCAGATTCTGCAGAAAACATCACTCTTGGTCAATAAGCTTGGTTGTACCCACAAAGCACTTGGCCAGAAAGAAATCAAACATTAACCTTAGCAATGCAGAAATTCTAATCTTCACACTGAAATTAAACTCTTTGCCAGTGGAAGAAAAAGCCAAATTCAATGCTTGCTAGAATTGTTTACAAATATCTGGGCTAACACCTGCTTAATTCTTTCAAAATGTGATTTTCCCTTCTGCAGGGTTCCTCTCTAAGAGCAATACACACAGTTTAAACACTCTGAGCTCCTGATAGTGATTGCTTATTGTGCAACTTGTAATTACATTTTCCAGAAATTGGCCTACATGGTAACATTTTTTAAAAGTCAGTGTGCAGCAATACCCTAAGCAGAGTATAAAGAATATTTTCAGGGACACTGTAGTTATCCAGTGCCTGGTTAATAAGACATAAGATAAGCAAAGATTTTTTAGGTGACTTTAGCCTCTCTGAACTCAGGGAATATGAGGTCATCCTCAAGAACTGCATAAACACTTTCCTTCTCCTCAGGGAACAGAAATGGCAAAAACACCTCAATGCACAAGCCCTTCCAGAGGTACCAAAGCAGTATTCTTCTGTAAAAATGAAATTTGAAGTAAATCAGCGACAGATACCAGAGCAGTAAATATCACTATGCTGCTACACTAATAGATCCAACAGAACAGAACACCAGTGAGGATAGAGGCATCCCTTCCTTAAAAACTAAGAAAAACTACAAGGCATTCTTTATTTGCAAAATCATGGTCATCCAAAGCATTTTGTATGCTAGGAACTGGACAAGTACACAAAGCAGAAAAATAAAGGAGTTCTTTGGCCACAAGGGTTTAGTTCTTTTGCCTCTGAAGGCAGCACAGTTGAGTGGGCTGTGAACAGCTGACAGCTCTCTATGTGGATACACTGTTAATTATTTTACTCACAGAAAACTAAAATGAAATAAAGACAAGATACTTGGCAATATTTGTAAGCAGAGATATAATGGAAAGACCATCATTAAGTTAGTTATTTGGTATTTCAGGTCTCTAGAACAGTCATATTTTTTTATTTGTTGCTCACATATCCCTTTTCAGATCAAAAGAAAACCCCAAAACAGTTACACACCACTTCAATAGCAAGACTCACAAGAGAGGACACATTACATCATCTATAATAAAAGGTTCCCCTGAGACACTAAGGAACAAGGATATCACATCCTAATTTAAAAACCTGTCCTTCCCATAAACTTTTATTACTCTAGGTAACAGGGGGCCAAGTAAAAGTCTTACAAACCTTAGAAATGTGAATCTAAGCAAATCAGTGTTTGTGTATCTGGTGCCAGTGCCTGTTCCCCTGAATCCAATGGCACCACTTTCCATGGGCTTAGTGGGGTCTGGATTACAAGCATCTATTCCAAAACCAAAAGACAATTGCAATTCTTTAGTTTGACCCCAAGTACAATAAGGGCCAAAGCGCCACACAGATCTAGCAGGGCCTGCATTCAACTCATATCCTTCCTTTCTGCTCTGTTCAGAAACACAGAAGGAAATTCTTTAGGTTCTGCTTGAATACAGCACTCAAAGACTAAACCCCATTAATCTACAGCCTGTATCACCTTGGTGCATTTGGCCCCAGCTTTGCAAATAACCCCCCACTTCACACAACACAGAGAGTGTGGATGTGCAACTTTACACACACACGGCTGACTTGTGGCAAGTGTGTCTACAGTGCTTCTGAACTCTGATGGATGCTCCTGTGCCACTCCTCTAAGCAAATGGGGACCTTCTGCATTTATTTCAGCACTGCTGTCCTTCATGCCAACCCAGAATTTGGGACTGAGAACAGCTTACACATGAAAGCCATTGCAGCCTTCAAGAAACTCCTCATGTGGCTGTTCACACTGGAGTACAAGAAAATATAAAACTGAGGTTTGTCAATAAATTTGCAGTATTATCAAGGCTCAAACGTTGATGATGTCAGCAGATAGCCTGAGTGATTATCTTTAAATAAGCAGTGATTATCTTTAAATAATTATCTTGGTCTAATACGTTAATATTAAAAGGAAAAAAGGCTTTTCAGAAGACCTTTCTTATCTTCTGAAACAACATACAAAAATAAAAACCCACAGGATTTCTTCAGGTTTAGCACTGAATCACACCCTTTTAATGGTTGAAATAAAACACTAAGAATATAAATAATCTGTCTTACACTAGTAGAGAAAATGCATTTTAGGTTTTAAAGTCTTTTAACTTTTCTAACACGAAAAGTTATTGCCCAAGACCCTTGGGACCACTTCAATAAAAACAGTCCTTTTAATGAGATACTACTTTGTTTCATTTCACCAGTGCTGGAAACTCAGCATTGCTTATTTCCACTGAAAATAATTTCAATTTCCACCATTCTCCTAAATTAGAGCGGCGAGATTTACATGCAAATCCTGCTGCATGAAATGGTCTGGATTAACTTGCTTGTTAAAAATGTATTCTGTAACACTGCAGACGTTTCTTTAGAAGGAAATACAAAGACACATCAAAAAACTCCACCTTACTTTAGCACTTGCTAGATTTGTGATCTGCAAGTAAGCTGCTAAAACCACTTTTATTGATCAGTTTTACTGATAAACAAAGCACACTTTTGCCAGCAACACCTGAAACAGCCACATGTTCTTCCCTTCCCCTTTGACATCTGCAGCACCTTATTCTAGCACAGCTTCTCCCATGCCCTCCCCTTCTCTTCTGGGCTCCTCAGAAGCCCCTGATGCAGCTGCCAGGGAAACCACAAGGATGCTCACACACACACAGAGCCCTCAGAAAAGCAGCAGCACCTGTGAGACCGAGAACTCTGCTGCTGACGTGCACGAGAAACTCAACTCCACACTAAACCTCAGCATTTCCCAGTTTTGCTGGGCTTCAGAGTCAGGTCTGCAGGTCACTGGTGGTCTTCAATGAATTCTCCATCAGGGACTGTTCTGAGGTACCCAAGGGATAAACTGAAATTTAATTTTGCACTAACACAACTTTTTTATTGAAGATTTAAATCATCATCTGCCACAAAGCGTTAACTTCAAGAATACAGCTGGATTTCCATGCTCGTATGGTAAAGCATCCTCTGGAAACACCAGATGTGACCCAAATATGGGAGGCTGCCAGCAGAACAAGCCTTATGGCATCTGTGTGCAAGACTTATACCAAACCAAACCTAACTGAGATGGGACAGACAGTATTCTCACATTATCAGCCTAGAAGTATTCACTTAAAACACTTTGAGCAAGAAAAATTAGTCTTTTTAAAACTTCATTATAAAACCACAATGAAGAAGTCTACAGTGAAACTGAGGTATCCATGCTGTGCTAGACAGCAATATTATTTTCTTCCACAATGCCCTTCAATTGAGTAGCAATAACTAGATTTTCTCTCAAAGCTCACCTCTTTGGCCCCTGCCTAAATCAGATATTGCTTTCTTTAACAGCAGCTGTCCCACACATCCACGTAAATAGATTAGCAACAGAGATACAGCTTAGGCAGTTTCAAGACAAAGAAAAAACATTTTTTGCAGAACTCAGAATAAATTACAACACAACAGCTCTTTGTATACCCTTTGTGATAACTGAGGAAAATTCCGGTATCAGGAGCTCAGAGGAGTTCCTCATATAACCCTGATGAGTTCATAAACATTGATATGCATTCCAAACTTCAGATATAAACAATGTTAAATATTAATAGCCCCTCTGATACTGACGATAAATTTGTCTTTATTGAAGTACAAATAATGGAATCCATATGCCCTCTTTTACAACAACACATTATTCATGTTCCTTGGCAGTTTGTGTTTGCTGTTCCATGGGGGCTTGTTTGGGTTTCTTTTTTGGTTGGCTGGGGTTTTTTAAACCAAGTCTCTACAACGGAAACCTCAATAACAGTGAGCTCCTGTTCTTCCTAGTCTACTTAACCCCTTGAATAAACAAATCTATTGATACAGGATAACTTTTTAGTTATTTACTAAAAGAATGAAGTCTCCGGCCCATTTCTATGCCACAGCTACATCTCCAGCCTGCAATGCAAAGGACTTCAACAGCTCACAAGAAACTTTACCCAGCAGTGACTACCAAGGGGATTTCTCACACTAGGTCAAACTCATGGTGTACAAATAAGAGCTCACTCTTCAAATAAGAACAAGAAAAGCTGAAACATTAGAAGAAAAAGGAAGTCTTGCAGCAAATTCCACCACATGGGCATGTTGCTGCTGCTTTCTGTCTTGTCTGTCCTCCCTTCCCAGACAATTCTCATCTCTGTAAGATACTATCAAAAATCTACTCTCCACCTCCACATAAGAGGCTACCTGTAAAACAAAATGTAAATTGAGGTGTCAGATTACTTTTTAATAGTACTCGGATTTCATTTCAAATGCCTAAAAATAGATCAACTGCCTTATTTTAAACCTCCAAAATAACCTGATAAATCTCTTCCAAAAATAATTTACCTTTTAAGTAACTGAAATGTCTATTTGAAATTAAAATACGTTCATTTAGTTGGAAGCATTACAGAGATTTTAAAATGAGGAATTTCTTTACAGAAGGGGGACAGTGTTTTAGAGGCTTGTGATAACAGTGACAACACCCATGGTGCATATTAACATGCATATCCACACATGCATTTTTTTTCATCAGCTATTCTCTCTCAAAAGTGTACTAACCATATTAATTAGGCCTGTCAGTACAGCCAAAATTCTGAAAAAATAGTAAACCAAAGCAATAGACTGTTGTTTTCATGGCAAGAACATACAATACTCTATTATTAATTATGCCAGTGGAAAATAAAAAAAAAAGAGAGTGAGACAAGAAAAAAAAAATCAAGAGATTAAACACTTTAGTTTTCATAGAAAAAAAATAGTTTGGGAAAAAAAAAAAAAGTTTTACTTTGAACTTGCCAGGAAAAACAAATGAAAACTACCAGCATATGGATTTGAGAAAAAGAGCAATGTTGGCATGGAGACCAGACTGGAGGTTCACAAAAATATCTTGTCTTTAATTTCACACAGCTTTTTTAAAAAGGAAGGGTTTTTTGTGTCAAGCTATGCTGCAGCACTGCCTGATAATGAAAACAAAAACCACCGCCACAAAACCCTGTGCCTGCCACACTTCTGCTTTCCCAGAAATGCAAATGGTAATAGAAGAAAACCCACAGTCAGAGAAAAAGGCAGAGAATCCTACCAGGGCCTGTAAGTAGGGTGTTTCCCATTATTTACACAGTTCCTCCTCTGAAAAGTTACACCTAAGAGTAAGCAAGGGCCAGACACTTCCTCTGCTGCCTTAGTCCTCACAGTCAGCTCTTCAACTCCTGGCACATGCCTACAGGGAGTGTTTGTGAAGTGAACAGGGGGATAAAATAAGGACAACCTCTAAGCAGTCTGAAGGTAGTCCCAGCCCCATGGATGAGCTGCAGAACCTTTACAGACCTTTTCTTTCTCCTTTACACAGGGGCTGCTGTTCCCAGGGCTCCTCAGCACTACCCCAACAAGCCGAAGTTTGCTCAAGTACATGCTGACATCTTGCTGCAGACTGAAGCAGGCATTCTAGGAGAAAATCTGGAATGGTTTTGCAGTCACCTGGCAGGCTGGGTCCATGCGAGCCAAGAGAGAAATCCAGGGCAGGAAAACCCAGCCTAAGCCCACACAGCCAGGAACCAGCAGTGCTGAGCTCTGCTCTCTCACCACTACAGCCTTTTGGCCAGCGTGGGGGAATTCACACTGCACTTCCTTGTGCTTTCTAGCATTGCAAGGCTGATTTTTTTCCAGCACAAAAATGTTCTTTCTGTAACCCAAATACATCAGCTCTTGCAAAATTACAGTTCAATTCTATGAGAGCATACAATTTCAAAAGCAAGGTTTTCTCTATTTCATCAGATTTTCGTCAGCATCTCCAAGAAACAAAGAACTATCCCAAATCAGAGCTAGCAAGAACTTGACAATGGCTGTTACAGTTAGCACTCATGTTTTGGATCATTTCTCACTTCCCTCAATAGTCATGGACAATATTTAATCAATCAAGACAGGCTCCTCTCACCTCTTGAGGAAGTTCCAGCTTAGACCTATCATCCAGTCCATTAGAGTGCAAGCCCATGAGGTAAGGGACAGGAGCATCTAGAAAATGAAGGAGGGATGCTGGAAGGATAGGAACATACACATGTTGCCACTGAAATGGAAACATTAGTGCTGTGATGGTCTCTGCCACTGTCATCAGCCTCTGATAATCTGAAAAAGATCAAGAAAATTATTTTTTTTCACAAATACTTTTAAGTAAATAAATTTTAATTAAAGAAATGAGAAATTGCTTGAAAACAGAAACCACAAAACCCAGTACTAGCTGAGTGGCATCATAATGAAAACCCAGACCTGCACACCCAGCACATTTTGCTGAAAAAACAAAGAGAGCTCAACCCAAAGTAGGTCATTCTACAAGTCATATGGAAATGAGCAAACTGAGCCTTAATGCATGCTAAGTCACTTTCTGCTACCTCTGCCGGGGTCACCAGGAACACCAGTTCGAACACAGAAGCAATACTGTAATCAGCTAAGAAACACATCAGAAATAATTTCTTTTCTCTGTGCTCAGGCCTTTCTATGGAAGCCTTGGATGAAACCCAAGGCATCTGGTATCTCTCAGATAAACATTTTTAAAAAGAGTGTTTAAATGTCTATAAAGCATGCTGTATAGCAGCCAACCCAACAGTGTGACTGAAATAACTATGCAGAAAATGAAAAGGATCAGCTTCATTTAGTCTTTGCAATGTAAAACCAAAGCCTCAATGTAAAAACAACTCATGTCCTCCTAGAACTTAGGAGCAGTGTCAAATGTACCTGTGCAACACACTAAGAGATCTTTTTATTTAGCACTGGTGGCTAGAGCAGTTCACACTGCTGGGCAAACACTGCACCCTCCTCCTCTTTAACTACAGAGTCATCTCTAAAGGTTTTTGAAATCCCATACAGGGGGAAGCAGCACCAGATGTGTGTTCCAATACAGCTGCTGAAATATCCCTACTGCTCTCCAGCTGCCAGGCAGGAAAGGGTATAAAACACTCACACAACTAGGGCAATTCCTACCTTCTGTCAGCCTATAAATACAGCACAAACTGGAGACATAGGATCCTTTTCATGATACTGTAACAACATTCAATTCCAGACAGGAAAGGAGAGGGAGTACACGGAAGAGAAAAAGTCAGTAACCTCTAAATGTGTGTATTAAGGTGTGGGGGTATGCATGTTTTCTCCTTTCACAGAACTATAGACACTGTGAAACTGAAAAAGACACTTGAATGGGCAAGCTCAGGTGCTGAGCTTTCCAAAGCTGTTACACACTGTTACAGAAGGCAGATGAAAACTGCAAGAATAATATTTATTCTAAACACTCTGGAGAAAAATTAAGCTTAACTGTGCACTTCCCATGTTGATGGCTTTGATTCTATCTTTTAGCCAGCCTCCACTCAAGACTTCCGACAGCAGAAAAAAAAAGGCCAAGAAAATCAGTTTCTGGCATTCATGATTAATTTTGTCTGGGGGCAAAGTTGCAGAGTTTGGGGTCTGGAAAGGGCCCCACAACCCAAAAGGAACTCAACACAGGTTTTGCTAACATAACCCGTAATTCTGCGACTTAGGCTTTTGGTTATTAATTTTCATATCAAGCTGTGCTGGTGGAAAAGGTTATTGCATGGACCTACTGTCACTGCCTCACAGCAGATCTACTAAGAAGGACCCTTCAACCAAAACAGATGAGAACAGCTTAAACAGGTTAAAGTTTTTGTCAAAAGCTTATTTGGACTGAAATACCAATGAACATCATCAGCAACACTCCCCTATTCTGCCTGGACACCAGCTTGTGCCTACACATCTATGTATGAGTTTAGAGCTTTAATCACAGCCTGACTGCAAAGAAGTGATGAATTAATGATAAGCTTTGGGAAGAAGAAGATTTTATTCCATACCCTATTTTCTTCAGTTTTAAAAGAAACTTTAAATGTAGCCATAGACACACAAACATTCCAGCTGGCTTGTATTCAGCTTGTTTATCTGGAAGAACAAGTCCTAAAATAGAAACAGTGTTTTCCTACTACACAAAACCCCCTGTCTGATCCTGCTGGATAATTTAAACACAACTTTTCCCTCTGTCATTATGCTAACTTTAGTATCAGCCTTCCAAATTAATTACAAAGTAACATCAATAGTTCAGAATTACTATCTGCTGGGCAGCCACCTCCTGCCACGGAGCTATCTGCAAAAGCAACTCTCTGATCCTGGATATCCACACGGCTTAAGCCATTCCCAAAGATCTGGCCTGCCCAGTTGCAGCCTGCAAGTAACAGTGACTGTATTCTGCTATTGGCAAAAGGCAAGGATAGAGGCAAGAAGCATGAAAACATAAACCAAAATAACTCCTATGTTTTCTTAATTATAGCTACTCAGAGAGGGTATGGAGGGGGTTTGGGGTTTAAAGAAGCAAGCAGCACAGTTCTCGTACCAAAGAATTACAGAAGACTTAAAAATAATAACAACAAAAAGATTAAAAGAGCAAAGAAGTGTGTCAGCAGTGCTGTTGCTCTTGTCCTTGAAATCAGAATGTGCTTATTCTGGTGTCAATGACCTGATCTTTTGGCTTTGTACTGTACACAAGCACTGGTAGGGAAATAATGACATATGACTGGGGCACTGTTAGATGGGAAAGTGCTTAACTGATCACTGTGCAAGGAAAAGAAAACCCACTACTTTTTTAATACAGCCATTTAAGAACACAGAAAAAGCATGATTTGTTATTGTAACTAATTGCTATAAATAAAATACATTATCTCAAAGTGTGTATGCAAAGTTACACAGTAGTATTTATCTGTAGAAGATTAAAAATAAGAAAAGGAATTGAGAGGTCCTGTGCCTGGAAAAAAAGGAACAGGATGTGAAGAAGCTGGCAGCTCAAAGAACCATAATTCCACCTCCCCATTTTCACATTCTACCAGAGAGAAGTCTGTCAAGTGCCTCCAGAAATCCTCTGATTCAGCCAGCTTTAAAACAATTATACAAACACATTTTGGAACGTTTCTTCCTTCTAATCTTCCTCCCTCGTGGATCACAATGAAATACTGTTGTATTTGTCAAGTAACTCACAAGTCACTTAAAAAAACCCTGTAGCTGCAGCAAGAACCAACTGTGGTTAGTAGCAGTGGGGTGAAGCATCTCCTGTTCTATGGCTGAGAGCAGGATTCAAGCAGCAAGGTTCCTAAATCACTGAGGCATAATGACAAAAGTGTCCTATGTAAGAGATCAGAGCTAGGCACCACAGGAGTAATACTGCAGAGACATTAAACTAATACTTTAAATCTCCAGAATTAATATAATTTTAAGCAAGTGAAATAAAGATGGGGAGGAGTGATTCAAAGGCAAAGCAGAAAAGAAACTCTTATTTGTACTGTAAAATGGCAGCAGACAGCTGCTACCCAGAAAATAAAACTGTCCTAGATCACAGTCTGTGGCAGCAGTGCATTACATTTGTCCTTTTTTTGTTTTTAGCTGTTTAGAAAAATCACCTCCAAGCAGATTTCACAGCTGTCTTAACTCAGTACACACTTTCAGAAGAGCTCTAGGTGCTCTCTGAGATAAGGAATAAGTCTGTTTCACAGTTACAAGAGCAACGTAATATGCAGGAATTCAAACCAGCTCCCACAGAGTATCTGACAAGGGCACTTCCCACAGGCCTCCAGCACCGCTGACTCTTTCCAGAGTTCCTCAGCACTGGCTCAGGCATTAGCAGCATCCTCAAATTCCCCCCTCTCTTACAGGCTTCTGACATTTTTCCAAATAGCAGACAGGTCTCTCAACAGGACAATTAAATTGAGGCATTCATTCCCTACACTTGGCTTACAGCAATCCAAAATACACAAGGCTGTGCCAACATAGTGGGACAAAAGAAGAATTTCCAGAAGCATCAAGTCAGAAACCTGTCAAAGGAATGCTAAACCAAAACACTTTCCCTGCCAAGTGAAGTTACTCCTACTCCAAGGACTGACTGAAACTTGAAACACTAAAATAATTTGTTTCAAAAAGGCTTGCACTTGGCAACAAATGCACAGAGACATAACCATGAAAAGGTTTGGGTTGGAAGGGACCTCAAGATCATCTAGTTCCACCAGACCTCCAAGAGGTTTGGGGTTTGGATTTATCTTGGTGGTCCTTCATTATTTTGCGTGTGTTTGTTGTTAGGGTATTTTTTCAAGTAAATCTTACAAATCTGCTGATCCTGACACGTACAGTTCTAAATCTAAATCCACCCAAGGAGTATCATAATCTCATCTGACCTAAGAGAATAAGAAATTATCTCAGTCACCTCAGCTGTCATGGGTTTGAGCACCAAGAGATTTAACAAACTCAAAGGACATTAAAAACTCAGTATTTATATTCTGAAGGACAACCTAGACCTCACATTGGTGTGCATGCAAGAACATGAAAAAGCCTTTACAAAAGTAAAGCAATTTCTAATTCCACTTAGAACTGAGTGCACCATCACCTGTATCTCCACTCAATATTTCCTGTTTTGCAAACAGCAAAAAAACAGATGTTACTCAACCATACTAAAGAATATTAGGAGCATACTCCAGTTGAAAAGAACAGCAGAAGCAAATAAATAGGGAAAAAAAAAAAAAAGCACAGGGATTAAATCCCTCAGAAAGTCCTTAAGAGAAGCTATGTTTAAAAAAAAAATTGGCTACTATTACTGAGAAGTCACTGCTGCAGCCATTCACCAAACCTGAGGGTAAAAAGTCAGCAAACAGATAACTAAAATTCTTTCTCTACTGGAACAAGACTTTTCAGCCAAAAACTAAGGTGAGAACTTGACAGAGAGACAAGACACCTCCATAATATACAACTCAGCCCAACTCAGCCAAAGCTTGGGGTAAGGCAGGGAAACTGGACAGAAACTGTCCTAACTGATCCCTCATCCCTCTGATCTCCAAACATCTGTGCTTGCAAACAAGAAACTCAAGTGTTCCAGGACTATTTTAAGCTTCTTTAATTAGCCACTGATCAGACACCTTGGAAAGGGCCCAAGACAGAAAGCTGAACCTATTAAAAGGACTTGGAAAGAGAAGCCAGAATACAGTAGACCAGCCCAGAAGAGAGCTGAGCTCCAGCCTGGAACAAAAGAGCACTCACAAGGTGATGGCCTGGAAAGAGCTCCAGCAGCACTGCTCCCACGTGGCAATGCACACGTGGCTGTTCTGTGGAGCTGCCAACCCACCACTGTTCCACCACAGGAATCTCAGACACCTCTACAGGCCAACACAGCCACACCCTCCTTCAGATGGAAGTGCTGGTGTTTGAATCCTCCACTGGTGGGACACAGGTATCCACAGAAACTCTCTCTAAATCTCCAACACATATAAAGATCTAATCCATTTCAGGGGAAACCACAAAAGAAGCTTATCTGCTTGACAAGTATTTCTAGATTTGCTACGAACAATAAGCAGAGCAATTTGTTTTTTAAATCCAAGAAAGTCATCACTACAGAGCTCAGTTAAGTTTTTCTGACTGTGTCTGAATTACTGTGCAGTTTTTCTCTTGCGGTTCACAGTGTCTGTACAATGACACAGCTGTGATATAACACCCTGCTGCCATTACAGACTTTTAATCACCCTGACTGTACACACAAATCCATCCTTGACTTTAGTCTATGCACAGATCTTAACCCACTTAACACAAAATCTGTATTTCATGCTTTGAGAAGGTTTGCTGACAAATATAGGTTATATTTGTAAATAGTTACCATTCGTGTTCTACATATTTCAGTAGCAGCTCAAGGGAAGTAAACACTAAAATTTCAATAAGACCATGGACTAGCCCTGGTTTTGTCTTGGGAGGTCTTTTAGGCTTCTTCACTATTACTATAAAGTAGTGTTCAAAATGTAGGCTGTTCTGTTTAAACCACACCATTCTGAATGGGTGAGTCTGGATTAATGCTAGCCAGCTTGAGACAAAAAAAGAAGGAAAAAAAAAAAGATAGAGAAATTATCTTTTGGCATAATTCCACATACTCTGTTGGAGCAACAGGATGTGGAATAAGAAGACCAGTATCCACAAATTTCAACACAGAAAATAGATGCCACTCCCACACTACTCACTAATTGATAAATGCGATATTTCAGCTCAGTTGCTGCCTACCCTCTTCAGGTTTTAGCTATGTGGCTTCAGCTATAACTGTTTCAAGGCCTTAACAGAGATTAGGGATTTGAGTTCAGACAAAACTTTTTTCAGGTACTTATCTTCTAAAGAAACAACTGAAATGTGACTTTGGGTACTCAAAGAGAAAACTATATTTGCATGATTAACTCTTCTTCAGAACCAGATGAATAATTTACTGTGTATCTTTTCAAAATGCATGGCTATCTCTGCAGAGATAGCAGGGAATTCAGCTGAGCAGCTGGACAGGAATATGGAAGGCAAACTGCTCTATCCAGTAGCACAGTTCCAGAGCCAACAATAGAGGGTCAGCCAAACCACAAATAGAGAAGATTATGTGAAAACCCAGTTTTAAGTGTCTAACAGCAGGAGCCAATGCAACACTCTCCTTACAACTCCAGGGCTTTTTACCTTAAGACCTGCACACAGATCAGCCAGACTGCAATAACATGCTCATGCTACTTTAATGCAACTATTCTGCTATTTGTGGTGTATTTAGAATTCAAGGCACAGTAAGACCTTGTGCTGGTACAACTACAAGATAAGAAAACAAAACCCAAGTACTCACGCTGTGAATAAAGCAGTATCTGAAACTCCAAAAGGGCACAGGTAAAGAGTTGAACCACATTTTCTACTCCAAGCAATTCAAAAACTTCTTTAACTGGAAAATCAAACAATGGCAGCTCACTGGTGCTTGGCCTCTGGCAAATAATTGGTCCATAAACACCTGAAAATTTCAATGACCTTCCTGCTGGAGGAAGAGGAACCTCATAGAGAATATTGTAGATGTAGCTTTCTAAAGGTAGCGGTGGTGGCTGAGGTGAAGTCACTGCTTGGTGAAGTTGTTCTAGAACTTTCTTACAAGCTTTCATGAAAGACATTGGAGTAATCAGACAAATGCACTTTGAGACATAGAGTGTGTCTCTGCTGATGTCATAGGAGTTAAATCGCTGTAGCTTTGAGACAGAGGTGCCATTGCAGTCCCCAGTGCTGCTGCAGCTCTCCTTGTCGTTGGTGGGGGGAGTATGAAGAATGTCATATTCAGCATTGTGCATATGATACAATGTCTGCATTGCACTGCAGATCTGTTTGCTAGTGACTTCCTCAAAAAACGTGAGAGAAAATCCAAATGTCCGCGAGCCATCTTCACGAGTAATAATAAAAGAGTGGAATTGAGGTTCTCTGGAATCTGCTTGTGTCTTGAAAGCAAGCCCTTTAGGCATACACAGCTACAAAAAAAGGGGAAGGGGAGATAATATCCATTAAAAAACGCTTTTCTCTCCCCCTGCCTGCAGAAGCATTGGTGAAAATGGGATTGAGAATTCACAAGACCGCCATCGCATTTCACTTAAAATTCTATTAAGTGTTACATTTCTGCACATTACAGTGATATGGGTCTAAATCAGAAAAATAAAAGGAATGTATCAAAAAGGCTACATGCAATTTCTGTTGAAACTCATAACTATCTTGTTACCAGTCTTGACATTAATAAAATAATAAAATTCAAACCCACATAAAGGAAAGTATTTTTCTGGTCACCAAGATCAGAAACCTGACAGAGAAAACTACTATATTTTATCTAAATTAAGATATACCACATTCTATTAAATGGAAAAATCATGCACACAAAAAAAAAATTCATTAATTGCAGACTAATTTATTTCTCTATTAATTCTCTAGAATGTAAGAAAAAAACCCCAAAAGTGATACTGACCATTCCCACTGCATCCTGATCAAAAGGGTTCCATTCAACATTCTCAGGATAGCGAGCAAGAACTTTGGATTTAAATGTGCGTCTTAACGGAGTCTGTTCAAAGTTTTCCCCTGTAGATGAAAGAAAAACACAGAAGTAAATATTTCATTCCTTTTTTAAGCACAAACAAGGCCAAAAAGCAGGACATCAGCAGGTAGACGCGAGGATAAGTGAATTAAGGACACATTCCTTCTAAGAGAAACAGAAAATGCAAGACAGTTTGTTAGCATATAGTCAGACTGCAGATATTAGCAAGGATTAGCTTTGTAACATTTCTGTGTCATTAAGTATCTGTGCTTTTCCTTAAGCATGCCAATCTTGAGATTGTGGTCATGACAGCAATTCTCTAAAAACAACTCTTCAGATATTTCAGGTTCTGGTTAAAACGTCCTAAAGCTTCAGTTTCAGTGTGATGTTGTCACTGAAGAAAAGCACAAATAGACAAAATGCAAAGATGATGCAACTTTTAGATAGACGTACAAGTGACATCATGAGATCTCTTAATTTCACTTTCAAGACTCAGGAAAAAAGATAACCAGCATTTATTGCAAGAAGTTAGCTGTGAAGGAAGAGTCTAGAAGGTTAGAAGATCAAGAACCACACAAACGCCCATGAAGAGAGTATCAGATGAACAAAGTGCTTATTTTTGTTCCCCACACTTCTTCCTTTACCTTCTGTTGCACTTGAAATGAAACGGCTGCCACCATCTCGGGTTTTAGAGGCCTGTATATACTGGCATAAAGCTATATAACAAATAAAAACAACACTGCATTATACATTTCATACTGTTGACTGCCATCACGTCGCTAACACGTACCAGTAAAAACCATACAAATATCCAGAATTAGCATGCATGACAGTCTACTCCCCTAATATGCTTTATATATATATATACAACTTATACACATTTCTCATTTTACGTACATACTTCTAGAAGATGATCAATATGTGAGAGAAGCTCATTGCTCCTGTACACACAACCAGAATACTGATGCAGTAGGAATAAGTTGCTTGTGAAATTTAAGTTCCACACGTTAACTACAAAATATTCCCAAAGAGCAGATGATGAAACTGACCCCAAGGACAAGACCACTTCAAGGCCTTTAGAGCTGTATGAATTTAAGTGGCATGGTCCAACTTTCCAAAGGTGCAATCCATATGCTAAGTTGGCTGAAAGTCTTGTGTAGAAGCTCTTAAATTTCCTCTAGAGCAATGGCAGTTCATTGTGATAGCACAGAACTTTCTGCAGTAAATATTCTGAGTGTGAGCAGTTGCTTTAAAAAAACCAAAAATGTACAACTGCGTATCTTAAAATAAGCTTAGCTATATTACTAGAATGCAATTAGCTAAATGAGCATGCAGCTGTTGACAGCTGCACTAACAATCAGGCACAATTGCATGAAATCATATGCTTTAAATAAACAGAACTATTTCAGCAACACCTGCAAAAAGAGAAAACACACTCCAACTCCTCTCTTGTTTTCTTACACGCAGCAATTACATGGCAATAGAAATTGATTTCAGAATTGGTTGGGTTTGTTTTGTACTTTCAGAGTAATATTTAAAGTTCAATTTCAAAGCCAAGTTAGAGTCTTTATTTGGCACAACACTTACTTCCACTAAGTAGCCACAGACAGAGATGGTTACAGCACTGTCTCTGCACAACACAGAATCTAACAAATACATTACATCAAAGCAAACAGAATTTCCAGTGAATGCTTAATGAGTTCTTTGACAACTGAGAAGCCTAGAAACTGTGGATTTTCTTTAACTAAGTCTTATCTCAGACAGGGAACTTACTCTGAATCAGGACCTAGGACAGGTCTCGCAATGCTCAAATATTCACATCTATTTTGCCAATTCTCTGGGTTTTAGCACTGAAATTGAAGTAAGAACTGCTTTCATTATTTGTCTGAAAAATCAACAGCTCAGCTAATTTTCATACAAAGCCATTCAGCTACATTATTTATTAATCTGTTCAACTATATCACTCAATAATATCATCGTTCAGAAAGAAAAAAATGTGTATTTGGGAAAATCTGGAACATAGAGAGAGGAATAGTTCGGAAAAAACAGGATACAGCTTCACTGAAATATAACCATCTCATGAAAGTACAGAGCCAAAGACAGAAAAGAGAACAGCATTTCGGCAGCTAAAACAACCATAAAAGAAGAAAACAAGCATTTAAAGAAACTTTCAATCTCCCAGAAAGAAAAATGGACATAATGCCACATATCTACTGGTACAAACATACACTCAAGTGAAGTCAGTCCTCTGTAAAAAGCTTTTAAAAGTATGTCAGGAGATTTAACACACCTACTATTTTCTATATTTACATCTGTGCAGATGATGTAATGTCAACTTTTAGATAATTGAGGAAAAACCTCAGACGTGTACTAAGCTGTTTTGTTCCTTGGCTGTTTTTTTTATCTTCCACATACGCAGAGGAGAGAAAATACACGAAGGCCAAATTTTCTCCTGAACTTGGAAACCACACAGCACAATCACCAAGTTCACCTATGTGCAAGGCTGTACGTGTTTTGAAATTAAAAAGAAAAATTTGTGACTTGAAGACCTATTCATTAACATTATTAACACTGAAAAATACATGATGCTTCTGTTCCCTTATGATTAAAGAAAACCCCAAACCCTAACTGAATGGATGTTTACCTATTTAAACCAGCCTTGCACCATCTCCTCCCAAGAGACATTCTCACCAACACACTCTTAAATTTTTTAAAGCTGGAGTCTGTCTGTAATTTAATGAAACAACTAAAATTGATTTCTGGAAACCACTGAGTCCTGATTCAGACAGAAACATAAGGCAACCCTGCCAGGCCTTGCTGTCATCCATCAAGGCACTCAGCTGTTGCACAGACACTGCTGATGCCAGAGTAGCCCGTAGCACCCTTCTCTCCAGGCTGCCCTCCAGGAATTCTGGATGCCAGCTCAGCAGGACACTCCTCCTCCCTTCCCCAGCAGCACAGTCTCTCATCTCCAGCTAGGAGAGATGCTCTTTGGAAGAGACTTCATGCTTGGAATACAATACAACAAACTACTGGACCTTCAGACTGAGCCATGCTAGCCCCCAAAGATACTGATGCAAACAAGGTAGGGAATGTCAACAGACAGCTCACCAACATGGGAAAAGTTCAGCCCAGGTGATCTGTGTAACTCCAGGACACTGGACACTCTGTTTTCTTGGCATTACAAGTAATGGGAACCTGAACACCCGTATTTCCATTGCCTGGGCTCCCCCTTCTCTCCTCTGTAGTGATTGGCACTAGACAGCCATCAGCAGTGGGGAGGGGGGGGAAATCCAAAAACAACTTTTACTTACATCCAGAGGCAAAGAGCAATTAACCCTAAATTTCTAAGTTTACAATCAGCCTCAAACACAGACACCCTGCTACAGCAAAACACCAACTGCAGCACATCTCCAGCCCCAAAAAATAACTAAAGGTTTCAAGATCTGTCTCTGTGTGAATTACAGTCACAGAATTAAAAGGATATTCTGAGTTGGAAAGGACCCACAAGGATTATTGAGTCCAACTCTTAAGTAAATGGTCATACAGGGATCAAGCCACAACCTTCATGTTATGAGCACCATGCTCTAACCAATTGAGCTAATCTTAGTTTCCTTCAATTAGTTGATTAATTCAAGAATAATTGAAATTGTTTTGATGAAAACAGTGAAGAACAATTTTAGCAAATGCAAAAGACTAACCCACCAGCAGAAATGGACAATTGTGTTCTACAACCAGGAAAATGAAGGCATAAGAGGAGAGAAACTGATAAAAATATGATGTATCCCACAAGTTTAGACAGAAAGCCCCCACACTTAACAACTATCAAAGGACTGCTATCCTATCACACTTTTTGTATGGTTTCTCTCTCTTAGCAGAAGTAATGGCTAGAAAGTACTTTCCTTATCCAAGTTATAGTAAAGAGGTGTTTAGAAATTATTTATCTATAAATAATTTATTTCTATTATACAAATTCCATGCAAAAGGGAAACTTTGGGGTTTTTTAATGGAACACGGTATTGCCTGCTGAAGACTAAAAGAGTCTTTCAAATACCATTGAAGTTCCTCACATACACATTTACCACTCGTGTTTGTTATATCAGAGGAAAAGCTCTACAAAAACCAAGATGCAAACTGTCCTACAGACTGCAAAGTAACTACCTTGGACTAGAATCAGAATCAATGCACAAACAGCTACAACTATAAGATTATTTGTCAGGAAACGTCAAATGACACATGAAATCTGTAAACACCCAGCAATATTTCAGGAAGTTTCAGGCCAATATCAAACCTTCAAAACAGTAAGAATCCCATTGCATTGTAAATAATAACATGAAAGCACAGAGAAATATAATTTCACCAGGCACAGTACAAATCCACAAGCACTAGTTTAGTGCAGCCCTGGCACTGCACCCAGCAGAGGAAAGACAGTGAAAAAGAGCATCTCAGAATTTCTTTGTCATTGGAAAAAAAACACCCCTTGTGGCATCCCACTCAAAATAGGATCAGTGAAACAATTTGGATTAAAAATAAACAAATAGAAAATAAAGAAAGGGTTAACAAAGATTAACATTTCACTAATCCAGTTCAGCCACACCAACATTTTAATTAGTTCATTGTGATCCTCCAAAACAAGAGGGAAGCAAAAGGTAAACCACAGATGCAGAGGTGGTAAAACTGGTGAGCTGAAGAAAACATGGACTAGAGTTTTAATACCTGCTAACTCCTGAAGCCAGCCCTTTTCCTGAGGCCCAGCTTGCTACCTGCTGGCTCCTGCCATGCCAGGTAATAGATTTTTCAACACCAGCAACCATCACCTGGCTCTGGTAATGCCCTTTGCTTCCTCTCCCACTTTTCACACTTCATCAACCCTCCCCATTAAACATGATAGATCCCTGCTGTCCTGGAGATGGCCGAGCACCTGCCTGCCCATGGGCGGTGGTGGATGAATTCCTGTTTTGTTTTGCTTCACCTATTAAACAATTTTTCGCTGTTTTTATCCCAACTATCCAGCTGTTTTTATCCAAACCTGCATGTTTTCCCACTTTTACACTTCTGGTTTTCTCACCCATTCCACAGGAGGGGAGTGAGAGGCTCTGTGGGGCTGGACTAAACCACACCACTGTGTAATTTAAGAAGATACGCATAAAAGACTTAAGTTACTAGAGTCAGCTTGCTTATCAAAAGAGAAGTCACCAGCTAGACACAACCTGTGAGGAAGTCTCCTTGGCTGAGGGATGTCCAAGACCACAGAATTGGCCTGGCTCCTCCTGGGCAGACAGAGCTCAGCTGAGAGCAGTCTCAGACTTCAGTGGGGAACCAACTCAACATTGGTTGAAATCTCACATTAGAGGCAGGTAATTCTCCATCACTTCCCTCTCACATCTTTTCAGTAAGCTGAACTTGATGGACTGAATTGTGTGCATAAAGCAAATTACAAACCTGCTCAGGATGACCAGAGAGTTGGAACATGTTACATTTATTTGGAAGATCCAGCTCAAACCAGCCCCTTTTCACTGCTGCTCTAACAGTCACCTAATACTATCTGCAATGTATGGAACCATGATGGGCTTTCAGTTCTAACTTCAATTACACCATTCTGAAATTATGCTGACCTACATATCTGTAATTTGGACTTCGTAATTACCAGCACATTAGAAGAGCTAATGCATGCACTGCAAGTATCCTACGCTGAACTAACAAGTACACCTAATTT